GTCAAAACACTTGGCTGACTGCTCGATCCAGCATTGGTGCTGGTGCCAGGAATCGTGAAAAGAACTGTGTTACCGTATGGTAGAGTCAAGGTCAGCACAGTAGGCCCGGCCCCTCCGCCAGAGGTAGGTCCGAGTGTAACAGCCGATGGCAATGCTTCTGTGGTTGATGTGATTGTTGACCCGCGGCTTGACGCAGGACTAGAGCCGGTGCCTCCAGGAATCGTCACGGGAAAAGGAGATCCCGACGGAGGAGTCACAGTGATGACACTGAAACTTGAAAGGCTGCCATCTGCGGGACTGCTGTTGCCACTTCCGTATTCCGAGACAGAGAATGAAACGATGGAAGAGGAAGATCCGCCCACAGTGGTGGTGGTAATGCTTGCTGACTTGGATTCCCCAAATCCTGGACTGGATGTAGTTGAAGTAGCCAACGAGCCGGTTGCACTCGGTGTGTAGGTGATGACAATTGGCGTTCCAGATCCATTACTCGGGCTAATTATCACAGTCAAGGGTGCAGGCCCTCCCGAGGCCGACGGGCCCCCAGAGCCAGACTCGTTGACAGTGATAGTCTGGACAGACGGCGATTGCAAGGGGCCAGAGGAAGCATTCGAGGAAGTCGTGCTGAGCGAGCTCCCATAGCCGACAGGAGTACCAGATGTGCCGGACTGGAGTGTAACCGAACCGGAGCCAGTCGCTGAAGTCTGGATGGTGTAGGTCACGGTATAGAGCGAAGGGCTCGCACCAGAAACTGCTGGAACTGTGTACGTGACAGCAACGACGGATGGTGTCGGAGTGCCAGAAGCCTGAGAGTTTGTGTTGCTGCCGACAGACGACGAAGCACCGAGGGTGATGACAGACTCAGTGATGGTGACAATTCCCGATGGACCGTTGCTGTTCGGCACAGAACCGACACCTCCAGACGAAAGTGTTGGGAGCGTGATGACCGACTCCGTGATGGTGACAGGACCAGACTGGCCACTTGGTCCTGATCCAGATGAGAGTGTAATGACAGATTCAGTGATGGTCACGACGCCGGACTGGGTGTTGCCCGTGGTACCTGGACCAGAGAGTGGTGATGAAGGGCCGTGAATGGTGAGAACAGATTCGGTGACGGTCACAACACCAGATTGGCCGCTGTTGTTTGTGCTAGATGAACTACCGCCTGATGAAGGAGCCGGAAGTGTCGCAAGTGACTCGGTCACGGTGATAACTCCGGACGGGCCAAAGCTGCCTGAGCCTGATGCGCCACTTCCTGCTGGTGCTATTGAAACAGTGATGATAGACTCAGTGATGGTAACGACGCCAGATTGACCACCAATAACAGGCCCAGTACTGCTTGGCTGGCTGGAGGGATACAAGGTACCGCTGGTCAATGTGATTGTCAACACGCCGGACTGGGTGCCGGTAGTCGACCCGGGGACGATAGGCTGGTCTGAGCCGTTGGGGATAGTGAGAGTTACCACGCCAGACTGGCCGGGAGCGCCAGGCACAGTGGATTGTCCAAAGGGTTGTACAGAACCGCCGGAAATTGTGACAGTCACCACGCCGGCTGGGCCACTGCTGATAGACGATGGGACACCAGGCTGGAGCGATGGGACGAGGCTAGACGCGGTTAGTGTGACGGTTACTGGTTGGCCATTGACTGTGGTGCTAGATGAAGCGCCCTCGGCTGACCATGGCTGCGCTGGAGAAGTGGCTTGCGAAATAGTCACTGTAACGACGCTTGGCTGTCCGGTTGAGACAGATCTAGATTGGCCACCATAAGGCGGAATTGCCGAGCCAGCAGGTGATATACCGCTTGGAGCAGCGGACGATGGAGTCGGAATCGTCACCAGAGGGACGGTGATGGTTACCGCGGAATTGGCAGACTCAACAGATTGGCCACCGCTTCCAGACAAGGGCGGGAATGAAACCGTGACAGGAACGGCCGAGGCTGTGACAACAGGTGCTGTCACAGTGATAACCCCTGGCTGTGTGGCTGAAGCAGACGCGCCTCCCCAGCCCGGAGAAACCCCTGGCGTCATTGTGAAAACACCAGTGTATCCAGAGATACTGCCTGATGGAGGGACTGTGTATGTGACCAGCACACCAGACTCCGAGGAGCTACAGGACGAACTTGACAACACTAGCGGCAAAGATGAGCCAATGGCCGGTCCGGGGGCGGTTGCTGGGAGTGGACCAGTGAGTGTGATGGTGGTAGGCTGCCCTAGGCCTCCAGTGTCGGATGAACCTGCCCCTCCCAACGACGTAAATGGCAGCGGCAAAACAGTGATGGTCCCAGTGAACGCAGTCGAGACACCACTGGCCCCGGGAGAGACAGTGTACGTGATCGTGACTGGGGAATACGGACTCGAAGGCTGGACAATGGTTTCGACTCCTGAGCCGCCGACCCCGGACGGTTGACTAGGATACGACAGTGGGACTGTGAGGGTCTCAATGGTGGAGGTAAAGCCGAATGATCCTGTGACCCAGGTCGATGTGACTGGAATGGGCAAGTTGGTAGGGACACCAGAGGAGTAAAGAGTGACCGTGACCACAGGACCGGCAGAAGAACCAGAGATACCAGGAGCCGTGATGATTGTAGACCAAGATCCAGGAACCCCGGATCCCTCTGGCACAGTGACTGTGAGGACTACAGTGGCGGAGTTGCTAGGGCCCTCGGGAATGGTGACAGTGACGACAGAGCCCGAAAAAATGCCTGTGGCTCCGGGAGAAGGCACAGTGGCCCCTGAAGCTGGAAGCGGAGATCCAGCAGGAATGGTGACAATGCTGCCAGAAGGAAGGGCGACCGTGGTGCCAGAGCCAGGAACTCCAGAAGACGGAAGTGGAGAGCCAGCAGGAAGAGTGATGGTGAGACCAGAGCCTGGAACTCCAGAGACTTCTGGCACGGTGACGGTGACAATTGGGACACCGGAGTTGCCCGTTCCAGCAGAGACTGTCAATGTGGTATCAGATCCGGCGGTGCCAGCCGAAGGCGATGGCAGCGTAACTGTGAGAACTGGAACTGTGACGGTACTCAAAGCGGAGACAGACTGTTCGGTGACAGTGACAGTCAGCTGAGCAGAAACGCCCGTGGATACCGCACCCGCAGGGGGGACCGATGTTGTAGTTGTGCACGAAGTATCGGAACCCGAGCCAGAGCCATTGGAAGTGCTAGAGGGTGAACCAGAAGCTCCAGCAGAGGAACCGAGAGGGTGAACCGAGAAGCCAGAAGCGGAGACACCAGGAGTAACTGTAACCGTGACGAGAGTCGGGCTTGATTGAGGTAGAGTCACGACAACTGTGACTTGCCCAGTCGAGCTGGTCGTGCAAGTCGTATCCGTGCTGAGGTCCTGTCTATAAACATGTCAGCAACCGGACCCCGACATTAGTACTAGAACATGATATTCAAGCACTCACCTGCGTGGCACAGCCGCGGCCGAAGCTAGCCAGACTATGCTGGCTAGCGCCCCAAGAGGCGCGGTGAGACGCATCTTGGTGCCGCCAAGTGGGCTGCGAAGTGATGCGTGGTCGGTCTCTGTCCAATGTGCGAGTCTGGGGCTTCCTTGAGCTGGCGTTGAAGCTAGAGAACAGGAGCAACGTCAAGCCAGGGTATGGAGGACAGCTGTAAATGAATGACGGGAGGCCGCGTGAAGGCCAGAGGTTGTCTGTGCCGAGAAGGACGGAGGGTCGAGGTTGGGAGAAGCGTAGGGGAGGGGGACGGGATATGAAGAGTGGTAAGGAATTGACAAGCAAATTGGAGATGCAATTGTTTTGTCTGCAGAGCACATCAATCAGAGAGCACATATTGGAGGAAGGAGTAAACCAAGATGTTATGCACTCATGTTTCGATGGGATAAAATGGAGCCATTCTGTCGGCTGTGCCTTCCCAGACGAGGCCAGGGAGCTCTGGTGGACATGTTCTCGACCGGCTGCATTGAATCGATTATGGAAGCTTCAGTTCAACAGTGGAAAGCCCAGGACTGACACGTCAGCTAGACGGTGTTCTTGGGCCGGGGCAATTCCCGCCTACGGCGGAAGCTGCGATTGAATAAGTCCCAGCCTGGGAAGTTCAACGGCGTGGGCCATTGCTCTTGCCTATTGTGATTGTCGGAAAGCTTACAATGTATGTCAGGTGCGTGTAAGTCGAAATTGCAACAGCATGTACGCAGCTGCGTAAGGTATTTACATGGAAGACGGATAGGCAGCGAGTTGGACGGAAAAATAGCGACTCATTAATACTATGGTGATTTCTCCTGTGTAGCAGATTCGCTGGGGCCGCGAAGCTGACACTCTGACAATAAAGCTGGACTGTCGGCATTGCAGCCAGATGTTCCTTCCCGTGTAGGCTCTTGAGCCTTTGGCCATCCCATTGCAATGACAGGGGAGGGCCTGGTTGTGACGGGACTGCTGGTTGGTCCGCAAGTGGGACGAACGCTGGCGGCTCCATAAGACGACGTCATTCGAGCTAAGATTGCCGCGAAGTTTCTTCATGAAGCATTTTGGGAGGAACGAGGGAATTTGATCCGATTGAACTTCCTAACGCTACTACCTGTATGCAGCCTGGAATGTGGACGCCCTCGGCCCTTCAAGTTGCATCTCGACCACTACCTTGCGCAGGGATCGAGCCACAAGAAAGGTGCGACTTCTCGGGCCTGCCCTACGAAAAGGAACTTTCACGTCATCCAATGACCAAGGTGGATTCGTAGATGCCGTCCTAGAAATAGCACTCACCGCTTCTTCACACATGGGGGCGCGAGAAGGAAGTCAAGCGAGGTGTGCATATCGCGAAAGTCCAGGACTGCATGGCACCCCAAGCTTGCGTTTTCCCCAACGCAGTGCTGCAAGAGGACGGTGCACCTACCCTTTGCCGAGACACGCAACGTCGGAAGGTACACGAAGAGACCCGCAGAGATGGGCAAGATACTACAAGGATAAGATTTGTTCTTACATGATGGAATTATTGCAAAAACAGGCTATGATTTGTATAGTAAATAACCGAAAATGGAACGCGAGCAGAATTAGACAGGATCGTCGCGATAGACAGGCTCGTCCGAATCCTGCAGAGCTGCTTGGTCAGCCGCAGTGATGGGCTGCCCAACACGTATCCGCGCTTGTTCTTCCATCTTGGCTACCCACATGGCCGCACCCGCAGTAGTGGTAAGCAAGAAGAAGAAGTTCAAGATGGGAACAAGCTCGAGGATCATGGCAACAGTCCCGAACCATGTGTACTCCCACGTCCTCAGGCTCAGCTCCCTCTTTATTGCCTTTTTATCCAGACCGCGTAGCTTGAACCACCTGTAATGCGACAGCTTGCCGAGGCGAGCTCCGGTGATGATGATGAAGGCAGGCGTGCCGACGTAGGGCACGAGGTTAAGTGGGAGAAAGAATATCAGTTCGGCGATCTGAGTCAGGCTCCACGGCTGATACTCGGCCCGTGTCGTGGGTTTCCCTAACATCTTAACAGTATTCGGGGCATCGTACAGGAGGATTCGGTGCGGCGCAACGAGGTCGGTGAGGCCATAGTTGATCAATGTCGCCTAACAAGCAATTTAGCGTGCGTCATCGACAGGAGCAACCCGCGATCGCACCAGGAAGGTAACTTACGTCAAACACGTCGACGCGGCACTCGTCTACGAAGAAGCCTTCAAAGAGGCCCTGGATGACAACCAATCCCTCCCCAAGAACCAGAACCGTCGCATTTATTACCGCACCGGCCCAGCCATGGAAAATAACGAGGAAAGCCAACTGCGGAAGAAACGCAAATGAGAACAGGATAAAATAAACCAGCAGCGATATCACCGATAATGGTAACAGACGGCCGGTGAACAGGGGATAAAAGGCTGGCCGACGAAGGAAGTACCACACGCCCTGGAGGGGGTATGCGGCCGATCGCAGGGCGCGAGACACGTAACCGATGGGCCGCTCGAATGTGTGTAGAACAGGTGCAAAGGGCGAAGCAGCGCCGGGCGCGGCGGGATCTGTGCCTAGAGAAGCCATGTCGCGATCGCTCCGCTGAAATGAGATGCACCTTGCGGGCGCTGCAAATGGGAGGCCGCGGTTCAATGCGTGGTGTTGCTTGGAGTTCTCGGGCCACGATACGCGTCATCGGTAGGTGGCAGAACGGCGAAGCTGCACTGGATACGAAACCAAGCTAGCTATTGGGAGAGGGAATGTGGTGGCTCGTGCACCAAGCCCCACTCTCTTCCTGACCCCCAGCGTTCGGTCGACGTTCTGGGCCCGCAATGGAAAAAGAGCATTGACCAATTATCGATAAGTAGAAATGCTCGAAAGTACAATTCCATTCCCGTAACCGCCCTTCAACGGCCGCAGGGCCCTTGGAAGCTGGAACGGACAGCTCATTGGACTTTATCATTGCCAAAAGCGCCTTTTACGACTGCCTTTTCTGACTGTTTTGGACGAAACACGATAATTCAGCGACTTCATTCGATTTCTCGGGCAATTGATTATCATGGCCCTGATCGAGCAAGGAGCATCGCAGCTCAACAACTCTGCCAAGCCCATCCGGTTGCTTAAGAGGGCTGAATCTAGACACAGTCGCGACGCCACCGTCCCGCATTGAATCGTCAAAGGCTTGTGGAACAATAAGAAGACAAAGCCCAAAATCATCGCTCGCAGAAAGAGGAGATGGGAGGCTCTAAAGCGAACTCCCAAGCCCAGGAAGACGTGACATGTGCTCTTTTGTAGACGGATGGATATAAGGTACTCCATGCAAGAGATCTCATTCGTGTACGGATACGGTTCTTGATCTTTCTTAAATCCGATCTCAGTCGCGGCAGGCAAGTTTTCTCCGCTGATCCAACTCAGGCTAACCAGCTGAGTAAGCACTTATTGTGGACATGGGTTAGGCGGGCTGTCGAGCGGGCAGTCCAAGGGCACGGTTCTGCGTTGGCTGACATCTTTGTCAGCTCAAGTCAAATGGGGTAAAACGGTTCTCCCCCAAGACGGCGTGATTCTTCTCTTGGCTACCCGATTGGCATTGTCGGCCAGACTGAAACTTGCGCTGCATGTCACGGCGGGCATATCCAACAGCTTCCATACGCTCAAAGAGGCTGCAGCACCTGAAAGGACGAGCGAACCTCAGCCAGAGGGCCTGGGCCTGTGCCATCCGGCCGCAAGTGGTTTGGGCTCCAGCCACCGCGGCAGGCCATTCATTGCATTCCCCACCTCACCCGACGTTGCCGCTCAACCCGCCATCCAGTCCGTCTTCAGTTGCGGGCCCCATCAATGGACCTCACCGCCCCAGATTCATTTGTTGGGGGGGCTGACCACAAGAAGAGGACTCGCATCAGGTTCTCTTGTACAAGCTGTCGAGGGAAGAAGTAAGTTTAGGGCCGACGACTTCCATGTTACGACTCGCGGGGTTCTTGGTCTCCGTCTGAAGCTCAAACACCGCGGCGCTATTTCTCCGTGAGACCACTACCCTGAGTAAATGCACCACTAGCTGACCACCGTGATATTGGCAGACTAAAATGCGACCGCCAGTCTCCGTGCGATCAATGCATCAAACGGGGCCTTGATGGCACGTGCCAGTTCATTCCGTACGTCGCGACAGCCTCGCCATCTGAGCCGGCGCCGGGCCTGGCTCGTGCTGCCGCTTCGGCGTCGCCTCGTGGCATAAAGCCGGCAACCGACTCGGCTCTGCAGGCCCGCTTGAAGCACCTGGAGCACATTGTGCAGGTTCTGAAGTCACAGCGCCGATGGGCCGGCGACACGGCTCTCACTGTCGGTAGCGAGGGAGATCAACAAGACGACGACTATGGCGAAGGTGAAAACCAGTTCTTACCTCGCTGCCTCAAAGAGACGGCTGGGCTGGTGACGGAAGACCAGAGGTATATCGACAATGCAAATTGGGAGGCCATTTTAGATCACGTATGTCTATCTATCCGAGGTTTGCGCGTCTGTGGGCACTGCTGCCTGACTAGAGTCTCAGTGGTCTAACTACCCCTTTCGTACACAGATAACTACTCTGACTAGTGACCTTCATACCTTTGACGACATACCTGACGACATACCTGACGATACTCGTACTCGCCACTTTATTCCTTATGACTATGCCTCTTCCGCGAAGGGCCCCGTTCTTTTTTCGGGCGTCTTTCCCCGCGCAACCGTCGCCCAGATGGCCTTTCACCTGCCACCGCGTCCGGTTGCTGACCGTCTAATTTCTGCCCTGTTCGAGACGAAAGAACCATCGTGGGTAATCTTCCATGTCCCTTCATTCCTGAGGGACTACAATAGACTTTGGGAAAATCCGTCCAAGAGAACATACGCCAGCCTCGCGCTTCATTTCTCTGCCTTTTCTCTTGCATCGCTCTACATCCTCGGGCGGGGAGAAGAAATGCCAGGCAACCTGGGTCCTGCTCGTGCTGTGTTTGAATCATTTAAAGCGCACGCGGCCCACTGTCTAGCGCTCAGTGACTACACAAAGCCTGGCTGCTACAAGATCGAGGCATTGATCATGTTGTTTGGGTGTGAGTTTGTGGGCTACCCGGATGCGGTAGTCGGCAGCTCGATGCTCCTCACCATAACCATCCGCCTCGCGATGCACATGGGCATGCACCGGGATGGTAGACATTATCCCAAAATGTCCCCCTTCACCTCTGAAATGCGGAGAAGGAAGTGGGCAATGTTGAGAGAAATTGACCGTCTTCTTTCATTCCATTTCGGCCTCCCCAGCAATATCCACGACCGATTCTCTGACACGGAGCCTCCGAGGAACCTCCACGACGAAGACTTTGATGAAGAAACCGAGGTACTCCCTCCATCGCGCCCATTCACAGAACGGACTACGGCTACCCTGATCATTTTCAAATCCCGCCTCGGCGCCGTGTTTGGCGAGATTATCGAACCAACAAGTTCGCCGAAGCCGATGAGCCATGCTGATACCTTGCGTCTTGATGCGCGACTTCAACAGGTCCACGACAACATACCGGCCATCCTCCAGTATCGTCCCCCCAGTGAGTCCCTGGCGGACCCTGTCGATCTGTTCATGCAGCGATACCTGCTAGACCTGATCTACCTGAAGGCTCGCATGGTTCTTCATCGATCTTACCTGGGACTTGGCCGACTGTACGAGCGCTACGCCGACTGCCGGCGTATTTGCTTGGAGTCTGCCATGCTGGCGCTTCAATATCAATACGAGATTCACGTCGAGGTTCAACCAGATGGTCGGCTGGCCAAGGATAGGTGGTTTTTGAACAGCTTGAGTGTCCATGACTTTTTGCTGGCCGATATGATTCTTTGTCTTGAACTATCCTATCTCACCGCGAAAGAAGATAAGCCCGGTTCGCAATTCACGATAGAGGTTGAAGTGGTGGACGGCGCTGTTCCTGACGTCGTGGCAAAGGAAAAGCTGCTAGAATTGCTCGAAACCTCAAGGCTCGTTTGGCAAGCAATGAGGCATCAGTCGACCGAGGCCAATCGGGGCTTCAAGATTCTGAGCAAGATGCTTAACTTGTCGATGGGCGCGACAGGCTTCAGTTCGGAATCTTCCAACTGTTCACCGGAAAGCCAGGACCAAGCACCTTCCCATCACCCTCAATACCAGACTGGTACGGCTTTCTTTTCTATTGTTCGGATTATATTTTCGGATGCGTCATGTCGCATGGCCAACGGCCCGAATTTACGTTCTGGGACTCAATATTGACTAACCTAGAAACAGGCCTGGCATCAACGAACACGTACCAGATGGCAGAAACATCTGCCCCACTGCATCATGGCGCAGGCCGTGCGGAATCTAACTGCCTTGTATGGGCGTTCCCTACCAACCAACCGCCCGAAAGTGAATTGTGGAACACAGATGCCGCTGGTGGATTCGAAGAGTCGGAGGTTTCATTCGTCGACAACACTGACCCTGGCCTTATGGACTCTAATATAAACACAGACTGGGTATGACCTCTATGGTCTTGTCCTGCAAACTTTCCAGATTCTTTGCGCTGACAACGAACAGTCGATGTGGGACAGCCAAGTCCAAAATATGCCGCACACTACCGAGGAATGCATAATACCGTGGGAGTCATTTTTTCACGGTGCCATCCAAAGTAACCGCATACAATGTAACGGCAGCAATTCTGGAACAGGCCCTCCTGTGTGAAAGAAAAGCCGTAGCGGGTGCATTCGGGAACGAAACAATAGCAAACGTCGTGTGGGTTATTTTTTATGCTATCAAATACATCACAACTTACATCATAGAGCCTTGGAGTGCAAAAATTTGACGGCGCAGGGGACTTTAAAAGTCTCGGGTGCAGTGCTCGGATATGTGGGATTCCGCGCAACTGCTGGACATTTTATTTACCCCTGCCCGGATCCTCCCTTAACGGGCCCTATAAAGATAGTAGTCTACATACATGCAGGCTGTGTGCCGCCACAAAAGAGGCGGTGTCGGCTGCACCCCTTGGCGCGTTTACGCAGGCCCTAGCGTGTTGATAAACGAGCAGCAAGGCTCCGAGTCTAGCCCCTAGGATTCTTCTTCCAGGTTCGGTGCTTGTGTTCTACTTCCCCGCCCCCCAACCGCGAACTAACCTAACTAGACTTACACCTAAAGAAAACTCGAGGGTTAATAAGTATTGCAGCCCGGGGTCCCAACGACTCGGCCCAAACGGTCTTCATCGTCTTGGCAATTTTGTCCGCTAGCACTTGCTAATAACTGAGACGGGGTATGAATGTCATCACGGCCCACAGTCCAAGGGGAAGAAAAGATGAGCGGCTCGCTTCTCTTCGTCAACAAGGCCCAGTCTTCGGACCATCTGTCACGAAGCTAGGCTCAAGAGAAAACCAAGATTCTGAGCCATGTTCAGACGAACCGCCGCAAAGCAGAGAGCGGACAACGACAACCATGGTCAGGCTACACAGCCATCATATCAGTCAACGACGCGGGGGCAGAAAACCATGACCCCAGCCAACAGGGCCCGAAGCAGAGGAGAACGGCGACAAAAAAGCGAAAACAGTTACCAAAGCAGCCGCCGACGCCGACACGTCGACGTTCATGGAGCTGCTCACCCACTACCCCGCCCACAATGGTTCGGACCCCTTCCACTGCACAGTTGTGCAAACAGACGCGGGCAACCACGCGCTGTTGCAGTGCGCCTTCTACATGGCATTACGGTCCAACTTCCTCGCCGCAGAGCCTTCGCACCGCCGTTGGTCTGTCTGCTGCCGCACATGGCGATGCGTCATGATGCCATAGTGCGCGAGCGTCTTCGCCGCTGCGTCGAGGACCCCGCCCTTATGTACGCCACACTCGCCTACGGAGAGGCACTTCTCGGCTAGTCTATAGGCGGACTGCCCGACGAATAAAAGGTGGAATATGAACACGGAGACGGAGACGTCGAGGGAAACGCAAGGTTTGGTCACTCTGTCCAGTTGCCGATCACGCTTCGGCGTATATTTGCCCCCCCTTCGCCAGACTAGGTGGAAGCTGCTGCAGCCAACGTGCAGATTCTCGTGGTTCGTCTTCGGGAGGGGCCCGTTGCTATTACTACGTACGTGCCAGATGACTGTTACTGGCAGGCACAGTAGCGGTCGACTTTTGGCATAGCGGGCTCGGTGCTCCTCGATCGGGTCAATTCTTCTCCTCTTTTGGTGGTGGCAGCGTGGAGACGGAGAGGTTCCATTGCATGTTCGTGTCCGTGAAGCGTGTCTCGCAGCTCCATAGCGCAATTGACCATTCTAGTAATAAACAAAAGTGGCGGTTGAATGACAAACCGAGGGTAGTGAGAGGGAAAGAAGAAAGAAAGACAACGATGACAAGGCTCTGGAGTTGGGTCCGCCGATCCTACCCTAATGCCCGATAGCCAGCTGCGAAGAGAGGGCGTGTGTCAGCGCGACTCTGCAGCCAACAAGCAAGTGTCCACGGGCGCACCGTGCAGTGGGCGGGCAGGCAGAACACCGTCCCGGGTTTTCCCAGGGCGCTCTCCCTTACCCTCAGCCCCACCACTGGGGCCGAAAGTGAGTCGGCGCCAAAAATGGAACGTTGGAGGAACACCGCGGCGGCGAACCCGTCTTGATCCGGGTGCGTTTTCTTCTTCCTCTGGTTCAGGTCCAGACCAAGGCAGATAGGCCCCATGTCCTGAAAGCTCCCCTCCCGAGACAAGAGCCGTGACCCTGGCTCCAAGCTGGGGTCGCCGGCGCTGGAGTTCAACGCGCGCGGCGCCCTCTGCTTTGACACGGACGCCGAGCTCGCCCACCGATTAGCTACAGCGCTTCTTTGCCAGTATTGACTATGTAGTCACGGATAACCTCGACGATGTTAGTTTTGCTCTTATTTTAACGTTGTGCTTCGCCTTTCTCAAATTCGTCTGATATATACCAAGTCATTGTGTCTTCGCCTCTAATGATATATGCATGAGTTATTTCTTCTTGTTCGCAATCGGAGAGCGGCGGATGCCACGGAATACAATTGGAACTGTCAACAGCGGTATAAAGAAAAAGTAACGGGTAGATTTATCCACCAAGCACCTTGCAATGCGAACATGAAGTCGGTGAGAGTAGGTAACTGCTCACTCTTTTGTCCCGTCGACTGCGAGGTCGTGCAGCGACAATTCTCGAACTCATTAATTAATTAGGTAGCTCTACAACCAAGCACCTTGCAATGCGAACATGAAGTCGGTGAGAATAGGTAACTGCTCACTCTTTTGTCCCGTCGACTGCGAGGTCGTGCAGCGACAACTCTTGAACTCATTAATTAATTAGGTAGCTTTACAACCAAGCACCTTGCAATGCGAACATGAAGTCGGTGAGAGTAGGTAACTGCTCACTCTTTTGTCCCGTCGACTGCGGGGTCGTGGGTGTGCAGAGACAACTCTAGAACTAATTAATAAGAGCTTTGATGCGCGCACCCACCTACTTTTTTATGCAACCTACCTGGGGGTCTTGGCAGCTGCTGGCAACTGAGATACTCGGAGCCTAATTTAGGCCGGTAAAACCTTGAATAACCATCTGCCGCCCATGTGCTTACCATGCAGCCCGGCCGCCGGGTCGACGGGGTTGAAGCTATCAAAACGTTCAAAGGCCCCGAAAACGCGTTTTCAGAGGTGTTTTTCCATTTTGACGATTTCTTCGTGACTGAGTCAGCCTCGAAAAAGAGCAACTTGCAAACGGCAACTCTGAGGCTTAGATGTGTACGTGTCACCTAAGATTTGAGCCGCATCCGAGCCATAACCGAGTTGAACCGTAAAAGGCCCTCTATGACGCTCACTTCTTAGTATCACGAGATTTCCTTTGTATACTTTTTTGGTATAAATAGGGGCTTCTTTTCCTGTATCTCCAGACCTTTTTTAGACAGACAATTCAAGACCCTTCAAGCCACTGTCAACTTTGATCACGGGCCAGAGTACGCAAATTGGCCAAAAGTCATGGCATCCGGCTAGCGGGTTTTGCTATGTAATCATGCTTTTTTAATAGCGTGATGAATTTCCTTGGTGCTGAGGCTGTCAACTAATCATCGTCTTCTACTGGAATCGGGGTTTCATAAGTATACATAGTACAAGGGCCTGCAGAGGCCACCTGGCCGCTGTAGACCTTAAATCACCAACTGCGCGCAAAAAACCCGGCATATGAAAGTGCAAATAGGGTCATTTTAACTTCACCAAGCTTCCTTAGTGCCCGGTAGGCCGATAGTGGAGCCCGGCATTTTACAATACAAAAAGCGGCCCCTACGTTGGCAGTTGTCAAGGACCCATAGGTAGGTGGCATGAAAAAGTAGTTGGGTGCGCTCATCAAAGCTCTTGATTAATTAGGTAGCTTTACAACTTGTTCTCGAATCTGCCTTGTGAGATGACTTTCCGCCCTAAATAGTTTCTCCATTGGGCCCCTTGCTTTCCTGTTGACCCCGCATTTCCTTCTTCACCCTTGCCACCACACGTCCCTTCACAAGCGATGCAAAAAGCCTAGCCGTCGAGGTGGTGATGAATCTAGCGCTAACCTTCAAATACGGTAATGGCAAACTGCGATACTACTGACGAACCGAACTCCTCAACAACCTCGCGCCAACAGCTCTACGCGCAGCTAGCCGTGCCACCTGGTTCGCGCTCTATTCGACTTCTTGACCTCGACCCTCGTCCACCGAGTCAAGATGGCGGTCCGCTCACTGGCCACCTCCGCGTGGCGCGTCTCGCCGACCAACCATCATTCACAACACTGTCCTACGTCTGGGACGACAAAGCATGCCCGAGCTCTGCGCTCGCTGTTTTGCCCCAAGGCGTCGACCTGGAAATTTCGGCAAATTGTCTCAACGCTCTCCGTCAGATCCGAAGGCAGTTTGGGGCTGTTACCATCTGGATCGATAATGTCTGTATCAACCAGGACGACGAGGTCGAGAAGGAGTCGCAGATCCCGCTGATGCAAGACATCTACAGCTCGGAGCGTACTGGATACATTTGGCTTGGGGAGGGTAGTCACGAGTTGGATCTTGCCGTCGGGTCTCTCAAGTTCCGAGCGACTGCCTCGCTGCGGTTGCCGCTGGACTATCTATGAGCAGCATCCCGACGAAAGCGGCGGCAGGAGCTGATCAGATATACACAAAGCCTCTGGGCGGATGCCTATCGTGAGTACCTCATGTATTGGGGTCACTTCTGGGGTGGTGGGCACTGATTTTCTAATTACTAGGTCGATGTCGTTTCATTGTCAAATTTAAAACCCTCGTGCCACACTCTATGGGAAAGTTCATTCAGGGCCCGAATGAGCGCCTTCGCCTGCTCCACACAACCGGAGCAGACCTCGTTAGAATCCAGCAGCTTCTTGGCACCCCATGGATTTCGCGGGCCTGGACCTTCCAGGAGCTAGTGCTATCGGAGAACCCGGTTCTTCTCTGCGGCGACAACCTCGCCCTGTGGGAAGACGTCATCAATGCAGCCGCAGTGGCGGATGTCACGCCTTCTATGAACACAACCTTGGGGCCGTGGCATTCCCTGGCTGGCATCTGGCTGAGCCTTCCGCGACCTTCGCTCCGGAGACCTGACGACGGCCATGTCGAGGCGTTGCGCCCAGCGCCTTCCTTTGCAGAGCTGCTCGACAAATTCTGGGACGAACAAGGGCCCGTATTTAACCCAAAGAACACGTTCATACCCCTTTCAGTTCTCTTTTCGACTATCGTAATCCTCGCTCTACTCGCCTTGATGGGGTGCATCGTTTTTCTCGTGTGCGGAGCGTCTGAACACAAACACGGTGCAGCGGGCTTTACTCGTTTTACGGCCGGCTTTCTTGCTGTTACATTTTCGGTATTCCTCATATTTGTGACTATGCGCTTGTGGGTTTGGCTAACTGGTTTCCTGTCTTTCATCCACTTCGGGACGGAGCACACGTGGGAGCGGCTATGCATGGAGGTGGGCACAAAAAAAGACGACGAAAGGAACCTGACAAGTCCTTTTCCGACAGCCATCTGGACGGTCTTGCAGGAGCGGACGAGTTTGGACCCCCGAGATAAAGCTTTCTCGCTCTCTGGTATTCTAATAGCAACTGGCTTTTCGCCCTCGCCGCCGAACTACTCTCAGACTGTCAGGGACGCATATTTGCTGCTGTTTCGGGATCTGGTCGTCTCCCATCCAGCTTGCATAACCCTGCTTCTCAGCGCCGACGGGACTCGAAACCAACAACCCGGCTGGCCATCGTGGCTTCCCGACTGGACCGCGCCAGAACAACACGGGTGGCTAGTCGACCGCCGTCGACTAAACCAAGCGGCGGCACACGCAGCGTGCAGCAGCCAGGCTGCTCCCCTCCAGCCCCCGGTTATCTCAAATTCCACCGTAGCATTACGAGGAATGCTCGTCGGCGCTCCGACTGACCTTTTCAGATTCCCCGCTGCTCTCACAGGCGGAAACGAAAACGACGACGGCCAGGTCGTCTCCGCCCTCTGTCTCCTGGCAAACTGGATGTGGTCCGTCGCATGCAAGACGCCTCCTGAAACACCGCAATTCCGCCGCTGGAGCGCCTTGTTTGCGGCCCTCCAAGGGCTATTCCCCCCCGAGACAGAAGTGTATGAGCTAAAGCCGGGCGGCAAGGCCGCCGAGGAGGCTTGGCTAGCAGCCTCTACTGGGAGAGAGAGCCGGAATGGGAAGCGCCCTACGATTTCACTAGCTACGTCGACGCTTTCGAGGTGTTCAATGGGCTGGCCAATGTCGTCGACGACCCCACCATCCCGGATTGGCCGGGTGTGTTGGCCGCGATGAGAAGCGCCGACGACGGGGCGATGTTTGCGTATTTTGTTAGCACAGTTCAAAAGTTGGCGGACGAGGGCAGGTGTCTTTTTACTCTGCCGAATGGCATGGGAGGGTCGGGACCGTTGGACATGGCGGAGGGCGACGAGGTGTTTACGGTCGCGGGGGTTCGAGCACCATTGGTCTTGCGGAGGGTTGAGGGGCAAATCGATGGCTTTGAGTTTGTGGTTCCGGCCTTGGTGCCTGGGCTAATATATGGGGAGTTGTTTACGGAGGGTAGGGAGGAGGAACTTCAGACGTTGGTGTTGCAATAAATATAAAAACTTGGACACGTCCGTCTCATCGAGGTGTCCCCTATTTCAGACCGGAGCGCAACCAAGCTGTGAAAGCCCATCCAGTGTCTTCGTGCTCGAGGAGCTCATGAAAAATGGCTGCGTTCCCTGCGTGCTGGATGTGTCGAGCTAGAATTTATATGTAGCCGACGTGAGACTATTCACCTTTTACATATATAAAACAAACCAAGCGATTATCCACATCGATGCCGCCGCACACCTCAATTGCTTTAATGTTACATGTGACTATGTGGGAACACAACCCGTGCACACAATCACAACCAAATCCAGATCACGGCACCATATAAAAATCAAAGAAAACCACGACAGCTATATACAATCTATTTGTCTCGGTGGTGACTATCTCAGATGCTATGCTCTTGTTCCTTACCTAGACAACAAAAGCTATTGTATATCAATAGTAAATGTCAGCAGCAGCCCAGACAGGAGATAGCTAGAATGTCATTATGACAAACATCCACAGAGATAAGCCACCTCACCTCTGCCACGTCTCGCCACCAGGTCTATCTAGCAAGTCAACACCAACCAGGTCCCCTACTTATCATCATTATCACTCTCCGCCCTTGCCCGTCTTCCCTTATTCCCCTGCACATCCGCAACATCAATCGACCTGCGCCGCTTGGCCGGCACCACTGCTCGTCCAATACTACGACCCCTGGCATTCGTCGGCATTCGCTTGCGGCCGTAGTTGTAGCGGTGGTTGCCCAGCCAGGGGATCGCGACCGCGGTCATGGCTAGCGGTGACTCGTCGGCGCTGCTGTACACTTCTTCGTCGTCCTCGTTCGAGACGGTCGGTTTCGGGGCCGGTGGTTCCCAGCTTGATTGAGCCCGAGGTGCTGGGAGAGGTAGCTGTGGGATCAGATGGTGGCCGAACAGGTTGTTGATGAATGGGTTTTGGCTTTTCACGAAGGGGTTGTGGCGCGGCGCGGTGTCCTTTTGGGGAGTGTTTGCTGCTACGGCTGCGGCGGCTGCGGAGGTCGCTGCCGCGGCGATGGCAAATGCCGACGGGGACGAAGGCGTGTGACGGGGCTCAGTGGCTGCGCTCGCGGTCGTTTTGGGGAGTGGGGCTTCGTCCGAGTCGGAGCCGGCATCATCGATGACGATTGGGGCCTGGGCTAAGTCTCCGCTGGAGGCAGCAGACGACGTCGAGTACGAGTCCGTCGTATTGAGGACTCGGCCGGGCGCCGTCTCAATGGATCGGCTGGCTGCGGTCTTCCACGGCCGGATCGGCGGCGGGGAGCGGTGGGGCTTGGCCTGCAGTGTGGGAGGTGCGGCCTCGGACTCGGGCTCGGACTCGGCTAGGTTGGGCGCCGAGTCGTGGTCCGGCGGCGTCGGCGGCGTGGGTGCTTTCGGTGGTGCCGCTACGCTGTCGGCGTCGTTATCATCTTGATCATCACCCACCTCTTGGTGGGTCTTACCGCCCTGATACAACGAAGCAGCAGCAGAAGCAGCCGCAGGCGTCGAGGCAGCGGCAGTGGCAGGGGTGGCAGCCGCCGACTTGTCGGGCGCCGACACCTTCATGAAGATGGCCTTGGCGTCCACGTCTAGGGTGGGCCGCTGTAGCTCGTCGCGGATGATGCGCACCATGAGGCGCGCGTCTATCAGCTCGGAGATGCAGCCGTCCTTGCGCCAGCGCGCGACGTCCTTGGCGACGACACCGCAAGGCAGGTCGTTGCACCACCGCTGCAGGTCCTTCAGCCGCAGGCGCGTCAGCGCCGTGCGCGACGCCACCCGATAGTAGGCGCCGCCGCTCGTGTCGGGCTCGTTGTCGCCGTCGTAGGCGACAGCGTTCTCGGGGTCTGGCGTGACGTTGCTCAAGTGCGTGGACGGGCTTGCGGCAACAGCACGGAGCGGCCGGGCGCTGGGCAGGGGGCGTCTCGGCGGCATGCCGGATACACGAGCAACCGGCTCTGTCGACGTGGCGCTGGGCGCGGCGTATCCCACTGCGCGGTACAGGTGCTCTCGCTTGAACGAGGGCGTGGCGAGCAGCGGCGCCAGCGAGTCCTTGGGCCCCCGCAAGTGGTGGGCCGGGCCGTTGTTCTTTGTACGCTGGTGTTCGGCTGTCATCAGGCGGTATTTGCTGGTCGACTGCAGCGTCAGGCGCGGCAGCTTAAACTCGTACGCCCAGTAGTCGTTGGGGACCATGGGCTGGTAGTGGTTCTCGGACTGTACATCACTCAGCGTCTGGTCAGTGGCATCCTGCGTGTGCCCGGTAAAGCTTACATAGTAGCAGAGGAAGATGTGCCGCGTGTTGTAGGCGCCAAAGGTGCACATGTCGTAGACGCTCTTCCCCAATTGCGGATTCTCAGGGCCAGACTTGTACTTGTACAGAACCACAAAGACACTGTAGAGGTCAGCAGTGAGGGCAATGATGTCGTCATTCGACCAGCACCCCGGTACGTGCAGCCGCTCCCACCAGTTCATGGCGCCCGCGTGAGATCCCGCCGGTCCGGTCGCTCTAGTCCCGGACAGAATCGTATTCTCACGCTTGTAAAGGGCGTGGCGGGGGTGCTTGGGGTTGGAGAGCACCTGCTCGGCATACGAGAGGTGCTCGGCCTTGACGCGGAGCCAGAGGCTTGCGTTGCCGTAAATCAGGAGTGCGATGGTGGTCCAGTAGCACTGGCCGTTGTGGATGACCTTTTTGTGCAGCGCGCCGCTGTACCAGTAGTTTGGGTGCTTGACGAAAACCACGTCCTCTATCAAGGGGAACCCGCTGAAGAGAACAGGGCTCTCTGTCTCGTGGTGGTAGCTCCTCAAATAAGGCAGCCAGTCCGGGCTCTGGTACATGTCTTCTTGACTCGAGAACTCGTATCCGGTGGCTAGAAAGTCAATCTCGCTGGCTCTGAGCTCGCCGGAAAACTGGTCTTCAAATGGCCTCTTGTAGCCAACATTTCTCCTTATTGCTGGGACGTCAATTCGCATGCCGGTAAGGGGACCGCTGGTGAATGGCGGGGTCTCGTCATCCTCGTCGTCACTACCGTCGGCAAGGCCGATAGTCTCCATAACGGTGGCGATTCGCATGTGGCCATATTCGTGTTTATCGTCCGTGATTGCATTGTCGAAGGAGCGAGAGTCACGAGACGAACGCAGGAAAATCCTGCTACTTCTTCGTGTGGGATGTGCAGTGGGTTTCGCACCCCCTCGGAGACTGATCTTGTCGTCGGCTTCGTTGTCGTGAGAGTCGACACTCTCTACAGTAGTCGATATTCGCATGAGCCTGTGGTTGTATGCATCGTTTCTCACGGTATTGGTTGGAGGGTTGGAGGCAGGAAAGGAACTGCTGCTTCTTGGCGTAGGAGAGGGAGCGTGGGGCCTAGCACTGCCCCGGAGGCCGATCTCGTCGCCGCCATTGTCGTCTTCAGGATCGGGTCGGCGGTAGATGGTGACTTTTCGGGCACCGCCATAGGATGCAGGGTCAAGGAGGGGCTTTCGGCGGATGCTCTCGAGCTCGCGGTAGAAAAGGTACTTCACTATAGCCTCTTTCTCAGACTCGCTTGCCTTGTCGAACAGAACCCTGATGCGTTCGGCCTCAGCCATGTTGGACGACGGTCAAAAGTTACGATCTAGGCTCGCTACTCAGGACTATGGTCGGACAACTAAGAATAACGCAGTAACATGGAGCAAAGCGACCTTCGAGGCTCGAGGTCAGCAATTTGCACCAGGAAGAATTTTTATGCAACCGAATGTGGCCGCAAATCGTAGAACGTGGCAGTCGTCTGCTTTGAGGGCGGTTAGCAGTCTGTCGAGGTGAACAAAGAGGTGAGCGCGGGTCCGAGGCTTCAATTCCGCTGCCGCATCCGGGCAGTGCAGACATGCAATATTGAAATGCGTCTCCACCTACCTTTCTCTTTGTGCTGTATAGCTGTTTAGTCTTGGGCGCGAGGGTTTGGCGTCTTTGTGTGTTGTGCTTCTAAATATTGCCCCCGACCAGCTGCGTGGCTGCGTGGCCGGCACGTAGGTAGACGAGCCAAGTGTTCGGGTACTGTACAAGGACGCCAAAAGGACGCCAAAAACCCGGGGTGAACAGAGTAAAAAGGCAACCAACGATGGTGGGGAGCTAGGCAGCCAAAAACGTTGCAGAACCGCGGTCGCGCTTGCTGGGAAACAACATTCATGGCCTTACTTCACCCTGGTGACCAGGGTCTAGTTAGTTCTGGGCCGCATGTGACCTCGTTCATTACATCATCAAGTCATGCATGACGGCGTGCTTGGTTTTGTGAAAGGGGGAAGGAGCAGGATGCTGTGTTTTACAGGAAAGACTCTGCGTCTAGCTTGGAGGCTCTGAATGATCCCCCGTTACAAGATTAAAAAAACCAAGCATTCGGTGCCATTGCAAGAAATGGACCTGGTATTGATCAGCCGTCGGATTGGCAGCTTGAAAAAATAATTCTAGGTACAACCTTTTAGACAAAAGCTCATAGCCCAGCCCACGTTCCACATTTTCCTCCCAACTAAGGAAGGTATCCCATCTCTTCACCGTCAACCAATTCATCTCGACCAAATTTACACCCCATCTAGCCCCCCTCTCCCAGGCCCCAGCCTCTAACCACCCGTTAAGCCTACACCTCAGCCCCCGCAACATTTGTCTCGGCCACCTCAGCCGCCACAGCCTTTTCTTCCCCCGCAGAAGTCCCACCCGATGGCGGCGCCAAACGATTCTCGACGCTGGCACCGTTCCCAAACATCTCATCCTCATCGCCAAACAGACGGGCGGCCTCCTCAAGCGGCATGCCGTTGGTGTCGGGCCAGTAGCGCAGGATGAGCACGGCGGCGATGCTGCTGGGGATGATGAAGCACAGGTAGTAGCGCCACCCAATGTTCTCGAGGGCCGTCGGCGCCACCTGCAGCCACACAGCGCTAAGCAGGCAGATGCCCGCCGTGCCCAGCGCAATGCAACGTACACTTCTCTCTGTCAGCCGCTAACGATGCTTTATGGCTGCTAGTTTGTCTTTTGGGGTTGAGAATCGTACTATAACCACGGATGGTGAAATCTCCTCACTTCCTTCAGTCTGCCACCCACCCCTGCCATTTGATAATCAATTGCCGCCAACTGTCATGGCAAGTGCCAAGACAACTGGCTGAGGAATCCCAATCGGGGCGGGGCCGGGTGCGGAACCGAGTGGCCCGTGTGGCGCTCTAACACGTGACCCACACACCAACCTTACTTCTTCGAGCCCCGCACAGAATTTGGGGCTTCTTTTCCTTTTCTTTTCCTTAGATTTAGATTCTACGAATACAGCGATCGTAATGCAGCCTTGCCTCATCTGATCGACTGTGCGGTGACACCAACTCGGGAACTTCAAGATGCTTCCCTCTTCTACCGAGCAGGAACTTGTGGCACACGCAAAGTTGATAGATGGATGCATCATACTCAGTGTTGTGCAAAGGTGCGGCCGTTTTTGGTCACGGGTGTGAATTTGAAAGGGGCGGGGGAGCTACTAACTGCCTCCCCTCACCTAAGGGTTAGAGCACGGGTATACGGAATTTACAGGGCCGCGGCTGTGCCTGCAAGTAAGACATTATGATGTGGTGAGATTGTACAGATCAGTCAGGGTTAAAGTGCGTACATCATACTGTACTCGGTGTCTTGATTAGTTAACCCCCAAGCCTGGAATGGTGAGCTCAAAGGAGGGGCGTTCTGGTTTCCAGATTTCCAAGACCCTGGACCTGCCCAGGCGTTGGAGTGGATGCGCGCCAGCTTCGTCTCATGTGATTACTCTATTCCGATTTCGGGACATAGTTATTTGTTTTTATGAGCGCCCAGGCCTTGCTGAAGTCCGTTGCCGCGGGGGGGCACACTGTATTCCCCCCCTCACCCTCCCATCCAAAGAAATTTGGGTTGCCTTCTGCGCACATCCCACAAGCACAACCGACCTCTTGCCTTTATCTTTCCCAATTCAACCTTTCCAAGACTGACTCTCGCAACCCAGCAATCATGGCACACCCTCGCCGATCTCAACTACAAGCAATATTTCCCGTCGCTGGAGCAACTCCCGCCGAAGGCGAAATCGACGTGGCGTACCTGAACCGAGACAGAGCTCCGCGCATGCACTAGTGCGTCTTGGGCGAAATATAGTCCTTCGACACGTTTCTCCGCCGCCGGGCCATCCTCAAAGACCGCGACGGCGAAGAAGTGGTCGTCGCCTTCTATCTCGGCAACTACGACGACATCGTTTTCTCCAAGCTGCGCAAGGGCCACACTATGGCCATCATGTATGCCAACCAGCACGACTTTGACGACGGCACCTCGGGCGTGCGCGCCGAGGACGCCGAGAGCGTTCACGTGAGTTGCTATACTGAACCCGAGATGCGTTCTGGTCTAATCAACGACCAAGTGCTGCACAGATCTTCCCAATGGGCCTCGACAAGCTGAAGCTGCTGGCCGGCGACATGCCGACCTACCCAGACAAGCTCAAGTGCCACGGCTGCGACGCCGATCTAGATCCGGCTGCCGCAGGCAGCTGCGGGAGATGCAAGCTGTACTCGTACTGCGGCAAGGCCTGTTTTCTTATTTCCAAGCTACAACTCCATCGGCGTCGATTTATTGACAGCGTTCATTTGGTGGATAGGAATGCCAAGTCACAGGCTAGAACAAAAACGGCCACAAGGAAGCCTGCAAAGTCCTGAAGGACCGGGCCTTCATGGTCTTGGTTAAGCTCAGATTTAGCCGTTACGACCTCGCGATGCCCTTTATTTTCAATAACTGCGTACTAGGTTGTTGGTAGACTTGGCCCGGTTTCTGGCTTTGATGCCATCCTCGAAGTTCTCATTCATGAGATGCCATGTAAGGGGCCGCACGGACATGTACATTCGGGCGTCGGGATAATGGATATTATCATGATTTCTTTATTCGGCAACAAAGAATTAAGTCATCCGTCTTTCACTTCCTAACAATGTCCATGTGTTTTATTCGCAAAAACTAGTCTGATGCCTAAGAAAGAACTTTCTTATCGGCCAGACCCAAGCTAGATCCGAGCATCTTTACTGGCATACTTAAAGGCCGGTTCATGGGCGAGACTTGGATTTGTTCTGCTAACTTGCTTCGTGTTCAACTAGGGTGCTACTTGACAAGCTGGCAACTAATCTTCCGCCTAAATCTAAAAACGATCCCGGGCTAAACTACTCGGTCGGGCCGAGGCTCGAATCCATGGAACCGATACTGGACACTATGTACCGAGGTGACAAGACCAGGTCACAGAGCCGTATTTGCAAGAGCCCGCCTAAGAAAACGCACAGAAGATCACCAAGGAATAGGAGCCACCCCCCGCACAAACTCACGAAGCCCCTGAGCCAGCTCGAGGCCGTCCAGCACATCCCCGTTTGGAACGTGGAGGACTTTGTGCGCCGGTCCGCGGAAGTCCGCACCGCCGAGTTTGCGAAGCGTCTCCATCGCGGGCCCTCGAGTCTCGGTCCGAAACCATCCAACGCCTTTCTGCTCTACCGAATCGCCTACGGGGCGCGGTCGAAAGCTTTGTTTGCCAGCGGACGCATCAAGCGAGCCGCGGTCCAGTTGTTGAAGCTGGCGAGACTCAGCTGGAAGATCGAGACGCCCGAGGTGAAGGCGCAGTTTCAACGTTTGGCTGAGGTCGAGAGAGAACACCACCGCATTGTGTTCCCCCAAGTCTCGGCAGATTTGCCAGCCGCGGATGAGGCTCTCCAGGATAGGGTTATAGAGGGCGTCGGCGAGGAAAATCCCGAGATACACGACGACGCAGCTGGCCAGCTCTCTCCAGATAATAACATAGACCTCGACAACTACAGCGCAGATAATGTCCCGGACACGGCTACAGAGCTGACTCCCTCTCTGGAGCCAGAAGCCCCTACCAGCCCCACCACGTGCAACGCCGCAGTTCGAGACATGTCCGCCCCTACCCCATTTCCTATCAGCTATCATACCACACCACTGCCGAACCTAAGTGCCATCTCGGGCTTTGGCCTCGGCTTCACGTACCCGCAGAGCTTTCACCCGACGGGGTGTCCCTGCCAGCCGTGCTTCGCGCAATGGCAGCTGAACGGCGAGCTCATCATCAAGTCACTTGAGCTGCTGCATGCTGGGAGCCCCGACAACAACGATAGCATGGAGATAGGCTTCCATTCCGGACCGTTGGAAGCCCCGCAGCTGCGGCATTACAGCTATGTGGATCTGCCCCAGCCCCAGCCCCAGCCGCCTCAGTTCAGCTTCAACCACCGGTGGCAAGAGGACGACGTGTACATGGGTTTCAAAGAGTACCTCGCAAGTATTAACTCACGTTCGAGCCAGGAGGACGAGGTAGCTCCTCCTACTACTTCTTCTTCTGCTGCTACTGCTCTTGCTACTTCTGCTGCTGCTACTCCTCCTGCTGCTACTCCTCCTGCTGCTACTCTTGCGCCAGCTGCGGCGGTGAATGGTAACGGTGACGGCGAGCTGTCGCCAGGTTTACAGATGGATATCGACCTGTCTGAGTGGCTTGACGGCGCGGCGTACTCGGAGCAGACTGAGGCGTGGGCGATGCCGTGGTTGAATTCCGGTGAGGTCTTATACCGGCTGTAATCAGGTATCCTACCTACCTAGTTTATGCCCAGTTGCTAAATGTTTTCTGTCGACTTTGTTGGCTGAGATAACTTGCCTACCTGGACTGTATTTAAAGAGGGCGGTATTTGTTTGCCGCGGGTATTGCGAGCCAAGGACAGCGGAGAGTGGCGGCGCCGCGTTGTGGATTTTCACTATAGAGAGTTCAGATAAAGAATGAGTGTCTTTGCTTGTTTGCTTTAGGTAAGTATGCTGTTTGTAAGCTAGTAGATAACTAGAATGTTGATAAAGAAATTGAGTCTCTTTGTTTTTTTAATTGTTCCTTTGAAGAAATAGTCTCTTGAATGTGCGCTTTGGCGTGAATTAACTATGTGCATGACGGCTTGACACTACCGTTAATAAATGCTGTCTCAGTAAGGAAGAATTGGGTTTCATTTCCTCTTGTCTTTATCGCTAACTAATATTCAAGCCTCTCAAATCTACCACACGCCCCCCACCCCCCACAGTGTATTTCTACCCCCTATGTAATTACAGCTGTCCCCCTATGTACTGACCACCAGGCCACCACCCCGCTAAGTCGGATTCGTAATATTCATGCCCTTCACCCAGGGCTTCCAGAAACCCTCCACACCCTGCGGAAACCGCCACGCCGTCCAATTATCATTCGTCAAGCCCCATGTGTCCGGGAACCCCTGCCGGCCCTCGCGCACGCGGTAGCTGCCCGCGAGGCTCCAGGCCATCCAGCCGGCGCGGTAGCGCTTCGTGAAGTCGGCGAGGCAGTTGGTCAGGGTGTCGGTCAGCAGGGTCGGGTCCTGGGCGTGGCCGAACTCGGAGAGGATTACAGGGGTCAGGCGCTGCGGCGGCGGGCAGTCGGCGGTGACGTTGCAGGCGGCGGGGCGCGGGGCCACGCCCAGCGCGTTGAAGCCATTGCGGTACAGCCCGGCCTCGATCAGCCGGCACGTCCCCGTGTCGAGGTCCTCGCTGCCGGCGTACAGGTGCAGCTCAAAGACGATTTTGTTCTGCCAGGGGTAGCTGGCCAGGTCGAAGAACACGGGCTCGCGGCGCAGCGCGTCGCGGATCGCGCTGCACTTGTAGCACGGCGCCGTCAGCAGGTTCTTGCGCGTCGTCAGGGCGGACACGTCCTCGCTGAACTGCATGCCCGACCACGTGATCAGCAGGTCCGGGTTGGTGGCGAAGATGACGTCGGCGCCGGCCGACATGTTGCTGACGAAGGTCTGCCAGTTGTAGCCCAGCGCGGGCGCGGCGTAGCTCTCGCGCAGCTCGTTGCGCAGCGACATGGACACGACGTTGGTGTGGTTGCGGGCCCAGGCGGCGACGTAGGCCAGGCCGCGGCGCCAGGTCGTCGTGTTGAAGTTGGCGTCCTTGAACCAGGCGTTGCCGTCCGTGTGCGAGCAGCACCACTGCGCCTTGCTGACGTGCACGTCCGGGTGGATGAGGATGCGCTTGGCGGCGGCGATGCGCGCCAGGTCCGACCACAGCTTGAACCGCGTCGTCTGCGCCGTCCAGATGGGGTTCTTAGCCACGATGGCGTTAGTCACGCGCGTGCCGTTGGCTGCCCCCAGCGCCGCCGTCATGGCCGCCAGTAGCGTCACGTCCGCCCCACCGTTGTCGTAGATCTCGTCGACCATCTGGATCGCGTAGCCCCTGCGCGACGCGTGTCAAATCAACAAGGCTGTACCTGTTTACGACACGGCAGGGTATTGACAACGAAAAACAACTTGCATGCGGATGACGTTCCAGCCCACGCTGGCCACCATGTCGAGAATATCGTCTGCCGATGCCCACTCGAGGCCCTCTGGCACCATGCTCTCGCCACTCATCGGCCAATTAACACCAGCCCAGGTGATGACGTCGCCGCGGGAGTTGACAATGTCCCGCCCGCGCGTGCTAAAGGGGCCGTAAGGCCACCGCGTGCTGTTGTCGGCGCTGGCGCTGAGGTCTCGGCCGGGCGCGGGCGCGAGTGCGGGCAGCGGCGCCGGCGCCGGCGCAGGGCCGAGGCCGTAGCACGCGACAGTGGCCGCGGCGAGCAGCATGGAGACGGCGAAGTACATGATGGCTGAGCACACGGCGTTCCATGCGTCGCTCCGCGTCGGCGGATGCGGATGCGGTGACAGGGGGGGTGGAGATGGTGAAGACAGAGGCAGAAGCGAGAGGAGGAGAGGCGTCTCGTCCTGCTTCGCACTCGAGTACTGACCCGAGACTGCAACTGCGACCGCCTCCAACGGCGCGTCGCGCTCCTTCGGGACCCTCACCCCGCCCTGGGCCCTTTCATCTAAAGGACTGGTGCTGGATTTAGCATCCTTGCTGCACATTATTTCGAGTCGCGAGCGGGCTGGCCTTCGGCAGTGGTCGAGGCAGGTCACGTCGACGGGTTATGCGGGGAGGGCATGGCCAAGGCTGGGCCAGATTTAGCCGCCCCATGCCCTTTTCGGCACCTTCGGCACCCCTTTTGCGCCATTGTTTGGGGTCTAGGCGCGGTGCGGGGCACATCCGCCTGTGCCTGGCATAACTCCCGGTCGGTCTGGGGTGCAGGGGCGTATTTGGACACGAGTACGTCACCAAGGTGCTTTCTTAGGGGGGTCGTCATTAATGGAGGCGTATTTGCGAGCTTAGCGATGTGAGTAATTAATTAATCTACCCAATTCTTCAGCACGCTAAAATGAGACAAATAATCATTTTCCCTACTGCCGCTTCGAGTGATTTTGAGACGAACAAAGATACGTCAGGAATGGAGAAACACGTAATTATGTCAGCCCAGTGGAATTTGAAGTGACGCGATAGCTATGGACGGACAGGCATACTCAATGAGAAAATCCAAGAATGCGTCCTCAGGATAAGGGGATGAGAATAATCTTCAGGCTGTAACCGACGACTACTATTGTTCTTCCACGACTACAAAGCTTGCTAGCCATGCACTGCAGCAATGAAACATTTTATCAATATTTTCCGAGTAACCACAATCATATCCCAACCGCTAGCCTATCACTCGCAAAATGGGACACCCGCAAAATGGGACACCCATGGGCAACAGCCTCCTCTTACCACTGTCCAACTGGTCGACATTCACTGCGCGCCCCGTTGGCAGGTCGCCATGTCCCGGACACGGCAGATCGCGACGACAGACGTCCACGCCAACCTGGTATGACATGTAGCGCAATCACGAGGCAGTGTAGGTAGAGTCGAGCGCGCCAAACTTGATGTTGGAGTAAATGACGGTGGCATCGCTTCGGCAAGTTGCGAACACGGCAGGTCAGTATCCACACGCCATTATTATTAAAGGGGTAATGGATGCACAGTAAGTGCTGGACGACTCACGCATTCTTGGACTCGACGTCGGAGGGCACGCCGCTGCTGGTGTCGCAGGTGCCGCGGCCCTTGCCGGGCGTCGACGGGTCGGCATCGGTCGGGTATGTCGAGTCGAGCCAGAGCATGTTGGAGTAGTGCTGCTGGTATTAGCCGGGTCGGAAGGAAGGACGGGACAAGAAACTCACGTCATCCCACAGCGAAAGAACTAACACCATGGGCTTGGCCAGGGCCTGGGCCATCACGTCGAAGCCGCCAATCTCGTTGAAGTGGTCCCCGTCACCAAAGACTTGCTTCTGGGCCTTGCAAAAGTCGGGCGTCAAGCTGTTGCCCGTCAGGCCGGGCCACGTGGGGTTGGGCAGGTCGATGCGCTTGCCGCCCTGCACGTAGAACTGCTTGATCTCGGTGAGCGTGGTGCCCGAGCCGTGGAACTGGGTCACGATGGTGAATTTCTTGTTGGTGTCGACCGTCATCCCGGGGCCGTAGAAGTCGTGCACGCCCATGCGGTACGCGTTGAAGTCGCACCCGTCGGGGTCGCAATCGCCTGCGTACCGCGATGCCGAGTACGTGCCCCCGCAGTCGTCGCCCTTGCACGAGTGCTGCGCCGAGTTCTTGCAGGGGTGGGGCGTGAAGGCCGTCGAGATGCTGTTGGCCTCCCAGATGTCCATTTCGGCGCAGCACGACCCTGTGCCGCCGACGCCGGCGTTGGCGTCGTTGGACGAGGCCTTCCACCCCTCGACGTTGCCCTGTGCACGGGAGACGTAAGTCAGTGCATGTCCTTACCCGTGGCCTCCCGTCACCCACAAGATGTTCTATGTGCGGTTGTTGAAGCTCACCTGGCCGTTGATAAACTTCAAGTCTCGGGGGCACTGCGAGTCGCAGTAGCCGGTGCCGTACTTTGCACCGGCCTTGTTGCCCGAATACTTGCTCATACCGCCGTCCTCGTCCATGCTGACGAAGTAGACGGCGCCATTCAAGCCGCACGGCAGTTTGCTGACGTCGACGTCCATGGTGAACTCATTGCCCAGCAGCGTGAACATGGCGTACTTGGTTGGGCTGGCCATGAGGTACATGCGGGAGCCGATGTTGGTGGCGTACTGGCCCTTGGTGACAAACTTGAGCGTCAGAGCATTCCCAGACGTGGAAGCGCCGTAGGTGGCAGTGTAGTCGGCGCCGTCGACCACACATTGCGAGGCACACTTGGCGTTGGTCGTGCAGGCCGTGTCATTCCAAGTGTTGCCCGTGTAGCAGTTGGAGTACCCGCCCTTGTCGTGCAGCCATCGCCAGTTGGCGTCGATGGTGATCTCGCCGTTCTGGTTGGTGCAGCTGCCCTTGCCGGAGCACTTTTGCCATGTCATTTTTGGGTGCGTCTCCGTCTGCTGGGTGCCTACGCCCTGGCCATTGACCACTGACGCGAGCAGCGACGTGAGGACAGCAAGCTTGGAATGCATGATGCTGGTGGTTTTCACGACAGGCAGCTCTTACAGGCAGCTCTTGGCAATCTGGGTAACTCGGGTACAACTGTAGACCTAGACCTGTGGCTGGAGTCTGTCGAGACTGGACGTGCTGCCTCGCCTGCTACTTATAGCTCTGTCAAACTTACCGCAATGGAGCTCTAGCTGGGGCGTGGCCGCCCCTACTGGTGGGACATTACCTTGCTTAATTACCGCGGGACCCTGGAGCCCAAAGCTCGAGTGGATCTGGAGTTGATATATACTCGGCAATGTGGCCCTTGCTTCCGCCTGTTACTAGATGCGAGGTGAAAGGCCAAGCGTCCAATGGGAGCGTTGGGATCGCCTCGTTCCTGGAATACCCATCTCAGGATAACAAGGTTCCCCACAGTAACGCGGATTGTGTTGCCTCCGAGCTCCCCTGTTTGGAGCTGGAACAAATCGGGAGACACGTCTGCGGCCGGGAGACACGTCTGCGGCCGGGCGACACCAGCCGGAGTCTTCAGGGAGAGCCATCGTGGCAATGGCACTTGAGGTCGGATGGGTGATCTGGCTCGCCTACGCGGCCGATCGTGGATAGATTGCGGTACTTGGGGGCACGATGGGTTCTCATGAACCTAATGCTGCTATCTAATATGGGGAATGGCGGGGACGAATTAGCCACAAAATGAAAGCCTCGGCTGTGGTGCGGAGGTAAATGATATAAGAAACTGGCGACGGAGGCTTCTGGGACAGTGCAACACCGACACGGGTGGGATGCGGCTCAGTTACGGGGTACCACATGTCCTGTGCCCATCTTCTATGGCTTGGATTGTAGATGGGGAGATTCAAGCTCAATGGTGGATAGGAGACCGGCTTTCTTGACGGCTATGCATATTAGACGTACCGAGTGTTGAGTCTGAACAGGCAGAGATGAGTGACTAAGGAAGGAGCTTGGCTCAAGTCTTGAAGCTGAAAGACGGGGTCTGGTAGAGGATAATAGCTTGATTGAGGATCAGCATCTTGCTTCAGGCGCTCGCTTCCAGGCTCGACGTCCGTCCAACCGGCCTAGCCACAGTTGTTGAAATATCGGGCTCGGTGTTCCTAGGAGAATAGAAACCGCATCGGTCTAGAACAATGCAGGTTCAGGCGCTGACAGATCTGGGATGTTTGTTTGGTGTTTCATCTTCCGGCCTGGGCCTTGTCATGGGCTTTGGGATACCCTTCGTGAGTCCGAGGATCGAGATGGAGGGAATGGCACGCGTGTCGGGCTCCCTGGGCACTGCCGAGCCAGCGGCCGCATGTCCCAGATACCTACCTACTGACAGTGTCGACGGCGAGGCGAGGCTTTGGGCCCCAAACTCCGGTGTCGTCAAGTGTGGATGCTGCCAAGGAAGACGAACGACGGGATTGCCGGGATATTATGCGGGGCGGCCGAATGACCACGCTTGCGAATGGTCCTGACTCCCGTCAATGCTGTCCCACCCCCAGCGCCAAGAGCGATTGGCAGGAGATATGTGCCTGCGGGGGTCCCGACAACCGATTAGGCAGGGCAATAACGGATAGCGCAGCCATTGGGCAGCCCTTGACAAGCTTCATTAAAACCAAGAACCGCCAAAAGACAAACCGGTTGCCATCTGCTCAGAACGCGACGACATCTCGGATATCGTTGCCGGCGCATCTTGTCACGTCCGCGGGCGGATTGGTGGAAAGGCGACTGCGGAGGGAGAGGACCGACCGATGCGTTTTTGCAATTCAGTGACAGTCCCCCAAACGGGCAGTCGCTGCTTGATCGATTGTCAGCGACCGCCGCGCCACAACCTTGAAGGGCAGGGCAGGAGCGCTCGCTCTGGTGCGGGGCATTGGATGGCCAGGCTGACCGGAGGCCCCCCCTCCCCAAAAAAAAAGAACTTTAACTTCCCAAGTCTCTCTCCTCTACGTCGAGGCAGTCAACCTTTGCGGGTACCGCAAGCACAACACGCGCAGTTTCGAACGCAGTTTCGAACGTCAGCGTTTGACTTTGTGGTCGCGATAATGCACGTGCAGGCGCACTAGTCAGCAATAATAGCTAGCCAAGATGGCTCAACCGAGCCTGTGGGAACGGCACGAGAGGTGTCGGTGGCACCAGCGGCCTTGGCGATCCCAGGAGGGGGGCAAAGGTACCTACGCACTTAAAAATCATCGGGGGCGACAAGTTCGCGTGGGCCCGCCAAGCGCTCTCGAAAGGCCGCCAAGCACGCAAAGATGACCAAGGTCGGCTGCTGTGTCCTTTGCCGGACTCGTAACGGCGTATCATGCGTTGGATGACAGAGCAACCCTCGCCCTCCAATGACAGCTGCAGAGCTCGCGGGGTACAGCAATACGCTTCTTAGCGCCGAGGGCATTCCACAAGTCCGAGTTTTCCAGGCCCAACCATTATTCAGCAGCCGAGGTAATTCGCGGTTTTGGGAGAGGGTTAGGGTTCTCGCACCAACTGTTCAGTAATCGAAAAATAAAAAAAATCACCCCTCACCTCCGCGGACATTCGAACCACAGGCAATCACGACGCCGCGGGCAGCAGGAGGCCTTAGTAATGGCCTAGATTTGTAAGGTTGGCAAATGTTCTTTCCACGTTGTGGACTTTCCACGTTGTGGATGCAAACGGCACCGAAAATTGACTGTAGCTTCGTTAAAAGGCCAGGAATATTTTGTATATATACTGGACTCGCGGCGATGTCTTTTTCTCAATGACAAGCGAATCAACAGCTCAAACCAGCATCATTACACCTTCAACACTGTTGGCCAACCACTCTTACACCACAAAACAGACCAACAACAAAACAGACCAACCACACCACCACCAACAAACAAACTAAAGCCACCATGTCTTCAAGCAAGGGCCTTGTCCTTGTCAGTGGCGCCAACAGTTTCGTCGGCGGTGCAGCTATCGAAGCCCTTCTCAAAGCTGGGTACTCAGTCCGAGGAACCGTGCGGTCCAAGGCCAGCGGCGACCCCCTGATTGAGGCTCTTCCAGAGTACGCCGACAAGATTGAGATCGTCCAAGTCGCGGATATCACAGCTGCAGGCGCATTTGACGAGGCTGTCCAAGGTGTGTTGGAGATTTGAATGGGAATAAGTGGGCCGAGCTAACACATGCCCGCAGGAGTCGATGCCGTGGCCCACATAGCCGCACCGGTCGCGCTGAACTTTGACGACCCCGAGCCTGTCATGACGGCCGCCATCGAAGGCATCAAGCGGATACTCGAGTCCGCCCACGCAACACCCAGCGTCAAGAGCTTCGTCTTCATGTCCTCGGTTGTCGCCATCCTGAGCCCCAAAGAGGGCGACGAGATTGTCTACACCGAGGCCGACTGGAACACGGCTTCCCTGGACACTCTGGCTGAGCAGGGCAAGAACACGCCCGGCCACATCATCTACTACGCGAGCAAGACGGCGGCCGAGCAGGCGCTCTGGGCGTTCCGCGACAAGCAGCACCCCAAGTTCTCCGTCACGGCCCTCAACCCTTGGTGAGTTTTGGCACCCGACAAGACGCCCACATCTCTGCGGTTAACTAACCTCCTCCACTACAGCTTCGTAACCGGCCCGCCCGTCGTGGTGCCTAAATCGCCGTCGGGGATCAACTTCACGTCCAGGACCATCTGGGACGTGCTGGCGGGCGTGCCGCTGGCCGAGGCCGGGCTGGCGGGGCTGTTCCACGGCTTCGTCGACGTGCGCGACGTGGGGCGCATGGTGGCGTTCAGCGTCGCGCACCCAGAGAAGACGGACGGCGAGCGCTTCCTGTTAGCCTCGCACTACGGGCCCGCGCAGTCCATTGCCGACATCCTACGCAGGCAGTACCCCGAGCGCGCGGCTATCATCCACGAGGGCACCCCCGGCGAGGGCTACTTCCTGCCCGGGTATATCTACCCCAAGGGCTTCCGCCAGGACGGCACAAAGGCTACCAGGGTTTCTGGTCAGGACTATATCCCCTGGGAGAAGACGGTCGTGGACATGGCGGAGAAGCTGAAGCCGCTGCTCACGAACTGAAACTGAGGTGGGCGACGATGCTGTGTCCAACGGCGATGGTGCGGGGGAGGTGTTTGTGGTCTTGGGTTAATTACCGGATTGTGAACGGTTAGACGTAACTAATTAGACGCAGAGCATGAAGCGAAGACTATGCATAGATCTGGCCGCCTTGTTTTCTTTCGGCGAGCTGCTGGTGCGTGGTTCCATTAGAGTTTGTTGGAATTGCGCCGAAACAGTGCCACGCTTCCTTCTTGCACAGCTCCACGTGGTGCAGGCAACGGGAGTGAGAAAGCCGCCAGCTTGCCTCACCAGCCAGTGTTGTTTGATGCAGATCTTGGCTGGATGAGGCAAGTTCGTCATACTCCGGATGCTGCAGGCATGTTAGCTCTGCAGCCCTGGTGTTTGCTCCAGCCCCGTTTTTCTGCAAGCAGAGTTGGCAGAGTTGAAGCTTCAGTGACCAAAGTGTGTCTTCGTACGCCAATACACGCGGCAGTGCGTGGGTGCAACGTTTCGGTCATGTTTGTTCAGTCACTCGGCAACGAATCGATCGTTGGTCACCGATAACTCGGCGTCACAATCACCAAGAAGGCTTCCATTGCACCGACGGGGCTTGCATTGTCGGCCGGGCAAACGTTTTTTTGCGTTGGTTCGCACACCACTTCCGCCTGGTTTTGGAGATTTCCATGGTCTTTTTGTTTTCGGATCTTGGCGTCTCGCAGCGTTCCTCTCGGAAGGTCGCCCTCATTTTGCCTAAACAGACAAAAGCTTGTTATCCGATTCCACGAATGCGGTTGTTCGATATTAATATGAGCAATAGGATAAATGTAGCTTCGGTTGCGATAGCTTTACAGTGGCCAGATAATAGTTCCGTTTCGTGGCCGTGGGTGTTCAATTGCTTCAAGTTGAGCAAGCATCAATCCTCTCTTTGGGCAATCGCCTTACCTACCCTCCTCTTTTTCGTTGAGCTATTGCATAGCCGTATCCCGTGCTACTTGGGCTTCACCAGTGTGGTAACAGTTGCCTCTGTCCCACCGCCGATATGCGCTTCTCCAAGTTTGCCTTCTTGTGCGCCTTGGCCTCTGTGACCTCGGCAGCGATCACGTTCCGCGTGCAGAAAGCCTCCAATCCCACCTCCGATCAGTCCGATGCCTACGCCCGTATCGAGGCCGCCATGAACCTGGCGGTGGCTCGCTACAACAAGTTGACAACGCGCCCCAGCAAGTCCATTACGGCGCAGTATGTCCCTGGCGTGTCTACCGCCGATGGAAACTTCAACGGCAACATCCGCTTTGGCTCAAGCCGGTCGTACATGAATGAGCGCACGGCGCTCCATGAGATATCGCATACGCTTGGTATCGGCCAGACGCGCGCCTTTGACACCAGGTGCGCCGCCAACGACTGGCCTTCCGCGACGAAGCTGCTGAAGTCGTGGGATGGAGCTTCGGCCAGGATCAATTGTGGTGGCGGGCATATTTGGCCTTACGGGCTGAATTATGATAACGAGTTCAGTGAGACGAATGCAGATCGCCACTGCCATTTGATTGATGCAATGTTGGCTGATGGTTTGGCGCCGTGATGGTTTGGCGTCGTGATTGTTTGGCGTCGTGATGGTTTGGCGTCGTGATGGTCTTGGAGCAAACTTCTTCCTACTGCATCTTTCAGACTCGGTTGTACAGCAGAGGTTGTTGAGAAAGGCAGACACGGGCGACGTGTTCGTGGTGTCAATACCCAAGGTATTTAGGTACCTAATTACCAGGCAGCAAGATTTGTCAAGATCAAGGTCGTGTCAAAGAAGTCCAAGTTTTCGATCCCACCTTCCTCTCAGTCTTGTTTACAGACTTCAGGCTTTGCCATTGCCAACGTGCCCGACAACCGTTCTTCGATCGGAACATCCCTGAACTGACACAGACCAAAATCGCTCAACATGGACCCGATTTCTGCCTGCGGTCTTGCAGGGACCATCATCACATTCTTTGGTGGTGCCCTCAAGTTGGCTGCGAAGGTCCGAAAGCTGCGCGGCCCGAACTCGGGCATTGCGGTGGATAATGAGAGTCTCGAATCCATGGTTATTCGATTCAAAGCGTCACTCAAAGAGGTTGAGGCAAGGGTGCCCATTGGCGTAAGCGACGAGGAGGAGGCGCTGCACGACCTTACGGCTGGATGTAAGGAGGTATCCGACGGACTTCTCACATTGCTCGACGAGTTGAAGTCCAAGAAACCCAATTCTTTGCGGGCTGCAGTGAGGGCTGCCTGGCGCAAGTTCAGGAGCAGGAACAAAAGGCTATTGCTGGAAAAGAAGCTTGATTACTATCGCAAGGAATTAGAGACATTGTGTTCAAGAATGATGACGTAAGTGGCAATTTACCAAAGTAAACTAGCACCGGCTCACTCACTGATTCACATTATCTCCTAGATCTAAGTGTTTTGGCCGACTAGGCGAGACACTGGAGAATGGCCAGTCCAGCCAGAGCGAGCTGGAATCTCTCCAACAAAACGTCCGAGCACTTCAAGGAGCGCTCCAGGCGGGTTTTGTCGGGCCCAAAGTTTTGAAGAGCATTGAGAATGTTATTACGCTCTCGAATCGGGCGACAAAGTCCGCGTGTCTCGCATTCTCCATGGACTACATTTCAGCACCCTGAATACCAGATTTGATGATGTGGTTGATCCCTACAGCCACACTTTCAGTTGGATTTTTGATGACGCGGAAGACGAAGTCCCCGCACCAATCCATAAAGCGCGTCGAGATTTTATCCAGTGGCTTGAGGATGGCATTCATTTCTTCCATATTTCTGGGAAACCTGGATCTGGAAAATCAACCCTGATGAAATACTTGTGTGCTCACGAGCAAACTAGACAGCATTTGAAAGTCTGGGCTGGCAAACGATCTCTAGTCCTCGGGAGATTCTTCTTCTGAAAGCCCGGGCCCGATATGCAAAATAAGCTCCACGGACTTCTTCGCGGCCTGCTCCATTCCCTTCTCTCAGAGTCCCCGGACCTCATCCCCATCATACTTCCAAAACAATGGGACGTCTCCAGTACCCAATCGATGGTTTTCTTTGATAGCTACGATGATATTCGCGATGCCTTTTCGCGACTGATCTCCATTGACCAGGTTTATGACCATCATGAACTTGTTTTCTTCATTGGCGGGCTTGACGAATTCGAGGGGGATCACAACGACATGGTCAAGCGGCTCCTTGGCTGGACTGCGTTGAGACCCCTGGGCGTCAAAATTTGTGTATCAAGCAGGGAAGAGGTTGTCTTCCAGAACGCATTTCTAGACTTTCCAAACGTGCGACTACACACGGTGACCAGGGCCGACATATCAACTCTCGTTCACGGGAAGCTAAAAAGCAATAAGTTCTTCCCAAAGCTTGGTACCGATTCCGACAGGGAAAACATAAGAAAACAACTCGTCAATAGGGCAGAGGGTGTTTTCCTCTGGATGACTCTAATCCTTCGTGATTTGGGAGAAGGCTTGGACAGCGGGGACGGGTTGAAACGTCTCTCAACCAAGATAAACTCACTACCAAGCGAATTGGACGACTTGTTCTTGCGCCTATTCAATTCCATCCACAAGGAAGACAAGAGAGAGACCTAGGCCCTTTTCACTATGACGTTGGATTGTTGCCCGGACTGGCCATTGTTTCGATTTAGTTTGCTGGAGGAGTATCTCAAAGACGTCGACTTTGCCATGGATCGGAACCTTGGTATCATCGACTTAACTGGTGTCATGGACCGCTTGGAAAGGGCTCGAAGAAAGATTTATGGAAAAGGAAAAGGGCTTCTCGAGATAGAACTAGTATCTCACCGAGCCACTCCTTCACAATTACCTTTGACGTTCCAAGAAACTGTCAAGTTCATACACCGATCGATTTTCGAATTCTTCGAAAGCACCCCGATAAAAACTAAAATAGCCCAGACATTGGGAAATTTTGATCTGTCGGATGCTTTATGCCAGACATTCCTAGCTCACATCAAATTAGGGGGCCTGGGAAAGGAGTATCTCGACAAGGACAGGTCAGAAGTCACGAGTTGGCATGTTGTTTCTAATTTGTGCTTAAGGGTACCACCGAGTCTTGAATATGACCTCACAGTCGTCTTGAAATGGCTTCGACAACACCAATCAATCGCATCTCCCAGATTCTGTCTATTTCTCGACGAGCTTGCCAAAACTACAACTTCACGTCTGAAATGCGAACGCCGTCACAAATGTTCCAGCTCCCAGCACTCAACACCCCCCCACTGGAGCGGGTCGGCATCAATCATCATATCTCCACGACGAGCTTCAGGGACATATTTGCTGTAATGACCTCATGCCTGGGGATTCCCGACTATCTTACCCATACAAACCAGCAATTCCTCACCAGTGTGAAGAGCCACATGGCGATGTTGACTGTTGTGGTTGCTGGAGCACACGAGAGTACCACGGACGTCGTTGACTTGTTGAGGGTTTTAGAGCCATGTTTCAATCAGGGCCAATCACCAAACGAGGAGTCCTTTATTGGAGGGTCTACGTGCTGGAACTACATAGTATGGCGCGCTGGGATATTTCCACGGAGGCAGGGCTATCGCTACCTCCCAACCATCGCATTTTTTCTACTCATGGGTGGCGATCCAAGGTTCTGGGTTGAATTTGGCCCCCAGTCAGCGGACGGGAAAATAACTCTCGTGCAGTTGAAGTGCGGCCGCACGAAGATAACGATTGACATTGAGGGATGTGGAACAATGTTGACGATACCTGTCACACGACAGCTTACCTCGTATATACGCCGCAACGGCCCGGAGATATCATTGCGGACAATGGTTGGGCAGTGGTTTCCAAAGCACGCCGAAACACTGCAAGGCGTCATCGACTGGATGCTCGACCGAGGAGGAGAGATCACGGCAGATCAGCGACGCGAGTTGAAGCTAATATTTGATACAGCCCTTCGGCCACTGATTTCAGCCGACGCCGCGTTGGAGGAACACGGAGACGCATTTCCAACCATGGAGATTTGTGGCTTGTTGCATCCAGAGTCTCTGGATGACCCGCAAAAGAGATCGTCTATTGATCAGGACTTGGAGTCTCGATATGGAACGTCAACGTCACAATAGACCTACAGCTAGAATTCTACTAGACTTCCACTTTGCGAGTTAGCTGACCACTTTCTAAAATTAAAGCGCTATTGAAGTCACTTTACTATTACCGATGGGGAGAGAAGCCACTGACGCGGGACAGGTGGCCCAGGGAAATGGGGTTTATATATGCACAACTAGAAGGTGATATGCCCCAAACCTGTCCTATTCTAGTGCTCTTTTCTTTCTTTCCTTACCGACCACCTTATACAGGGTGACCGGCCTACCTGCTCCGATCTAACGGAGGGACGTTATTGTTTTCTTTCCCTAGCTTTTGGAACATATCCGCTCTTTGTTACCATGACCTGAGCCTTTCAGCCATGCGCAGGAGCCTGTGCCTTTCTTCGATATATTAACTACCTGATGTGTCCTTTTTCCCCCTTTGAGGCTCTCCTACAGCTCGCCTTGTGTTCATGTTGTTGCTTTATTGCAGAAGGCGGTGCTTACACCACTTCACAACTTCCTCCTGTTTCTTAGCAAAGGAGGTTCTGACTTTAAATTTATGATGCCGATGCCGAATGCCAATCGCGCAGCCAGATTCTTACGAGTTACCTCAAACTTCTAGAGACAGTCTACTCGTACAGTAAGAAGCATCTATTTATACGGTAGGATACAAAAAGTGGCATGCGCGCTGGGGCCCGCCCAACTAAAATCTACTTTTCGCACTGGAAAGGACGCTAATTCCTGGGATGGTGCCAGCGCAACCAATTTCAGATCAATTAGCCACATACGTAGTCGCACCACAAATACACCACAACCACGTCGCCGTCGCCAACGTCGACATACTTCCAAATGCGGACACTCAGGGCCGTAGAATTCGCGCAAACCGTTCATTTCTACAATAAAACCCAAAGGCTTAACCTATGTTGTTGCTTGCATGACATGCTCAAGAATGCAATAAAAATCTGCCCTGCCTAGGCATCCTCAAGATCGCTGCTTTATTGCGCTTCAAAGGCTGCAGCCAAAGACCTCGTAGTACGACGGGTTGTTGCACCGCGCGTGGAAGCATCTGTAATGGCTCCTCGTCCCCTGCGCGCCGTGGGCGTTGAAGCCTGCGCACCAGTTGAAGCTTGAGTGCGTGATGCCCCTGAAGATGCCCGTGGTGTTGATGTCTTTGCAACACTACCGCCCCGGCTGCTAGGGCCTCCCTTTGTTGCCCAGGCTCCCTGCGCCTTACCGCTGCGGCCGCCGCGAGCAGGCGGGGGACTATGAGGCCATTCATTGTTTGTTGCGCCTGCGAAGGCGATAAAATCGTGGTGTCGTTGTTTTAGCTCAATTGACGGTGTTTGGTTGAATGTAGAAGGTTTTAGCCGATTTGGCGGATGCCCTCAATTGCAGGTAAAAATTGGCCTATGTGGCCCGGGCGCAGGGCGCAAGCGGTGGATTTGGCGATGGCCCCAATTGCTAGTAAAAATTGGCCTAGGCGCAGGGTCCCGGCGTAGGGTGCCGGGCAGGCCATAGAAGCGTTCAATCAATTTACGGTAAAAATCCGATTTTGGCTGGGCTAGTGGCTTGGCGCCTTGGCGCGCATGTCAGTGTTTTGGGGGGGTAGACCCACAAGTACACATTTGAACCAATCACAACACACAAAGAAAAGAGCCACTTATACCGGTCTGAGTGCATAATGCGGCCTGAACCGTACGGGCGTCTCCAAACCTGCCACCTGCAACTGAATTCGAGTCTACAACGACATCAAAAGTGATTACAAAAGCATGCAGCTAGTGTCATTCAAATGCGCGCAATTTTTTGATTATTCTGGTACCAATATTGTCAATAGAACATCTCTGGCGCGCCAGAAAATGATGATGCAGGCCTTTCGGGTGGCAGCCAGGCGGCGTTGTACGGCATTCCTGCGTTGCATGTGCGGCTTCGCTGCGGTATATGCGCGCCTTATGCGCGAGACCGCGAGGCGGTAGGGGAGTCAACAGAGGCCTCTACAGCCCGTTTGCGTGAGGCATCAGGGGAAATACTGGCTTCTGAAGCCCTTGAAGCTGTACGAATGTCCGCCTTCTTCTTCTTCGCAGCCCAAATCTCATGAATCTTGTCCGTAGAGTCGAGTAAAAACAACACCAGTTGCTCCCCTTCTTCATCCTGGTGCTCCCAGTTGTTCAGCGCCGGGACCTTTGCAACAAGGCCCTCCCAGTTAGTAAAAAGAAGCTCCTTTTTACCCCGGGACATATACAGCCTCGCAATAGCAGCCTGGAGCCTCTCATCCATCCACATCTCTGAGATCACCTCAAACCACGTTCTTCCAGGCGGCATGAGAGCCTGAGCCTGCTCCTTGCACCACCCAGACAACTAATCTAACGCAATGCCGGAAAAAGAGCCGGCTTGAGGTTTGTTTTCCCCCTGTTGGCGAGGGGGCAAGGGAGGAATCCGACTAAGTGTACGGTTACAACTGTTGCAGCATAATTATGGTTCAACTGGGCGCTTGTATTCGAGCTCGGGGTCTTCCATAGGCTCTTGAAGGTATTTGAGTATATATTCCCGGAAGCATGTGGCGTTGAGGACGCCGAGCAAATCTATATCTATTTTGTCCCGGGCAACAATGTCAGGTTTGGTCCATTTTAGCCACTTGGGGTAGTCAAACAAGCCTCGGAATTCCTCATTGACTGGATGGTTACATTACCAGGCTTCCGTAGAGTAACCCTCACGACTATTTCAGTTGCATATCTTACAATCGGACCATTGGCACTTCCCGGTCCTTCTCTTGTCCTTAACCGTGCACCACCTCTGGCCCTTGCCAACGGCAACCGAGCACGTGCCACCCGGGGGCTCCGACTCGCGGCTTTTCCCGCAAGGCCAGGTTTCAACGGTTTTCTCGCACATGGTGACTGTGAGTAGACGCTTTCTTTGCTCGCGAAGAGAGGCGGTCGAGGCAAGAATCGATCGACAAAGCTGTAACACGTAACCTGTTGACTGGCAAAGGTGCAAGTGAGTGTTAGGGAATAGGTATGATTGTCCGGGTAGGTGGATGTCTCCTACTGTAGTGCTGGTGATATTATGAGAGCTTGGTGGATAAGGTGGATGATGGATTCATGCTGGGAATGCTGATGAGTGCGAACTCTACTTGAAGGGCTGCGGCTTGCAGATACCGACCTATGCATTGAGATTTATACCTGAAATTCCACCTCCTGCCCTTGCCACTCTGCTCCCATTCCAAATGCCTCATTGTGAAAACTTCGTGTTAAACTGGAGCGAACAAGTGGTTTGCTGCGCTGGGTCGCGAACCTGAAAACTTGTTTTAGAAAACGGAAGGAGACAAAACCAAGATGAGTTATTAGACGATAATTGCCTGTCTCTTGTCACCTACAACATTCCCAACGTACCAGCTAAAAGAAACTCGTCCGACTACCTAGATACGCGATACAAACGAACCTCGACCATCAAATATCGGGGCAACGAACCTCGAATCCAACAAACATCGGGGTCAACGAACCTCGAGTCCAACGAATATCTACAAACGTTCATAGGTAACCCAATAGCTTACAAACCAATTGGTCTGAAGTACGTAAAATCAATCTCCAATGTACAGCCCCATCAGCAACAGATTAAACCAGGAAATGACGAATAGGTAGTTCAAGCTTCCAGAAATATGGTTTCTAAATCACTTGGTTTGAAGCACCTAAGACCAATTGGAAATTTTTTCTACATCGGTTTTCCGATACGGGCTGAACGAACCGCTTACCGGTTTTATGTGAGAAACTAGATAAGAAACGTATGCTACTTAGATTTCCACACGCATCGCTAGTAAATCCATCTACCAAGGGCCTTGCCCCCTTGGTCCCGGCGTTTTTGGAGCCTTGCTCCCTGATTTCTCCGTACCTGGACTGAGCTCAGTTCAGTTGAGCGATCTCTCATATTAACCCGAAGTGTAAGTTCTCCAAAGGGAGTCCTTTTTATTTATCGACCTCTTTTCCGCTCCGAGAACATTGAAGCACTGCATTCTACAATAGATATTGAAGCTAGCTACCGCAACCATCTGGACGGGTTACAAAGCTGATGTAGGCGCTCCATACAGCCTAATATAAGATACCCAGTAAGGCGCGACGATTTTGAAGTTTTTTTTGGCCCTTAACTGAGCTCATCTGGCCAATTCTCAGCTGGACAGTTTTGGCTTAGTTGGAGCCTGGAGGTATAATTCTTACCCAGTTTTCCCGCCAACCCACCCACGCTACGCTAGTCAAAATCACACCCCAACTGCTCAGAGCCCGACTGGACGTAGCTCAGTTACAAACGGAGCAGGCTGTTAACGAATAGCTCAGCTCGATGGCATTCTTTTCAGAATTGAGGTGGTTAGCACTCTGCGCAACATCAGCTATATGATCGCAACTTCCACCACTGAACTTCATCATGCATCGTCATCTGCAACAGAAAGACGAGCCCAGGCGAAGTTGTTTAGGTTGCGTGTTAGCCAATACATCATGCTACTACATTCTAGTTGGCCAGAACATATACTGGAACCCATCTTCAAAGACGCGTGGCATATCCTACGACCTGACTGTATTTGGTCAATGACATGTTGCATGTAACTGGCACGCTAACTAGCTGAACGCGGTACGTTCAGTTGGACCTGGGTGCGAATTCCAGCAAGAGTCAAGACTGATAATTAGTCAGAGCGGTCTTATCGACATTGAACCGCAATACCATTCATTAGCACATGTCTCATAAACCAAGTGTGAATGACGGATCGGGCGCAATTAGCTCAGTGGCGAAAGATGCGTCTTTTTCCAGCAAGTCCGCGATCCATCCAGATTCATACAACATGGGGTAATCCACTAGAGCAGCGGCCTCTGACTCCACGTAGAGGAACATCGACGCACGTGGGAGGCGTGGACCATGGAGTGGACATGGAAGGCCACGAGCCTAGAAGCACTGACTCCCACTCCCGCCTCCCCTTTAGAACGAGGATTGCATGAGAAACAGCGAGCACGTTGCATCAGGAAGTCGTATCTTCCGCTGAATGACCGAAACCACGTCGTCTGCGGGACGAACCTTGATGCTGTCAAAGGAATGGCACAACTTGACCATGGCGGACAAAGCCCCACGATTAGACGACCCAGCCGGACTCTGAACTTGGGACGATGGCAGCTTCTGCCGCGGAGCCCCCACCGCGCCTGCTCTAGGCTCTGATCTTTCCGTTCTCCCACCTCACACCGGGCAGCCCCCTCCTCAATCCTCGCCTCCTTTCTCTGTCCTCCTGAGCTTTCCCCCCTTTTCTATTGTCTTTGTCCCCATTCCTGGCATCTCATTTATACGGGTCTGCTCTGACCGAAGTTAGTGGCCGTGCCCTTCTGTCAATCTCGAAAGGGATATAATTCACAGCGGAAAGTAATCAGGTGGTCCTGCAGACTTTCATAACCCCCCGCCAAGCCAGACCCTCGCTGGGGAAGTTTGCCCCCTCATGAGTCCAAAACTTGTTCCTTGTTGTTCCAGCCTGCTGTATGTATGCGGCGCAGATTCGCGGGCGGGTGGGGGAGAGGCGATTGCCCGAGCAGCACGTAAGCCCGATATGCAGGGTGGAATCCTTTTACCAGGGAACCGCGTGGCTGCAAAACCGGGCAAGAGTTTATCGGGCGTCCTGTGAGGTTGCAAGAATGCAGAAGTGCCGCTTTGACCCCTAGGCTCGGCGCCCTCTTCAGTGGAATCCCCGGTAAGACTCACCCATTTCACACGCGTGTTATCAATTCTGCATGCATGCGTGCGGCACCGACGGCTGCTTTTGCTGCATTCATCCCACCTTGCATTCCCTGGCAGCCTTCTGGAGACCGGAGGGCTTCCTGACTTCCTGAGGGCTTCTTTCCTGCCCCGCTGCCCGAAACAGTGTGCCACTGGACCGCAGTGGCACGTTGTGCAGGTTGCAGGGACAAGAGTGGCGATTGGGCGATAAGTCCGCACTTTCTTTTCTTACCCGTACTTTTGCATTCCAGTGCTCTCTCCGCCGTGGCCATTGCGATAGCACCGGCATTGGGGAGGGTGGGGGGCGGGAAATGCCTGAGCTAAAACCGGGTTCGTTCTGAAGATGAGGCCGCCCTCAGAGGCTCAAGGAGCACACACCGTCTCCCGCACAGGCGGTTCAGCCGTCCTGATTTGTTCTAGAAAAGCGGCAGACTAGGTGTGTGACAAAAGCATTGGCAGCCCCACAGCATTCGTCCCGGGCAGCTATATGCCGCCCCTGGAAGATCGACAAGAAAAGAAATCGACACTAGGGTAGACATAAAGTGATCCGTCGCTAGCATCTCCTCGTGGGGCATGCATGGCACTCGAACCCAGAACTAGGGACATCCCGCGGCGCTACTGCGAAACAGACGTGCAGCGGCCGAGCCAATGGCAAAGCAGCAAGACCGGGGCAGGAGGATTGGGGGCTTCTAGCTCGGCGATTGGGAAGCTGAACCAAGAACCGCGACGACGAGGTACTGTCTGTGCAGGTCTGCTTCGCGTGGACAGGAGACCCAGCAAACCCCTGACGCTGTGACCTTTTTTCTTGTTTCTTCCTGTGGAAACACTCAACAAGACGCACCAGCAGCAGCCACATCCATACTCACGACAACTTGGTTCACTGCTGATGGTTTCTATTATCAGACCAAAGAGACAGATTCCTATCAGACCAAAGAGACAGATTCCCTGGCAATGGCTTGCACACGTGCACGTGCTCTTTGGAGTGTTGTTGGAGTGGAAAGGGATATCAGGTCTCAGCTGCCTCGAACCAAAAACCCTTCTCAGCACGGCACAGGACACCCAGCCCAATCTCTTGTGAAATACGGCTTTCTTTTCTGACCGACGTCCATCCAACAGTCTCGCAACAGCACCCGGCACACTCCACCCGGCACACTCCATCCGGCACACTCCATCCGGCACACTCCATCCAGCATCATGGCAGCGCAGTCCCCTTCCCTTTCGGCCGACTACCGCGCAGAGGACAGAGGCCCTCTGGTAACCACCGTCATCTGCTCGGTCGGGGGCGTCATGACCCTTTTCGTGCTCGCCCGACTCTATGTTCGCGGCATCCTGATGAGAAAGCTGTTTGCCGACGACTACTTCATCATCATCTCCATGGTGAGTCTCGTTGCCACAACTTCAACCATCTCAAGTACAGAGCCTCAGCAAAGACGCGCCTCGCTAACGACGGCCCTCTCCGTGCAGATTAGTTCGTGGGTCGCCATTGGCATGAGTGTCGAGGGCGCCAAATGGGGCAACGGCCGGCACTTTGACGGCCTCACGCTTGAAGAAAAGTCCAATGCCATCCTGCTCGTCTCGGCCTCCTTTATCCCGGCCATCATGTCCTTTGCCGTCCCCAAGTTCGCCGTCGTGGCGCTCTTGTGCCGCCTTCTCAACCCGGCCCGGTGGCACCGCATCCTGCTCTGGTGTCTCTCCTCGCTCGTCCTCGTCATCATTATCATCGGTCCCCTGCTTCATTTTACTACGTGCAAGCCGGCCCGGGCCCTCTGGGATTTCACCGTCAAGAACCCTGTGTGCCGCGCTCCCGATCTCATCGTCAAGTGGTCGTTCTTCTCGGCCAGTAAGCTGCCGTCCATCTACTTTCATACCGAAGTCTGTGGCTAACCCGGCTGGTGCCGTGCCATAGGCTGCTCGGCCTTGATGGATCTCTACCTCGCCGTGTACCCCAGCACGGTCCTCTACAGCTTGCAGATTACCCGCTTGAAGAAGCTCGCCCTCTGCGTTGCCCTGGGCTTCGGCAGTGCGTATGTGCTCCCCGCGACTCCCTCGATCCCCCTCGATTCTCGATCTAACCTCGAACGCCCCACCATAGGTCGACAGGAGTAGCCATCTACAAGACGACGCGGTTGAACTCGCTGGCCAGTCCAGACGTGACGTTCGACACGGCCGACTTGGTCATCTGGACAATGTGCGCGCCGTCTCCTTCCCACCCCCTTCAAACCTCCCACCGTACCAATCTAACCACACCCCCGCATCCACAGCTGCGAAGGCAGCACGCTCATCATCGCCGCGTGCATCCCCGTGCTGCAGCCGCTAGTCGACGTGCTGTCGGGCAAGCGCGTCCAGTACGACCAGTCGTCGGGCTACAAGCGGTATGGGGGGTCGTCGGACGGCAAGTCGGCCTCCTCCTCGTCGCACCGCCACAACCCGGAGCTCGAGAGCGGTACTGCCACTACTCACAGCGGCCGCAGCCGGCTCAGGCCCCAAAACCCTGACGATGATTTGTTGCGCACCGTCGAGGACAAGGCTGTCGACAGCCAGGAGAGCATTCTCCCCGAAAAGACAAGGCACGCTGATAATATTACGCGCACGGACGAGGTCAAGGTCGAGTATGACCATGACACGACGGGCATGCCGAAGAAGGGTCAGTGGAGGGGGTTTCAGAACTTGTAGGGACGTTGGTGAAAGTCTGTTTCCTGTGCTGTTGCTGAGCACGACTGTATGAATGAATTTTACGACGTGGAGGAATGAAGTAACGGTTATCTTTTCTTTTGCGCTACTGACGAGGAGGATTGTTGTCACGATATTTGGGACTGGTTTTATTCTCACCTATAGTCAAGCTCGTTTGCGGCTCTCTTGAGTTCTTTAACTGTAATAGCTTGCTAGGGCCAATTTTCCTGAGCTGAAGTCTTTTACTCCGAATGATAGCTTTCCTTGTCTTATATATGACGTCCGTCTTCCACCGCCAGAACGTTTTCCCAAAGAAGCTTTGGACTCTGTAGACGGCTTCTGCTCCTCGTTTACAATGATAGCACATACAGCTCTGTCGCCTAGATTTGAGACACTTTGAGCCACATTTCAAGCCGCAGTGGCATGTCCCTTCATTACTTACTTTTCGGCTCTTTTTCGGACCTCCAAATGCCCTCTTTTCTCCCTTACTTCGGCTGATCTCGACTCCCTTACTTCGTACGGCTGACTCCCTTGTTGAACGGTGTTTCCTTTGTCCTTTTTCTTGAGTATAAGAAGGCTTTCTTTCGTGTATTACCAGACCTGATTTAAGCAGACAATACGCTGTCAACATCACGTGCAACAAGCTCTCTATTCACTACAAGATAACTAGGTACCTATATACAAAGCCTCTCCATGACTCAATCCGTCGACCTTGTTCAGAAGAACAACCTGATGATCCAGCAATCAAATGGAGACACGCTTCTTTTCTCCTTTACGATCCCGATACCTGACGGCAAACATACACATCGCCAACCTCGGGGTATCCGTCGACCGTCCTGCACACAAACTGGAAATATACGCGCCGCGACGCGGGCCAGGCCTTGGTCTCCACAGCCTTCTTCGCTGAGACACTTGCCAGCGTGCGCCAGGACTCGTCCGGCTCCTGCTTCACGCCGGGTTCGGTTTTCGGCTGGGCTGCTGTCGCTTCCCGCCTGGCTCCTGCGGCCTGCACGCCGTAGGGATTACTCATCTGCTGCCGCTTCGCTTGGGCCGCCTGCACCCCATATATGTCGGAAATGTCTTTCATATCCCGCTTAGCGCCCGCTGCGGTGGGTGGTTTTCATATCCCGCTTAGTGCCCGCTGCGGTGGGTGGTTTTGGCTTGTCTGACGACTTTTGCTTGGGTCCTGCTGTCACGGGCTCGGGCTTATTGGCGGGGGCTGGCGTCGAGCCTTGCGTCGAGCCTTGCGTCGAGCCTGGTCCGGCGGGTTCGTTGTTTTCAATCGGTCGCCTCGAGCCTGTTGTTCCTGGTTCGGGTATGTGGCTGGTCCTAACACCTCCAAGCTTGAACCATTTTGGCTTTTCCCTAGACATTGTATCTGGCTTAGCATCAGGGTCGACCTCAGGCTCGAAACCTTCGGGTTTAGCCTCCACGGTTTAGCGGGAGTTGATGCCGAGCTCATCGAAAAAGGTGCTGCCAGTAAAGCTCGACAGAACTCTACCCTTGCGGGTTCTCTATCCTAAGTCCAGCCACTGTAATGCTCGTCATCTCTAGTTTCAGACTCGCTCGAGTCGCTGTGTTTCGGCTGTTCTTCCCTCAGTAGCTCAACCTCCCGACGCGACATGCCGAGCAGCATATTCCCTTCGATTAGCCCAAAGTTGAACGACGCCTTTAGTCCGTTGGAGCTCTTAGCTGGGAAGATGTTGAGGTTACCGTCGTGGTAAAGGTTGTTGTAGTTTTCTCCTTCCTCGCCGTGCGACTGCACGGCGTACGATCCTAGCAGGTGTTGCGGGCCAAGGGGGCTCGGGTTGGGCTTTTTCTCGGCCAGCTCATAGTAGCCTGCGCATCGGTGTCGCCATGTCGCCGCCTTTTCGGCCTCGTCTTCGTCTTGCCTCTCTTTTTCTTCTTTTCCTAACTGCTCCTCTTCGCGCTGCACAACTTCCTCGTGCCGCGCCATCTCGGCATCCACGGCGGCGCGATCCCACCCGATAACTGTAAGGTGGGGCATTTTCCTCATGAAAATGCCCGGCGCCTTCGACATGATATCGTGCACCAGCGTCGTGTTTTTGGGGCTCAGCTCCCACCAGATGAGTGTGGTTGAGGCTGATGTCTTTGAGGTGGCTACAGTGGCTACGGTGGCGACGCCGTTCACGTCGATATCGAGGCGCTTCTTGAGAAACAAACTCGGGTCGACATTTGCCTGGGCACTGTGGATCTTGTCCTTTTTGTCGCCATCAAAGAAGACCTCGAGCCTTGCAAACCCGGCTTCAATGCCTCGCTCCATGTCGGTGTCCCATCCCACAATCGTCCTCGACCATGAAGCGTGAATGGTCAACCCGGGCACGGCCTTGACTACATCGGCCAGCTCTTGGTGGGTTCACGATTGAATTGCCTCGAAGGATAGCGGGTCTTTCATCTTGGACCTATCCGGTCGGCCTCTGTCGTCTAGAAAGTACTTGGCCACGAAGCGTTGTGCGTCGCGGCTTGCTTCCTGGTAAATATTGGCGCATTGTGTCAAGAGCTCGTCTTCGAGGCGATTGCAGGCGTCGTAATACTCTGCGCGAAGACGGTCTCGCTTGAGAGCGATTGACGGGGCCAGTTCTTCGCACTAGTTTTCAGTACCAGGGCAAATTAGCGTCGATCAATGCCGTAACCTAACGATCATTTGCGCATAATGAAAGTTACATTTGCGGCCAGAAGGCTTTCTTCAAGGCGTCCTTCAGTTCCGACTTGGAACTTTTCTTTTTGAAGGGGATGCCATACAGCTGTAGCTGCGTGGCGTACCATGCCTTGACTAGGTTTTTTTTTCGCCCGAGCGGCCCTCGAATGATTTGTGCAGTTCGCAAGACTTGGCCTGGGCAATGCCATCCATTTTGAAGACATCATTGTTATCGGAGCCATAGTAAGTCGAAGAGGATCCGTAGGTAAAGGGCGGCGAGGAGGCCGGGTCGGGCGCAATAATATTGGACTAATTGTCATTGAAGTAATTGTCATTGGAGTAATTGTCATTTGGCCGGAAATCTCTACGAGCCATGATTTCGGCGGCGGCGAGGTGCGAGATGTGTTTCCGAGGGCGGAGCTTCCCAAGGAAATTCAATTGGCGATTTTAGGTAGCGAGATTGTCAAGGTGGGGTGGGGCAGAACCTTCAACCTAGCCTAGAAGTGGAAGCCTGGAAGTGGAACACGAAATGTGCACGCCAATGCGGGGCGAATCACAGGACGCAGGGGCCTCTCAGGTCAGGCAGGACAAGATCGACGCCCATGCCCTCCACTTCCACTTACACCCCACTTTTGCCTACGGAAGCGACTCAAGGTTAGTCTTAACACAATCTCCATTGGCGCCCTTCCACAAATTATCCAGTATACTATCGACATCCTCCTCCAGATCTACATATCGTCCACTCAGCAAGCGCGAATCAGGGTGCACAACAAGCAGCACGCATGCCTCGGCAACCAGCTGGGCCGGTATCTTGGGTGCGCGTGCGCGATTTACCCTCTCCACCGCCCTCCTCACCCTCACAGTCCCTGAAAATCGCCTCGTCCACCGCGCCGTCCCGCTCCAGTATCCCTGTCTCCACATTCCCTGGCTGGAGGTAGTAGTTGTATACGCCCTTGAGTTAATGTGGACGCGGAAACGAGCTACGAGGGACGGCATGTGCTTTCGAGCACATCCTCCAGCACACCTTGTCGATGGTTATTAGCCACCACCCGCAGATAATTAAAGGGCTTCAATGATGGTCCCTGCCGAAAGGTCCGAGAACGCTTACGCCACTAGGCTGCTTCGCTCGCTCTTCCTACCTCTCAACACGCCAACGAAAGGTGACGAGCCGCTAAAGTCGTGACTGGCATGTGATCGGTAAGCGATGCCTTCATGACAGGAAAGGGACTGAAGCATGACGCAAGAAGTCATTTAAAAAAAAAAATCTTTGATCTAGGTACCCTATCTAAAAATCGGCCCCCCTGGCAGCCACCCAACGGCATACAAGGCGCCAAGGAAGCCCAGAAAAGTAAAAATAACACTATTTACACTCTCACATGCTAGTGGCTTCAAGTCTGTACAGGCTTCAAACCTTGTTGGCCCGGGCGGCCGGACGGCTGGGCTGGCACATGGAGGCGCATGCGCGGTAGGATAGTATTTCACGATTTTACCGGCCGAAAATAAGCCCCGAGTATCTCAACTGCCAGCAGCTGGCAAGGACTCCTGAGGGGGTACAAGGAAAAAAAAATTAAAAAGAAAAAAAAAATAAAAAACTCTCAGACCAGCGCCTCGACTTTCATCGAGACTTCCATCGAGAAATATCATCTGCTCTTTCAAGGTCTAGCACATGATCCAACTGGGTGAGCACAGTTTGGACGTCGAGGACAATCGCCCTGCGCCGCGCCCTCGCGTCCGGGTCGCCCTTGACGTCGATCTCGTCGATCGGCAGCAGCACGGTCTGCAGGACCAGCTCGGACAGCTCGCGGTGTTTCTTTTGCGCCCTGGCTAGGTCGGCCGGCGGTTTCCGGATGAAGCGATCGCAGCGCAGCCGCAGATCCCCGAAGCGGGTGTAGATGCGCTCAATCCGCGCCAGGGCGGGGTTCTCGGCGACCGCGGGCGGGACCTCTGAGTACTTGAGGTCGGCGTACTTGATATCGGCAGGAGTGAAGGTCTTCGTTTCTTGGACTTTTGCCGCCGAGGCCGAAGGGGACGTGCCGGTGCTGGCGTAGCTGGTCGGGGGCCTGACGTAGCTGTATTGAATGTCTGGCGGCGCGTAGGACGACGAGCCCTGGACCACGACTGGCACCGCAATGGGCGCAGAGGTCGCGCTCCCTTCGGCGACGCTCAGCTTGCTGGCGTGGTCTCGCGGGTCGGCTGTCCACGGCAGCAGGCGGTCCTCGAGCCCCTGCGTGGCTTCGATCTCGGCGTCGGAGAGGTTGGTCCAGCTCAGGAGCAGCTTGTCCACGACGCTGGGCGACGGGGCGGACAGGGACACGTTTGAGCTGTGTCGGAGCCGCGGCTGCGGGGCAAGTTCTTGACGGGAAAGTCTTGGGTCGTCTGACCTGGACCTCTCCATGCGCAGAGGGCTCGGACTGCGGCTGACTTCACCGCCGAACACGAGAGTGCGCAGCCACGTGGCCGTGTCATTGGGCGAAGGCCCCCGTTCTTGCAGCTGGGTCTCGGACTCGAACGGCTCCTCCCACGGGTCGTCCAAGTACACGGTGGGAGGGCCGCGGACCTTTCTCCGCTCATACTCTGCATCATCTGCATACTCTGGTCTACTTCGGCGCTCGACGTAATCGAGTTTGGCTCTGTCTCTGTGGACGGCAAGGAAGTCGTCACTTCTCGAGGGGATGGAGAGGTCGTCGAGCGAGCGACTGAACCTGGTCTCGGTCTGAGTGCCGGCGCTGCGCGATTGCCGCTGGGGCGCCGTGTCAAGATCCGCGACAGACTGTCCGACGGCGCGAACGAGATTCTCGGCGCCCGCGCGCAAGCCGGCGCGGTCGAGGGCCGAGTCCTCGCGGTCAGGGTCATCGGCGGAATGTTGAGCCTGGCGCTGCTTGATGGCCAGGGTGAGGGTGGTGGCCATGAGCTGGAGGGTGCTCTTGAGGCTCTCGATCTGGGTGAGAAGGGCGGCCGTCTTGGACTTGCGGCGAAAGGCCCACAGGACGCGGGCCATGCGGCGGTCGCCGGCGATGAGGCCGTGGATCTCGTCGTGCACGCCGTCGATGCGCCGCATGGTCGACAGGATGCCGCGCAGCAGCCGGTCGCGGTAGAGCCACCGCCCGCGCTTGAGTACTCGGCGCATCTCGCTCAGCACCAGCGACAGGTCCATGATGCTGCGCGCGATGGTCGCCATGTCTTTGGGCGCATCGCGAGCCGACTCGATGATCTCGAACAGCGCCGACGAGAGCGCCGCCCCCGCTGCCGCGACACCCGCGATGCCGCTGAGGACCGAGAGCGGATCCATTATTACTGCCGTCTAGTCATTTCCGTGAGGGGAAATGTCAAGGTTGCAAGACTTGGCGGCGACCGTCAGATCGAGGCTGTGACGAGGAGGCCGCTGTTCACGTGATCGTGGGAGTGGCAGTGAAGTGGCAGTGTTGCGAATGTGCAACAGAGTGGAGGATGGGCTGAGTTGCTCACCCACAATTAATTACGGCCGCAATGTGATGGACGTAATTGGGTAATTGGTTCAAAGCTAGGCATTTGGCTTATGTGAGAAGTTGTGGAGCATAATGGGAGAAATCGATCAGCTCTACCCTTGACCACAAACAATCACCTCCCAAATGCCAATAGCTCAGCACGACGGCGGAATTTTGAGATGAACCATCTAGTTATCTCATTTTGTCCGCTCACCGATACCGATAATTGTTCATGTTAATCTAAGAACCATGCGGAAGGTGAAAACAAAAGCCTGTCTTGCTTCGCCTGCTCATTCAAGCTGACCGCACTCAGCCAACTCTTCAGGGCAAAACTTTTGGCACAAAATCACCATATTTCTTCTTACACTGGAAACCTGTCAGTCGCAACTAAGTAGACACGTAGTCGGATTAGTAGACTCCGAGACTCACACTTGTCGCAGATTGCAGCCGGGAATCATGATGGCCGCCCCGAGATCAAACCGCAGAGAGTACAGCAGGTTCCGATCGTCCCATTCCTCCTCTTGAAACCTTGGTCAGCATGAAACATGCAACAACACATCTCTTGCGCAGAATGGAAATGCACACTCACTGGGCTCCGTCGGCGGGAAATACCGCTTATAGCTCTCGACATACTCGGCCCTGCTCAGACGATGCCGCTCAGCATGCCAGTCGCCGATCTCGTACTCGTTGTGCGCATAGCACGACCCCGGATCAAACACGAACGGCTCGCCGTCGGCAGCATCAACCGCGGTATTCTCGTCCCACAGGTCCCCGTGCACCAGACACGGCTTGAGGTCTGCCGGCAGCGCACCGAGCAGCCGCGGCACGACGCGGTCGAGCACGAGCGCGGCGACCTGCCGCCAGACCGCCGGCCACGCTGGATCATCCAGTTCTAGCATGCGCGCTAGCATGGCGCGGAACAGCACCGCCCACGACGCGTCCCACCGCGCCGTCGCCTGTGCCAGCGTCCCGTGGCACGTCGTCGTGTGGAACCCGAACTGGCCCGTCGGCGATTGCGAGCGCGCGTGCAGCGCCGCCACCCGCGCCGCGAACGCGTCCGCGTTGGGCGGTGGCTGCGCGGCTACCTCGCGGAACTGCGTCAGCAGGAAATATGTCGGCTCGTCATCACTTTGGAGGCCAGGGCTGGGGCTGGTGTTGGTGTAGGCGCCCCAGGCATGCGGGACTGGGACAAGCGTCGGCGACACGGCGTGCAGCGCCTGCAGCGATGCGAACTCGCCGGTGACCATCACACGGCCCGTCTCGCCGAGGCGGACGGTCTGCGGGAGGGTCAGTGTGTGAGTCGATGGCCGCGCTGCAGTGACACACCTTGAGGAAGTAGTGTTCTGTCGTCCCGTCGGGCAGCTCGGCCGTCACCTTGGCCGTCTGCCCCCACAGTGACCGGGCGTAGTGCCTCGCGGCCACAAGCTTGGAGCCGGGCGCGGGGAGCGCTGCACAACTGTGTCAGTGGCTGCTATGTTGGATGAGAGGAAAGGGCCAAGGAATTAATTACCTGCAATGACAGCATCGTCGAGTCCAAACGCCGCGCCGAGCTGAGGTTTCGGCACGGGCTCGGTCGGCGCCGCCTCGCCGCCGTGCCGGTCGACGTCGATTTCCAGACCATCAGCTGCCAGAGCAGCGCCGCGGTTGGCGTCGGGCGACATGGCTGTGCGTTTCAGGGGAAGCTCGTCAAATTCGAATTTCTGTCAAATTTGAACTCCACAAGCCGGGCCGAGATGAGAAAGCCGGGACGAGGTGAGAGTTGCCTGAAACTGTGGGCCCTGGCCGTCTTCTAGGTCGTCTCCAAAAAGCGGCAGCACCAACAACCTCGGAGAGTTGGGACGGAAGCGGGGGGTGATTGGTTCTCGGCACTCCTGCGCCGCTTCCCTCAAACATTGGCGACCGCTCACCGCCGCCATCGGAGACCAAAACAGCAAGCACCGACACGAGAACAATCAGATCGAGCTCGCGATGGCTTCACTCAAGGGCATCCGGATGCAGCTATGGATATTGGGTGAGCTTTCGATCTTCCGTTTTCTTGAACCACTCGCCGTGGCGGTGCGCATGCCGGAGAGGTGACCGCTGCAACACCTTGACACTGACGAACCCCCCAGGCACGATCCGCGCGACCGAGGCGCTGGCCTGGTCGAGTATCTTCCCGTACGCGTACTACATGATCCGGTCGTTTGGGCAGGTGCCCGAGGCGGACGTGGCTTTCTGGGCCGGCGCGCTGGTCGCCGTCTTCGCCTTCAGCGAGTTTCTCAGCGGCATGGTCTGGGCCCGGGTCGGCGACGCCATCGGTCGGAAGCCGACGCTGCTGATTGGTGTTGCCACCGGCATTGCCACCTCGGTCTGGTTCGGGCTCTCGCGGTCCGTCGCCGCCGCCGTCGCTGCGCGCGCGTTTGGCGGCCTGTTTAATCCGAATGTCGGTATGGTCCAGACGTGCGCCGGCGAGCTGGCCAGGAAGGAGCAGCAAGGTGAGATGAACATGTCGTGGCGGTGTTGCTACTTCAAGTTCCTGTTCTTATTCTGGCCCGCGAACAGCAAAAGCCTTCTCGCTCGTTACGTTTATCCGGTCTCTCGGGTGGGTCATGCTCCACATGGCCGCCCCTTTGTCACGGGGCAGGAGACGCTGAGATTGAGTGCTGACCACCCATCGACTGCTTCAAGCAACCTGATCGGGCCCGTCCTCGGAGGCCTGCTCGCAGACCCTGTCGCCCACTATCCAGGCGTGTTCCGGTCAGACTCCGCCTGGAATCTGTGGGAAAAGTTCCCGTATCTCCTCCCCAATCTTGTCATCGCTTTGCTGCAGACTCTGACGTTGTGTGTGACATTCTTCTGCTTGAGGGAAACTCACCCCCGGTTCGCAAGCCGCTGCGATGTCGGGCTTGCCGCTGGTCGGCGTGTGGTCAGGATGTTGCGGTGGAGGAGCGCCGGCAAGGACTATGCCTATATCCCGCTCAGCGGCTCTGGCATAGACAGGGGGACACGGGCCTCGGAAGAGCCTGAACGCCAACGGCCTGTTGAGGAAACAGGCGACGACGCGCAAACCGAAACGCTCGACGACCCGGTAAAGACCCCTTCGGCACAGGCGTTCACACGCCAAGTCATCCTGCAAGTCCTCTCCCTCTCGCTGCTGGCATTCCACAAGGTGTCTTCCGACAGCATCACAGGCACGTTCCTGGCCTTGGAGCCGTCTCCCACCGGAGACCATCAGCAGCAGGGCAACAGCACGACCCCTTCCGCAACAGTCCATCATAGGTCTTTGTCCCTGCCGCAAGCCGTAGGCGGCTTCGGCTTCAGCACGCAAACCATCGGCGCCGTGTTTCTCAGCGAAGCCGTCGTCCGCGTCGTGGTCCAGGCGACCCTAGTCCCGCTGCTCGTGTCCCGGTTAGGCGCGCTATGCGCCTTCCGTCTCGTGCTCGTCATCTACCCGGCCGCGTACCTGCTCACGCCGTTCCTGCCAGGGATGCGCGTGCGGCCGCCGCTGCGGCTCGCGGCGCTGCTGCTAGACGTGTGGCTCAAGGTGGCGCTGTCGTCGGCGGGGTACGTGTGCTCGGCTATTCTGTGCGTTTTCCGTCTTTATTTATGTTGAAGTGAACCTTTGTCGGTCTTTGCGGGACGGAGATGATGCAGTGTGCGATCTGTGCGATCTGTGCGATCTGTGAAAACTCTGCTGACATGTCGGTTTTTTCGCTCTGCCCGGGTGCAGAGTCACAAACACGGCCCCCGCCGACGGCACGCTGGCGAGGATCAACGGCGCCGCTGCGTCGTTCAGCTGCCTTGCGAGATCTGTCGGGCCGCTCTTGACTGGCAAGCTGTTTGCGTTCGGCTTGAGGCTGGGCCATTTGGAGGTCGCATTCTGGACGCTGGGCGCCGTGGCGCTCCTCGGGGCGGTCGAGTCGCTGTTTCTTGCTGACCGCCCTTGATGTCACGTCCCTGATTTTGATCCGAGAGAGGGGAGCAAACATATTGCCTGAGTCGCTCGGCTTAATGTTGAATCGTGAACCAACGAAACGGTGGACGGCAGACGACCTCTTGGGGATCGACCCCAGCTCCTTTCGGTTGTTTCTAAAGCGTGCCAGGAGACTTGTTCGCCTGAAAACTCCAAAACCAAATCCTCCCCCCCGAAACCTTGCAGAACATGACCCAACGCCATCGAATTGGGGCAAACATGCGCATTATCTGGACAACGAAGACGATGCACTTTTCTGCACTGAGAGGACCGCCAAATTTCGTTCGTGGTCAAGAAGCGCCCATTTTGCGTGCTAGAATCCAGCGCAGACAGGTTAGGTAGGCTGCGTGCACCGTGGCGATTCGGCGACGTGCACCGTGGCGATTCGGCGGTTGGAAGCCGAGCACTTTAGTTGCAACTGCTCGCCATATAGCGCGCCGCGCAGGGGAGGTGGGGGGCCATGGACGCTGAAAGTGGAGGCTGAAAGTGGAGGCTGAAAGTGGAGGCTGGCGAGGAAACAATCAAGAGGTTCCGTGCTGCAAGGCACACCTACCAAATCAAATTGTCCCGCCGCCCTAGAGGGGCGATAGGGGCTCCTAGATGGGTTCGCAGATTTGGCCTAGAATCACTTTGAGACGCGGGTCTCAAACTCTTTTTTGTGGCCGCCCGTCTAAAGTCCGGCCTGCAATCCCTGGCTGTCTGACCATAGTGGCGTTGTGCCATGCTGTGCCGCATTGTGTCGAGGTCACTCGTTAACATTAAAGCGCCAACCATGACAATTTCATGACTGTCAAAGCTTCGATAATAAATCAAGACATTGTCATTTTATGTCATTCGCCAGCCCATAGCTTGTTGCGTTTGGCTTTTAGATAGCCTTTATAGTAGGTATTTATCATCTCGCTAGGAAATGAAGCAGTGGATTGTGGAATCATGCCCTACTCCGTCGTTCTTGGTCATGCGTTTAGGAGTGACCTCAAAGCGCGGTGTCACTATATATAGGTCGTTATAAGACCTATTACTTACCCTAGCGACAGCAGTATGCCAAAAAGCAGTCACATCTGGTCCGGGCCTAAGACCTAGGGCTGGGACGGTGTCGCGAAGTCTATTCCTTAACTGGCTGGGTCCCATGGGATTGGTTTCAATATCGGACCGAAACAGCGCTAAAATGTCGAGTACCTCTCTGTAGCCCGGTTCGCGTATATCTTGATTACTTCGCCTCTCCATCGGGAACAGTCATGTAACTCCTCGTCTCGTCGCACCACCCTCTACCCCCCGTTGCAGCACACCGCTTTCTTCTTGATCTTCTCTTCCAGCCAGTCTTTTCTCAACCACGGTCATGTCTTCCGCTAGGCATGCAGCATCTGGGGCGACTAGGGTTGCTTGGCCCCACGAATGCGAGGCCCCGCCCGACGACGACAGGTTCAAAATTATATTCACACTGGTTCCAGAAACCATAGAGGCCAAGAATATTGTCCGCTGCCCGAAGAATAACCGGCAACTTCTCAAGAATGGGAAACTTGATGTGATAACCGTCGATCGGGAGATGTCAGCGAAGAACCAGAAGACATTTCTATACATTGGAAGCGATATCAAGCTGTGTGACATTATTCTCCCCTCGGGCAAACCAAAACTAGGCCATTTAGCTTACTCCGGCATACATTGCATCTTCTTCCTATCCGAGTCAGGGGAGCTCATACTCCGCGATTTGTCAAAGGGCAACACCAGGCTGACTTCCAGCGCCAAACCTAAAGTCCAAGACGATATTTTAAACACTGAGAACTTCTTTGACGAAAACCACTGCGCCACTGACGATCTACTGTTCACTTTCCGTAATTGGCGCCAATCGGTAATTACTCGGGATCCCACCAAAGACTTCTTCATCACAATTGGGACCGAAATCTGCTTCAAATTCAACTGGAATTCCAACTATACGTCACCAAAGTTGCAGAATAGCGCCGAGGAAGCGCTTCGGATGTTTAGGCGTGACATATTAAGTCAGAAGGATTATGATGAACCTCCCGTTTCTTTCGACGAAGAAAAACTCCCCGGTCCGTTCTACTCTATATACGGCGAGGCAGGCTCCGGATCTTTTGTCATGGGAATTAGGGCGGTCGACCGCAGATCCGGAGAGCTGTGGGCTATCAGGAGCGCAAGGGATCTCGAGAAAGGCCACAGTAAGAGCGCACTGGAATATGCACAAAACTCTCTTAAGCATGAGGCAGAGATTTTAGAGATACTTAACACGGATGAGAATGGTGAAAAAGACGGATGGGGAAGTACCGTTGACTTTGGCGGATTCGATGGCGAGAATTTCCGAATGCGCATTTCACTATATCACGGCACTCTGTCGATGTTGATGAAGCCAGTTCTCAAGTCCTCTGGACATTCCTGCAAAGCCCCAGTGATATACCCGCATGAGAAACTTCCCTGGCATCCAAACTTCACCATACAGTCCCTGCAAGGCGCAATGTTTCTCGCAGCGTGTGGGATTGCACACCGAGGCTTCCATCCCGATAACTTTCTCTACACCTTGAGAGGCGAGGTGTGGCACTTCGTGATTGCAAACTTTGGAAACGCTATAAATCTGAAGAGCCAATCTGGGACCGGTTGGATGCCTACCGTCGACGCCGAGCTGTCCTGCTATCTCCCACCAGAGCTGAGCCTAATCCTTGGGAGAAAGAAGAAGGAAGCGATGGCAAACGAAGCCATATTCGCACACCGTATAGGGCCCTCTCACAAAACAGATGCATGGTCGTTAGCTTACATTTTTGGACTAATTCTTGGCTACTGGTGCAATAGCGAGAAAGAGATGGACTGGCAAGGCTGGTGTGCCAAGTTCCAGTCCCTCGGGATAAACGCTCCCAAACAAGAGCCGGTATCCTTGAGTCGCACGGACCGCTTCAGTCGCTGCCTCGATGATTTGGCGGCAGGCGAATGTCTCCCTGTTGGGATCCGTGCCATGATAAAATCTGGTAATTTTGGAAATACACGAGAGTCCGCGAAATCTACGTATCAAAAATATGCGGATTACGCAGACTACGTGCCGCCTCGCCCACATCCTGCCAAGACGGCGCCCCAGCCATTGCATGGCCAGCCCGGCTCCACCAGCACATCCGCTCCCCCGGCAATACAGACGAGTGGACCACGGACGACAGCAAACATCAAGACCAACTTTTCTTCGACCACCCAAGGCAACGGCCAGTGCCTGTCGCCCGTATCTCTCACGTCCAGCCCTACAAAGTATCACCCGACGGCAACCACGGCACCCCAGACAGGCAGCGGGATGCAGCACGATTACGAGAGCGCCCGCGACAGTGTACAACCAAAGCGCAAGTTCACTGGCGGGCTCAATAACGGTGCAGAGCGCCCCACAAACGAGGCTATAAAGTCACAGCGGAAAGATACCTTAGGGCACGGGGAGGAGATACGCAGGGAGATTGTAGTCCCTGTCCAAAAACAGAAATAATGAGAATGGTCGGCGTGTGTTTGGAGAGCGTATGCCGGAGCAGCTGGACATGGGTGCGTGCTTGTACTGGCGCCGGCTTTGGGCGGCTTGTTTTGGGGTTTTTCTTGCTTCTTTTTTTGTATCTTGACTTTGGATGAGCTAGGCAGCCCCTGGGAGGAAATAAAGTTCTTGATTTTATTGGTAGAATACGGCAACGTATGGGCTCGTCGAGGTATCCTGCACAACATTCAAAACAATGTTTGTCGGAGTGACAATATGAGATGTCGTTGGAAAGCTAACTCTAGGAGGGGGAAATCCCCGTACTAAATGTGTGGGCAAAACCCGTGCGCGGGGAGAAGGGATTGCACAAAGACTTTATGATTCTCTAGTAAATCATAAAATGGGGTCTAACTAGAGGGTGCCAAGGATGAGGTTGCCAAGGATGAGGTCGAGGCCCGTAGGCCTGTTTCGCGCCGATTTCCAGTCGAGCAAAATTCAGGCCAGATGGAATCCTCCCGCCTGGTCCCGTCCATGTCAATCCGGCCCGTGAAATCGGCCACTTCAATTGCGAAGGGACGATTACGTAGCCCAACACCCCACCTCGCCGCCCAGCACGAACACGCGGATAATAACCTACATTTAAGCGTATGGCCATGGTTAACAAAGCCCCGTCTCAGATGCGGTCGGGGGAAACAGGCGAAACATGGGATGATTCGGACACAAAAGTTCCCAGGTGGCAGACGCCCCTATTATATTTCACGATAATAAACCATGGGCCCGTCTTCCCATATTTATTCTGCCACCGAACTTAAATCGCAAGCAACATATCGTCGGCCATTTCATTTGCTCATTAAAAACAACCCTGCCCTTTTTCTTCCTCTTCCCACGGCCCCGATCGCGAAAATTGCCGACAATTGATCCCCAAGCCTTCTGGCTCAGCTAGTCGCAACTGAACGGGAAAAAAAGAAAAAAAAAATCATCGGTCCAAATTATTCTCAATTGCTCCCGCCCAGAGACAGACCATGGCAAGCACTTCCAGGACTCGATGGCCACATGAATCGCCGTTGCCTCAAAATGCGCCTGAACTCCACCTGGTGTTTTCACTGATCCCACACTCCGACAAGGCCGTTGCCATCCTCAATGAGAACGCAGGACTCGGTTCAAGAAGTTCTCAGGCAATTGAAATTGAAATACCTATATCTGGTAAAAAGGTGTGTGGAGTCGCCATCGACCGATCCACATGGCCCACGATAAAGAGAGGCTTGAAGCGAGGAAAACTGCTGTCCATTGGCTGCAGTGCGGACAGCGACCTGATCCTGCCCAAGGGGAACGCCGAGAACAGATACCGCGAAGACCACTGCGTCATGTTCCTGTCTCCCCAGGGGGAGCTGGTAGTCCGCGATTTGACCCCAGACAATTCAACTAGCCTCGAAATCTCCGAAGCTGGCCCACGAGATAAAATTCACAATTTTATTGGCGATGGTCCCCGCCAGCGAGTCATTGCCCGTCTGCCCCAAAAGCGACACATTCTCACAATTGGCAAAGATGCAAGGTTCTTTGTCGCATGGAATGATCGCCTCGTGCAGCCACAATACATATCGAGTGCCGAGTACGGGCTTCGTCGCTTTGCCTATCAAACGGGACAACTGGGCGCCTTGCCCGTGACAGACTCGTTCTTAGGCTCTGTATACTATTATACCGTACGTGATTCCGGCCCACTGGCTATGGAGCAAAAAGGCGTAGACTTGAGGACTGGAAATGTATGGGCATTCAAAATTCCCAAGCCGTCTGAAAAGGTCGACCACAGTCGAGACAAGGCGGCGATTCTCAAAGAGCAGGAAACTGCCTTCAAACACGAAGCCAAGATTTTACAAAAGCTGAAATGCGTGAGTGCATATTGATAGCCATTATAACAGATTCCTGAATGTGTCGGGAACTAACAAACGTGAGCAGGACGACGGAGTCAACAATTTCATCATCCGGTTTGGGGGTTTTGATGAGATCAGTAACGTGATGTGGTTCCCACCTCATAATGGCACCCTTGACAGCCTGATGAAACCTATTCGAGACAGGCACGAGCAGAGCGGGTGCATACGTCCGGCATTGCAGCAGCTGCCCGGCCTGGTGTGGATGGAACCTTTTATCAGACAGATCGCGTCAGCTCTGGCCTTCCTAGAATCGGAGAAAATCGTCCACCAAGACATCAAGTCGCCCAACATCTTCTACAACTGTGATGACCAGGCCGAGGGCTGGATATTTGTCCTCGGAAACTTTGGGTATGCCAAGGACCTGAACTGTATCGTTGAGCCCGGTAAGAGATGGAGGGCTGAAGTGGAGCGCAAAGGTCTGATTAAAGCCGGTGTCGACCCGAAACCGGACCCGAAGCTAAAAACTGAACCCGAATACAACCCTCCTCATAAAGACTGCCACCACCTGGGACCTGAGTACAACAAATGGAGACTCAATGTCAACTTCCCGAGGTGGGAGGAAAGATTTTACCCCGGAGCCTGTGCAACATCGGACTCGTACCAGTTTATGGTTCTGATTCTCGAGGGTTGCTGTGGTCTTATATGTAAGAATGAAATGGGAATGACAGATGAAGACTGGGCCCTAAAGGTTCGCTTCCTGGCCGAAAAGCTGCGGGACCCTTCAGCCGAGACACCCCAAGAACCCGTGGCGGTTGCTACCCCGCCCCTCCCAAGCCACGAGGAAAAGGACTCACTGTGGCTAAAGGAGAGACACCGCTGGGCATCACGTCTCCACGAGTTGGGGGCAAACAAGATCATTGGTAATTTGATATGGTCGTATGTGCAACTCGACGACACTCGACGAACGAAGCAGAGTCGTCTCCCCAAGTTTCCCTGGACCGATTTCATGGTATTCCAGCCGCCGGCGCCCACCGCTACCCAGACACCGGCACCCGACGGCGCTCGCCCGCCTCAGCCAGACCCGAGCAAGAAGACCATCCAGAAACCCCTCGGAATACCCCCAGCAGCCCAGCCCAAGCCTGGAATGCCACCTTTGGGTGAGGGATCGACGCTAAAGATAGACACGGCGAGGTCAAAGACCCAAATCTCTACGGGATACGCGGGTACGTGGCTGCCGCCATCCCCACCGGAGTCCCCCAAAAAGGCGGCGGCCTCCCAGCCCACGAGGCATCAAACAACACAGCAACGGGAGCATTCGCAGCCGGAGCAGGAGGAGCAGAGTAAAGTCGTCCTCACTGTCGGCCCGCCAAAGCGTAAGGCTACAGGCACCGAGCTCGAGGAAGAGACGAATCGCGTGCCACGCCCAGCTCCTCGAAATTCCCACGGAAACGGCGATGCCCAAGACGGCCCGGAAGAAGATCCCAAGAATCATGACAAGAAAAACCCCGACAAGCGTTGATCAGGTACCAAAGGATCTGCCGTGTGGCGAAATCCTAGAAGTGCGCCGCAGCGCGTATTGTCTTGCATTTTTGTAATATTTGCCGTTCTCTTTTCCCCCATTCGCTTTCTTGGCTGGACTTTGGAGGTTGCATCCATCACCCCGGGCCATAAATTGCCCCATGCTCACCGGCCACGCACCACCGTGGCACATCTTCCAACTGCCTGCCTCGGCTGCTTCGAGTTCTGCCGTGCATCAGGGACGTTGGTTTCGTATCTCTCGATTCTGCACGTGTTGGCCTGGGACGCGGGTTCCGGCCCCTGTATCTTTACTTCAAGTCCGTCCCCCCTCCTCTTCCCCCCTTCTCTTCCCCCCTTCTCTTCCCCCCCTTCTTTGTCGTTATCTTGCTCTTTTCTTGTTTTTCCTTTTTTTCGTTTCTCCCTTTTCTCTCCATGTTCTTTTCTCTCGTCGGCAGCCCTGAAATTCTACAACTTTTTAGTGGTTTGTCTAGCAGACTGGTTGGCCCTGGGCGCTTAGTGTGACCACCACAACATGACATATACCATTGCTAAGCAAATCACTAGGCGGTCAGGTTTATAGTCCCAAAATAGGATAAACCGGAGCGATTGCCCGGACCGGCGAGCACACTTCCGTCGCTCCAGACCACTCGAGAACAGCACTGTATCTCCACTCAAAAGCGTGATGCAACCATGCGCGATAGACGCATCCGCCAAGTTGCCCCTGGATGGGTGACCTGATGCAGGGTATCCTACCTTCAAGGGCGCTGTGAGGTATATGTGCCATCTCGCCAGCATCCATTGCCTGTCCGTCTAAACGTTCGAGTAAACCATTTGTTCAAGTCGCACGACTTCCAGAAGCGACTGTTTCACCGCATATAACATAAAGATGAAGCTTTTAACGCTACTGATCTCCGGCCTCGTCCATGTTGCGCTGTCTGCGCCCCTGGAACCAGCTGCGGCAGCATTAGCACCATCATATATCAGAGCATGAGGCGCCTCACTGCTAGGATCCGACTATCCCTCAGTGTCAGGAGACTTACATCTCGATTCCTCAAACACGCGCCTTAAGATTACGTTTCTTGAGTTCACTTGTGCGCTCGGGCGGTGGCAGTGCCGTAACATACGTGGTAGACATTGACGGGCCTCGCGAGGGGTCATTTAATCTGTCGTCCAACCCAAGCAAGCCAGATGGCCTTCGTGCGGCGGGACGACGGCGATCATGATCATGAACACGCAGTGCAACGTATCGCCTCCGCGGCGGTCGGGCCCAGATCACGGTTGGCACCTCGTCGGGGCTGGTGTAAGTCCAGGTTGAGTGGCAGCGGTGCTAGTAGACAAGAAAGGCAGAGAACTGGACGAGCCAGGAGTGGACTAAGACTCTTGCTTTCTGTTGACAGGGACAATATTCCATCTGGGTTTGCATTGTACGGTGTTTGAATTGTACGGTGTTTGCATTATACGGTGTTTACATTGCACGGTGGTTGTCTAACCTTGGTACCTCCCTTATATGCTCCCTTCTGGGTAGCGATCTCACCCTCGCGTTTAACCATGTTGCCTATTCAAACCGCGCAGATATCTTCTTAGTCTCTGTTACAACTTACCCAGATGTTACCTTTGTCACCCGGCAGCTCGTCAATCTCCCCTTGCTCCGTCAAAACTCCAATCTAACATCAGAGAGGAGCGTTCCAAACCCCGGAATCCACGAAAAACACCACCTCACAACCTTTGACCACCACGAATACAAATGCTGCCCCGGCAACTGCCACATCAACACATGGTCCCTGACCCTGAGCCTCGAATCTGCAGCCGCCAGCTCCTCAGCATCATCCACCCCAAACGTCATGACAGCTCCCGTGCGAGAAATGGCCTTGTTCCACGCCTGAATCCTTAGATACGTCTTGCCCACGACGTCGCACACAATCTGTCCGCTTCGATCCGCAAACCTATCACAGATCCCCCGCAACAATCCCGCCGCGTCCTCGGGCGTCAGGTACATGATCAAACCCTCCATGACGACGAGCGTCGGCCTATCCGCGGGGATGCGCTGCAGCCAGTCATTGCTGGTCACGTCGAGCTCTATCAAAGAGTAACACCCCTCGTCAGGGAACGGGACGACTTGTCTGCGCAGCGCCACTACGTCCGGCACATCAGCGTCAATCCAGCGGACATTCCTCTGGGCCCAATGCGACTGCAGCCGTAGTGCGCGACTGTCGAGGCCGCACGCGAGGTGCAGCACCGTTTTGTCGGCGTCGGGGTTGGCAGCAAGGAACTCCGCCGTCCACAAGTCGAAGAGGTTGGCGCGCAAAATGATGCGCGAGTTGAAGCCGCGCGCCTGCACCGTCGTCTTGCTGGGCTGCGTCGAGTCCCAGGCCAGCCGGTCCAGCGCGGCCTTGGCCCAGGGGTCGGGGAAGAATGGCCCGTCGCCCGTGGCGGAGGGGTACGAGGCGTAGTCCGCGCGTGCGGACAGGGTCGCGAGCATGGTCTCGGAGACGCCTGTGAGGGAGACGCGCGTCTTTGGGGGGTGAGTGGCGGCCTGGCCGGCATCTTGGGGAGCTGGTGGGTTTCTGTGCCGGAGGGTCGTGTCGCTGTCTGGTTCTGCTGCTGCTGGCATGTTGGAATGTATGTGCTACTAGTAGTAAGGACCTAGTGATGAGAAAAGGTGTAAGGACCTAGTGATGAGAAAAAGTAGTAAGGACCTAGTGATGAGAAAAGATCGTAGGCGAGGTAGTGAATGATAGAAACTCCAGATATCAACTATCAAAACTGGCGAGCGTACCCAGATCAAATCACGCCAGGCCTTTGTCTGCAGTGTAATGTTTGCTAATTGGAGTGGGTGTTGCAGAATCGAGCGGAAGGATGGACAGTTGGTCAGCCCCCAAGTCCGGGCACCTAGCTACCTAGCGACCTAGCTACCTGGCGGCCTACCTACCTGGCGACTGACGAAATGTGCTAGGCACAAGCAAGCCTGGCCTAGCTTGGACCACCTAATGGTCCATGCACCACCAGCCTTTCCCCACCATAGACTTTTCGCCTGCGGGCAGTAACTGTGCGCTGCGGGCAGTAACTGTGCGCTGCGGGCAGTAACTGTGCGCTCGGGCAGTAACTGTGCTCTGCACGCAGTAACTGTGCGCAGCGGCACGCATCATATATCATGCGTATTTCCCGCCCCCAAATGCCAAGCAAAGACTCGTGTCAAGCCATTTGTGAGATAACAATTTTCCGTAAGCCGATGATAATCTACAATCAACCGTGTTCAATGTTACATCGCATGTTACACACTACATTGAGGCCACCACCACTTCAGCTTGACAATAGCAATGGTCCTCGCCAAAAGTCATGCCAGCACCCTGTGCTTGACATCAACGAACAGCCTTTAAAGCACTCCGTCCCTCCACCATCGCTTCACGGCCTGCTCGGCGGCCCGCAGTCCACCCAAAATCTTGCCCAGGAAATACGCGATCACGAATATCACGAGAAAGAACGCAAAGACAATCCCCGTAAACCAGCCTGGACCCATGTTGTCCACCATGACAGATTGCTCTTTTGGGACAGCGAACAGTGCCTGCGCACGCGATACTCAGCTAGGTTAGTTCTGATTACTTTCCTAGGGGAAAGGAGGGACGAGAAAAGAACCACGCACTGCTGCAAGCCCAAGCGGGAGACACCCGATAGTGACATAGGTAAGCCTCTCGATGGTGCTGTTCTGCCTGTACGAGTCGTAGCTGGCACGTAGCGCAAGCACGTCCGAGAGCTGGGCGGTACGTAAGGAATGGTTAATGAGGGGCCAGTGTGTCTACATCAAGCCCAGCGAGTAGGGACACGCTTACCGCGCTAGAGTACCGCGAATTTAATTCCACCTTCCGCTCGAGTCTTGACTGAATCGCCGTGAGATCCGAAAAGCTCCTCTCCAACATCTCGATGTGGGCGCGGCACATGTTTTCTAGTTCTTGGCTCCTCTCTCCCGGGCCCTGGCAGAATTGTCAGCGGGGGTGGCTGTTGTCTAAGCAAGATAAGTCGTTGTCGGAGTTTTCAACCTTTTGAACCTCCCTCTTCACGTCCTCAATCGCCTCCTCAATTGCCTTGACCGACATCGCAAGCGTGTTGCTCATCTTATATAGCGCCTCGAGACTCCACAAACTCAGCCGCAGCTCGGCATCGGCGTCGCCGTTTCGGAGCTCCCCGGGGTCTTTGAGATAAGTCGGCTTGAGAGGCGAAGAAGAGTCAGCTCAAGAATTACGTCCTTCTGAGGATCTCGTCAAGACAAGAAACCCACCAACTCCTGTTCCAGTTGCATCTTGGCTACGAACTCGAGCAGCGCCTCCTGATAGTGTGTCACAATGCCTTTACAAAGGAGGCCAAGCACACGAGAAAAGACGAGAAAGCGGCCTGTTTGCGGTTGGTGCACGAAGCCGTTCCAAATCTCTTGCGCCTGCCTGCCAAGTGCGGCAATGTCGTTTGGGTGGATCAGGTCTGTGACGACGGAGCACTTGCTAAAGTCACCAAACTCGTTGGTCGACATGCCGATCGACGATACCCGGAGCTCCATCTCTGGCGGTTTCTCGGAACCACCGCCCTCTAAATCTCGAGGGACGTCAGGCTTGGGGTTGTTGTTCTGGACTGACTTTCCCTTCTCCTTCCGGAGTCTTGCTTTCTCCTTCAACTTCCAGCTCTTCTCCAGGTTGGCGGGGAGGCGGATCTTATCGTCTTCTTTGCGCGCGTCGAATGACGTAGGATCCTCCTTCCTCGCCCAGCTCCGCAGCGTGATGTGCACGATAGCTGTGACGTCTGTTGTTCGCAGCCCAAACCTGGATACCCGCAGGTAGTGGTTCTTGAAGCAGTCGACCATTTCGGGATGCAGGACATAGGCAAAGAGCCGGAGGAGCCCTGGATGCAGTTCGTACGACGAGTTGGTGAGGCTAAAAGCCGCTCAAGTTAGTTAGGCAAGCGACGGCGACGACTTATAATGCGAGCAGATTTTTGTGCTGTTGACCTACAGAAACCGATGGCGGACTTCTTGGTCGATCAACTACATGTAATGAACCCGCGGAGTTAACAAAAGCCCTCTCTCCATGTGCGTGATGACCCAACTTACACTATCACTAATGGCCGTCACCATGTCTGCTCCCCGAACGAGCACCGGTTCGGACAAGCGCGAAGGATCCGGAGGTTTCAAGTCGATAATGGCCAGTTCGCGCAGAATCTCTGCCGCCCAGCTACAGTCGCGTTCTTGAGCCTCGTTGGCGTCTTCTCCAGTTGCGGCTGAACGCGCCCCGACGAGAAGCTGTCGAAGTCTGACGGGCTCGTCCTTGCCCTCGAGGGCCTTGACAAGCTTCCTAAACTCGCCGCCATAAGGAAGTCGTATCCCCCCTTCCATGCCTTTGGGTGGTGTATCTTCAGCGGGCCCCACATGTTTCGCCAAGGCCTCGTGGATTACGTGAGGCACTCCGGCCTTGTCTCTAATAGCTTGGTCTTCGTACTTCTCTGGAGTATCGTCCAGGGAGTTGAAGAACTCTTGAGGGTGGTAGATCTGCGGAGGTCGAAATTTCAGGTAGTCGATCCGGCGGATCCGGCGCTCAATGGCCTTGGCGCCGGCGAGCTGCTCGAGTGTCTTCAGCTGCAGCGATAAAGGTGCCTCGGCATTCGCACGCTCTCCGGCATATCTCAAGTGGCTTGCTTGAGCCTTGTACTGGGTTGTGGGGTTGTCGTCGCCGTCGTCGGCGGCACCTGACGTGATCGTTGGACACGGGTATTTGAGGTCCTCTTGAAAGATGTCTATAATTGTCGATGCCAGCACGGCTGTCGCCTCAGACATTAGGAATCCCCGCCGGGCATACAAGTCGTTGCGCTCCCAACAGGGCGTCAGAGAAGCCTCGGAAGTCAAGAAAGGATAGAATCTTTTCCTGAAATGTTCGACCCTTTCTTCGTAGTCTCGTCTCGTCCCCAAGGTATCGGCGACCGACATCTTCCGATGCTCGACCACGAGACGACTGTGATGACACAGCGCGTGCACTTCCCAAGGGCCGTCGGCACCTCCTTCGTCGCCCAGAGTGGAATGGCATTTGTTGATGGTTCGAGTAAACTCGCGGTCTTCGATGCGTTTTGTGACCCGCTGCGTGACACTCTTGGCATGCTCTGGCCACAGCTCTTCGGCGAGAAATGCTAGACGATCAGATACCTCGTCGTATGCCCGGTATGGGTGCGGTGAAGAGATTCTCCCGACGAGTTCCGCTCCTGCCGCCGACCGCAAGTCGCGGATTGTCTGTCCATTCACGCAGAAATCAAGAGGAATGAGCAGCCCCGACGGTAGCCCTTTCTGGAGAGACAGAAGAGACTCGTAGTGGAGCCACTTGAGCATAGAGTATCGAACTTTGGCCGCCGTGTAGCTGCACCGAGGAAGTGCGTTGACTCCCAAGGGAGGCAGCCGTTGTCCAAGTATCGTCCAATCCCATGCCTCGCTCGCCTTTCCGCCTAAGCAGCCGCCATCTCCCCAGCTCCACTCTGAATTGGGATAGTGCTTCATGACGTAGTAGATTGTTATCATGACGTAGTAGTGGTTCGGATCATCTCGTGGGCGTTCGGGAAAGAGCACCGGGAGGGGTCGAGTGCGGCTGAGCAAGGCTCTCACGACGTAGGCCATGATCTCGCTGATAGCACGTCTAATCCTGAGTACTGTCGCTTTAGCCGTCGCAATGACCGCTTTGGGTAGTCCCTTTCCAGAGTAGGGCTTGGGCTCGGGCTCGGGCTCGGGCTCGGGTTGAACGACCGTATTCTGGCCAACTGGTCTAGTATCATCTTTATTGCCCCCATCCTGGTGCTCGCCATTTCCTTTGTGGGTGGATCGGATGACCTCCGAGAGGAGCCGATCGACTTTAATCAAGAATCTGACTTTCCAGCTGTTGTCTTGTTAGCGGTATTGCCGAACAGCATTAGACTGCACTTACAATAGCGAGTCAAGGTCGATGTTTGCCTTGAGGAATACGTTGCTCACAACAGCCTGATATCGAGACCCCAATTTGATCGAGAGGCCCGTTGACTCTTCGTCCGCACCGTGAGCTGTCCCTGTCTGATGATGTTGGAACGCGGTGGATGGAACAAGGTCGACACCGAGAATCTTCTCCAAGCAGCGGCCGACAATACTTTCTTCGCAGAGCTCCGATACGCACCACATCCGGGCCTGTCTGTCGTCGAAGATAGAGTGCCACATAGCTCCAGTCCCGCGTTCATCCGTCGGGCCGTCGCGAACATAGTCTGAGAGGATCCTATAAAACGCAGTCTCGGACGTTGACGGATACATCGCGTCCGCACCACCCAAGGCCTTGCTAGCAATCCCCGTCGGCACTGATCGAGACCGCTTCGGGAACGACGGCGGAAGAATCGACCCACCATCCGCGTTACCAAAGAGCTTGTTAGCAGTCTCCATTGGCATTGTATGAGACCGCTTTGCGGGCGCTGACGGACGTGTATTGTCCAGGGGCTTATCGGCAGCCGCCGCTGTGCGTGGCTGGGATCCGTCGGTCGTTGTTTTACCAGGATTGTGGGAGAAACTCTGAGTGCTGGTGGTCGCTGACGTGCCGTGATTGATGATTGGTGTCTTCGCACATTCAAAAAGATGAAAACATGCGACAAAGACGTGGGGCTTGGTGGTATCGATCTGCTCCAGTCTGGACTCGAAACTCGGCCACGTCTCTAAATCATCGTCGGTTAGAAAACAGTGATCCCTCTTTTTCTTCCCCGGCTGGAGGTGAACCTTCGAGTACGTCGGCATTTCTGTCTCGTTACCAGTGTGGACCCGGAACAACTCCGCTTGCCAGTGGATTTCCGATTCCGACTGTGGCGCTAATTCCCCAGAGAAGCAGCCTAGGTGCTGCTTTTTGCAAGGCATGAAGCCTACTTCGCTAGCCTTGCTGTCTTTCTCCTTCAGGCCACTGAAAGATTGAAGCCTCATGGGGCCCTCCATGGTCAATGTTAAATCGGCGGCGTCCCCCACAACCCTGGGGAGTTCCTTGTGGGGTTTGAACCGTAGCAGCTGGTATAATTTGCCGTCTTTGACAAAAGACAAGAGCGCGCAGGTGCCTATCGAGGTGCTGCGCTTTCCATTTGTTTCATGTTCGCAGTCATTTAGACAGATGCAATGAGAGGAATTATCTGTGCTTCTCTCTCCAGGAGAGAGAATGGGCTCGCCTGCACAATGGGTTCGCTGATGCGCCCAGCCGTTTCTACCGCTGCTGTTGCCGGAAGTGCTACACTCAGTAATAGATTTCTCATTACCGGTCATAGGTCTTTTCTCGTCCGCGGTTGTACCGTCGAGGTGCAGGCAGAACTCGTTGAAGGGCCAGCGGTAGTTGTAACTGCCCCGCTCCACCATGCAGCAAAGCCGGTATCGTTGGTGTTCCTGCCGAGGAGAAATGTCAGATAGACCAGGTTGACAAGCGAGTTAGCAGGACTCATGCAACTCACTGGATTCCTAGTCTCGGCCTTGACAGAGGAGACTTTAAGCCCAAAAGCCGACTTGCCTGCGCTTTCCCGCTGACCGCGGGCGAGGGCCAGATAAGGAGAATACTCAAAGTCGCCTCGAGCAAACACGATGCCGTGTTCACCGAGCGGAGCTGTCATTTGTAGCAGCTCGCCTCCGTAGTTGGAGGACGCTGCATAACCTTCATGGCCAAAGTCGAAGGAGCACGCGGGTAGGTTAGACAAGTGGGAGTAGCTGACGTATTCCGGCCCTTGACAGAAATGGTATCGTTAGGACTCCGGAGTGGCTAGACCAATCTATAAAGACGACATCCTCACCTCTGTGTTCCCCGTCAAGCCAAGCAAAGGGATCTTCAAGATGAAGAGGCGGAAAGGGACAGCCGCCTGGGTCGTCAGAGGAGGGGAGGTTGTGCTGCGGAGCGGGAGACGTGTCTGTAGACGACATGGCTGACAGAACTGCTAGTGTCGAGGAGATTGGGACATTGTTAGCTTTTCGGGTGTCTTGTTATAGCGGCGACGATAGAACCGTGGGAGTTTGCTAATGGTCAGGGGTCGACGGATCGCTTTCGGCCTAAGATCATACGAGTGCGTGAGAAGTAGTTCGGGGACAAGATTGGGTGCTTGGTCGGTTCTCTTGGCATTTATGGTGCCTGCTGGACAGAAGCCTCGTCGGACATTGTGGCTGACCTTGGGGAAAGGAGGGAAGTCAATCAGCTCATTTCTGCATGTTGCCAATGCAGAGCCAATAATTGGGTGTCCAGGCTGTTCGCTCATTGGGTCGGTTCTCCCACAGCTCACCCTCCACCTCGTCTCGTCGACCTATCCAAAGCCATGCAGCGCCAAGCCTAGAAATTGAGATTGCAGCAGCTGAATCTCCCTGCAGGTGCCTCCCTGCATCTGGTTAGATTGAGGCGTAAGGATGGCAATGGCGCTGGAATTCTTCCAGGGTCGGGCAAGACTCGCCGATTACTTCACGGCTCGCAGCCTTCTGCTCGCCGAATCTTCGGGGAACCATGCGCCGCTGTCTCCCTGCTCCTCCGTCCTCGCGGCATTAAGCTGCATCCGAATGACGCATCGGCACAACGATATGCGGAGGTCAGACCGGCAATTGCTGGGCCATGGAATGGAGATTCCCTCCGTGTTCGGTTTGGCCTGCGTGTTCAGTTTGGCCCTGCGTGTTCATTTTGGCCCTGCGTGTTCGGTTTGGCCCTCGCTTCCGTTGCTCTTGGCTGACGGATGCTCGTGTCAGCAGGGCCGCCGCCACTACGCTGTCGCTGTCTCCGCGCATCGTCCCGGACGCCACCATGCCTGCCAGCTAAATGTCTGGTGATGACGTCTGTTGCGACGCGGTGGCGCACGCGCCGGCACCACGCTTCGCGGTTGCTCTGGTTGCTCTTCCCTCCCAGCCGCGGCGGCAGGAACCCGGCACCGTTCCGTACGCTCGGTATAGATCGACACCGTGCTGCCACGCGCCTGCTAGCCCGCCGGCCGTCAGCTGCGGCAACTGGCACCTGCCTCGCCAGCCGCCGGCCGACTCGACGGACGGGTTTGCAGTAGCGTTATCCGTCTGCCAGTACATGGGGACTGCGGGTTTCGGCAAGGTGTCCCGAGGTTGGCGTGCAGGAGCGTCAGTAGCAGCTCCGTAGAAATACAGTTGTGCGTCGTCGCAGTTCCATCGGTACGGCTCGACAGGGAAGGCGTTGGCCGCGTACGGCGTGCGTTTGTGGTGGCGCTGGATCTGTCTTTATTTCCAGAATGGAGGCGTCAGCACGACCGCCAGTCTTTTCCGTTGCCATCACTGCCAGATCTCAGAGGCCGACCGAAACAAACCAACGGCTTGGTTGCGGGAGCAAACACAATGAGGCGTCTGAGGGAATATCCCAAGAAAAGCAAGACGCACCAGCTCGACAAAGACGAGCTCGTATCCCGGTGGGGCGCGGACATACTCCTCTGGGCGAACATGGGGGCATGTCGTACCAGTTGCGCGCGCCTCCTCCGGGTGTTGTCCGAGACTGAGATGACCATGACGATGACGATGACGAGTTGAAGACATGACGAGTTGAAGACGATGACGAAATAAAGACGATAACGAGTTGAAGACGATGTCCCAGACGCCCGGGCCGGCGATGGCTGCGCTGAGGTTGCAGAGGGGCGATGGCGACGGTGGGTGCCATGACAGGCTTACGGCAGAACCGAGAGTTGGACAGGTGAGAAAGGCGTCGCTGGTAAAGAGGAAGATGGGGAGATGCGCAGCAATAGAAAGAGAGAGAGCATGGTAGCTATGCTGCTCTGTACTAAGGAGGCTTCACGGACCGGCCTGGTGTCCCTAGAGACCGTCCAACTTAGACGTGCAGAGTTATAGGCTACTAATTAGACCGCCAAGCGGTTGGCAAAATAACCGAACTGCAAAGACGGATTGGTCTGTGCGGGTGGCTTTACACTAGCAGACACTACCAATTTTACAATATTCGATGGCATTCGACTCACACCACCACTGTTGGCACCACACCGCCAGTCCATCACCACCATCACTGCCATCATGGCACCGCATTACCCGACGCCAGTGAAGGCGCACCTCATTGGAACAGCTGCATTCCTCGACCACCACGCCCAGTACTTCCACACTGATCTTTTCAAAGAGTTCGGCATCCGCAGTAAAACCCAGGGCTGGCAGATCCTACGCAATGCCAAGGACCGGAGGCATCCAGATCACGAAACACGGGGCCGGAAGCATATCATCTCGGCCGAGGACCTACATCGAATGGAGGAAGTCATCTGGCAGTATGGCTTCCAGGCGCGCATCTTAACTTGGCAAGGTCTAGGCCTAATGACTTGTATCCACGTATCCGCAAGGACGATTGAGCGAGCGATGGGGACCTTGAAATACCGAAAATGCATCGCTTGCGAAAAAGGATTTGTTTCTCCATTAAGTGCCAACCGCCGCATCCAAGCCGCCAAGCTCGCGCTTCAATATCGTCCTCATCCAGAGGACTGGTACGATATCCGGTAGCTAGATGAATACCATTTTGGACTCTTTTCCGAAGGAAAGATTCGGATTATCAGGAAGCCAGGGGAGCGTTATTTTCCAGATTATATTCACTACCATGAGCCTGAACCAGCGGCGGGAACCGAAATCCGAAGATATCACGTCTGGGCGGCCGTCGGATGGAATTTCAAGTCCGAGATGCATTTTTGCGAAGTCCCAACAAATACTAATAGAAAGATCGCTTATAGACCTATCGCGACGAGATTCTGGAGAAGGTTGTTAGTCCTTAGCTTCTCCGTGGCGATGTTTTCGTGCTGGAAGAAGGCGGAGATTCAGGGTATGGAGGTGGAAATTCGAAGCGTGGGAATATCGTGAAGTAGTGGAAGCAAGACCACGGATTGAAGCATTACTTCAATACCCCGCCTCTCCAGGTTTATCGCCAATTGGGAATTGCTGGAGGGCTGTAAAGCAGTATATCCGTGCCAATCTTCGAATTGATGCGAATATTATGGGCCTGGCAGTTGAAGCATGGAGGCGACTGAGTCAAGCGAAAATCAATGAGTACGTAGATTCCATAGTAAGGCGGATGCATTTTGCGGATGCAAGACTTGTTAGAGGGCGAAGGTCGTATGACAGGGTGGTAACAGCCACTACATAGAGATACCTAGATATATATGCAAATCTGACCTCTGTGACGGCGGGGCTCAGCACCTACTACCGCTGCACCACACCTTCCAAACGGATGCCAGAATTGCAAGCTGCCAAGCTGCAATCTGTAGTAAGTTATAGTATGGTCATGCACCCGTAGGCCTGCTCACAGCGCCTACGGTACCGTGCCGTGACAGCCTCCAGTGATGTACCTTCAAGTAATGAGTTCGTCTCTTTTTGTCAACCGCCTGACCGCTTCTGGCTATCTCCATTGCTGTACGAGTATGAGCGTGCCCCCAGCGTAGTGAATTGTTTTTTTGCACCATTTGCGGAGAAAGCCGATGTTATGGGTAAACGCACTGTTCAAGCAAGGGAGGGGGAAAGGGAGGGGGAAAGGGAGGAAGAAGGTCAAAGTATGTCCACATCCCATCGCCCCCTGCCCGATTTGGCTGAGTAGTCATCATCCCCGAGCGAACTGAGCTGACATATTCGGGATACCCACCTTACCTCAGCAGATACTCAAGCAATAGCACATGGCCTAGTCCGCTTCAACTCATTCGCCGTGGCTAGATATCCGCATCTACGTAACCCACACCGAGCCTAGGCTGGCTAGCAACGGAATATATCCGTATAGTGTCTTGCTGTCATTCCGGCCCTCTTTTTTTCCCCTCTCGTAAGAAGCAAGCAGGAATTGGAAGGTTCAATATCCCAGCAGCTGCCAGTGAGGCGCCCGGAAGGGTTAGCGTAGCCGCGGTCACTCAACCCCCACATTCCTTGCGGGGCATATACACTAAAGACCAGGAGAGCCTGAGATATCTACGTGACATCCACCCCACCAACCAAGCTGCCCGCTCAAAACTGCCGCGCCCCAGCGTTTACCAAAAAGGCTAGCTTAGCCGCAGTCACTCTTTGATCCCGACCCCCGAGCAAAAGATAACGAATCGCTACCGGAGTGGTGCCTATCCGAGCCGGCCCCCCTTAACCAGCCGACAGCGATGCCAGAGAGCCGACGCACGACGATTTTGAAGCGCGTACTGACAAATTCATCCAAGAGGTGAATCTATGGTCGAAACGGCTAGTGCAGCCGCCCTCAATTCCCCCACTTGGGGGCTAGAAAGACATATAAAAGTCGCTTAGCCTACGGGGGTTCGTAAGAATTCTGAGTAACTGCAACAGAAAAGCTCCCGCTTGATGCACTATACGAAACTCCGCTTAGTGCACTATACGAAACTCCCCTTGCAAGCTTGCTTCAACTGCTGTGGCTTGAATATCTGTTACTGTTGAGGGATCTAAGGAGAAAAGCTGCTTGAGATCTCAATTTATCTCAGTGCTAATCTCTTCAGGCACCAACGCATTCCTACCGCGTTTTTCCCGTCGCCGAAAAGATTTGCAGGCTAGACTCGTTACTATGGCCGAAATCCGCATTCCCAGCCCCCTTCTTCCCTCTCGGGTGGTCCACCAGTTCCCCTTGCCTTCATGGATCGAAAATCTCGCGGTGCGATCCAATGGGCAGATTCTCGTCACCCTTTCTTCTGCACCTGAAGTCTTCCTTGTCGATCCCGCCGACGGCTCCAAAACCGTTCTGATCCACAGATTCTCCGACGTGTCAGGATTGGCCGGCATCATTGAGGTAGAGCACGACAAGTTCTACGTTGCCGGGGGCAATTTCAATCTCAGCACTATGGTCAACCAGACAGGGTCGTACAAGCTGTGGGAAATAGACATGACCAATTTCGAAAGCGATGGCAGGGCGGTGGTCGAGGAGGTCATGAAGCTCGACAAGATCGGCCTCCCAAACGGAATGGAGCTGCTTTCAAGATCTGAACAGACGATCCTTGCTGCCGACTGCGAAGCCGGTGCCGTATTCAAGATTGACCTCGTCAACGCGACGCATGAGATGATGATACAAGTAGACGAGATGCAGAACCCCGAGAATCCTACGCTACCCATCGCCATTAACGGTATTGCGGTCCACAAAGAATACCTCTACTGGACCAACACTTCCAAGGCATTGTTCTGCCGGATGAGAATCCACAAGGACGGCAAAGCCACTGGAGGCGCCGAGATTCTGCACCAGGGGCTCGTAGGCGATGATTTCTGCTTCGACGGCGACGATGGCGCCTGGATCACACAAAACCCCCTCAACACTCTCACAGTGGCAAAGGCAGAGGGTGGGCTTGTGACCGTTGCTGGGAAACTAGATTCGTTGGAGATTGCTGGGGCGACTGCTTGTCAGTTCGACAGAAGAAGCGGCAATGAGCACATGCTTTACGTCGTCACGAATGGCGGTCTAGGAGGACCTGTCAACGGAACCGACGTTGAGGGCGGGAAGGTCTTGGTCATTGACACAAAGTCGTTCAAAGCTTGAAGGACAGTCATTCCAATGAGTTGTTTCCTCATAGTGCCTCGACACAGAATTCGCCAGTCTTTAATCGAAGCGGCATTTCATAGCAATACCATGAAATTGAAACCATCTCCCAGATCGAGCTGTGTCCGATATAAAATGCCACATGCCTTGCCTACCTTTTCATGCTCTCCCTTCGATTGACATGATACCAAACATGTTGCTTTTGCTGAAGAATCTCTACACCAGGGAGGGGACGGAAGATTGTATTTCATAGAAGCATGTGGATATTCCGTCGAAGACTAATGTAGTTGTAGGTGATATTGTACGAGCAAATACTTGTGCGAGCAAATACATCAACAATTTCCACATATAGACTACAAGGATACTTTGAAGATGAAGGACCTTTCACGTAGCCCTAATACTGTATTCGCTACGAGTCGAGACAACATAACCCCTACTAGACCACATCGTCCCTTATATCACCGCACAGTCAACTGCATGAGACAAGGCTGCAATATGGTCGCTGTATTCGTAGAATCTAAAGCTAAGGAAAGAAAGAAGAAAGGAAGTTTCTAAAGCTTGGGCAGGGCGCAGGGAAATAGGACGTGGGGTGCACGGGCCATCTAGTCTAGTGGGGTCCGGGTCGGGCCCACTATTCCAGAGTTGTCTGCACTTGCCGTGACACCTTACCGCTTTAGATCAGGGTTGATCAGGCGATAATCAGCCTTGCTTCATCCTTGTTCAAACTGGCCGCCATTTAAGGAGGCTGTGTCATAACAGAGCTCAAAAGACTTCAACTCTAACCGAAGGGGAGTGAAATTGTCCTCTAAGAAAAAGAGCCCAAAATGAGATCCAGTCCAAAATCTTCCATGGCATTAATCTGCCTTATTTTTGCCTCCTATGTCTCTTCCCTCGTTCCACATTGTACGTCCTTGCTCTCCGCCTCCCAGTCATTGCTGGTACGGAAAATTGCTGGCCGGTACGGCCTAGACGGAGACTTTTCCAGTATTGTGGATAGCTCTAGACTAGAATGGCAGAGAGTAGGCGCTGTTTGGTCGCTTTTGGCCGCAACTCAGGCTCAGCCGCCGCCAAACTCCTTCCCGTTGTTCACTCTTATTGGTCACTAATAGACACACGGGCGATGGCCTGAGACCTATGAGTCCCATCGGCGGGCATGGCTCGCTGCAAAACCTGCCCTGGGAAGCCCCTGAACAGAATGCAGACTTTGACAACACAACAGCAGCTACATACAATCGACACCTTTCGGCCTGCATTCTGGTCTAACTTCGCTGTATTCAACACACTTGACAGGGTATTCGGTCATACCGTTAGCAATGCTGGCAATAACTTTCATTTGTGTTTCATTAGTAGGAGAGACGTTTCTCAATGTACCGTAGGCCCGCAGAGATGGGTCGAGGGGGCCTATATCGTGGTCCTCTGGGTATGATTCTAAGAATGGTGACGTGGGTTGGAAAGCCCGGCATGTACCACCAGCATATAACTGTGCCCGGAATTATTAACTCTGTCAGTCTTATGGGATTAGAATACTAGTAACAGAATGGCTAGGGATTATAATAGTGCGTGCGCGTCGCTGGCTAGAGGTTATATATATTGCGAGTATTTCACTTCGTAGAGCTTCAATGCCTTCCCTTCTTGGGGACAGGCTAGTAAGATACGAGTGGGTAGCAAACAACCATAAGCAGCGCCCCGATATCGACAAAGTCCTCCAATACCCTATTACTATCCGAATCTCCATAGGCGAAGAGACCCCATATATCCTTTTACGTCACAACAGTCCCTCGCCGCGCCTGAAATCCGGCAAAAATGTTCAAGTCGTAACGTCCCTACATACAGCCATCGCTGGCTGTAACATCGCGGCCAGGCAGCCCAACCACTACCACGACCAGCCAGGATCTAATTGTTGTAAGCTTGCATCCTTTTGATTTAGTTCTCGCCTTGTGGCCCATGGAGGTTAAAGAGAGGTGAAAGGCCTAGTTGAAGGGAGCCGCCTCTAATGGTAGCGTCAACGACGGCGATAACAACAAAGGTAAAGACAAAGGTAGTACTGATATTAACGCCGGGGTTGGTCTATAGGAACTAGTGATAGTACCAGACCGGTCGCGGAGGCCACGCCATGTAGACTGGCTCCCGACACCACTTGAAGCGGTAAAACCGAAAGGGATGCAAAAAAGGTGTAAAAAGTGATCATTGTTCTAAGCTTGGTGGGCGCGGGGCATGAAAAGTTGGAAACCATAGACCCCGCTAGTATCACGTGCGAATATGGCTCGTGCGCCAGCGCGAGTATGCGTCCAGCTAGCGCCAAACGCCATTAGTTGGGCTCCCACCAGCGCTCTACGAAATGAAGCTATCTACACTTTTCGTGCATCACCACTGCTGTTCGCCGAAATCCTTCCAGCTACGCTATATAGGAGGAAGCGGCGCGGGATATCCGAGGAAGACGAGGAGAAGGAGCACCGCGCTTGGAAGCGCGTGCGCTTTCCCCAAGAAGTCTCCGCCGCTGCTGAAGATACTATACCTAACACAGCACAGCATAGGCGCCGGAAGCGGCGACGGACTTTCGACGTAGATAATGAAGAGGGAGGGAACAAGAAGCGGCTAAGTAAGGTGTAAGTTACTACTACTTCCTTCTTTTGCGTCTAACCATCCCGATACCGCCTCAAACGCCATCGTGTGCTGAGTGAGAATGGTGTTAGCATTGTTTAGCCCTTTGGCGTTTAGGCGCAAGGAACGAAAAGATCATAGGTACCGGGAGGGAATCCCAAGCAAGAGGACGTGTTCGAGAATGTCGCCGGAATTGCCAATCTACACCTGTAGGCATTATATTAGCAGAAATATTTTGACCAATAACCGCAGGTCACAGGTACGGCATTGACATAGGGAATCTATTCATCATCCGCATTGTCTCCTGTCAAGCTCAACACAATCCCGATACACAAAGCTGCTACTAATTACTAATTACAAATAGTACTTGAAATCAAGCTCGCGGCCGCCCTTCCTGATGGAGGCAGCTCAGAGGTTACTTTGTTTGTCAGATCGCCGTCTGTCTGCTTTTCGAAAATAATTATATTTCCGACTGAGATTAAGAACCCCTCAGCGGAAAATATGCGTGCTAGTATTTCGTCATATGCTCTCTAGTCACCAACTACCCAAGCAATATCTCCGTCCAACTCTCCTTGGTCATATCGAAAGCCTGCTGCAGCACCTTGCCCACGCCGACCCTCTCCCACAATAGCCGGCGGTTATTATACGTCACTAGCAGCACGTGGAACAAATCCCACTCGATCTCGTCCCTGTCCTTGGCGATGTAGTGCGCCCAATGGGTACACTCGTCAGCAGTGAACGATTTGGCCTCGGACAGGGCAATGAACCGGCACAGGGTGCCGCCGTGCGCCGCGGTCCACTCCCTGTCCAAGACCACCGTCCCGCACCAGTCGTGGCTCTGGTCGGCTACGTGGCAACGAGCTAGGCCTTCCCCCAGAGTCTCGGAGAAGTTTTGTTCTGAGCCAGAGTCCAAGACGTAGAAATTAGAGCTCCATGTGTGGAACTGGAGGATTGGGAGAGTGAACGATGCGTCGGCCACGCGCTGCTGGCTCTGCCTTATTCCAAATGGATTGTCAGCGATGGTTGCGGCAAGGCGTCGGTCCATGTTGGGGTAGCGGATAGGGCGGCCATAGCGGTCCGTTAAGGGTGGACAGGGAACCTCTGGTGGTGGTAGTGGTGGCGGCGGCGCTATCACTCTCTCTGTTATTCGGACGCGAGGCTCATAATTCATGCTTCTGTAGCTTTGGCTGTCGCTGAAACCTCCTCCTTCTCTATCCGAATACCTACTACTCGGCCGCTCCGGGCTCGGCGGCTGGTATAACTCATTGTTTATGTTGATGACGACCTCCCTCCCGGGAGACGGCTCGGGCGGTTGCTCAAGCTGCCGTTGTCGTTCTTGTCCATGCCTTCCCCGTCCGACCACTCTCAGTTCTTGCTCACGTCTTTCCCGCTGAATAAACTCTCGTTCATGCTCGGCTCGGACACGTATCTCCTGTTCGCGAGCAACGCGCTCACGCTCTTGCTGCGCAGACTCAGACGTTATTGGCTGATAGCCCGACCAACGGCCGCCTATCCTATCAGTCTCGGGCTGGCGTGGCTGCTGGCGATTCCGGATGGTCTCGGAGTAGTCGTTCCACACATTCTTGATGTTGCCGTCGCCGTCGCGTATGTTCCAGTCGATCCATGTTCTGTTTATCAACCAGTCGTGGATATTGATGAGGCATCCGTCGAGAAATTTGGCGTCGTACGTGACGTGTGCGCCCTTCTGGGGGTCCTCACGGTCCATCCATCCTGCCCACGACCACGAGGGAAACTCCTCGTGGTCGAACCAGTCATCTCTCAAGGTGCCCTCTGCCTTGGTGGTCTTTGGCCACGCCTCGCGCGCTCGTCGCTTCTGCGCCCTGCTAGGCTGCCATAGTAGAGCAAAGTCAAAGTGGGACGCGGGCAGACAGTAGAAAAACGGGGCGCCCATATACCGCGCCATGAGCTGAGACACGCCGGTGAAGGCCGGTATAATGTCCTTGGGGAGCGTCAGGCGTCGGCCGGTATACAGCGAGACACACTTCATGTAGAACCAGATGGGCCGCTCTTTGGCGTCGCGCAGCGTCCGCAGGGGGGAGTCTCGCCAGTCGAGGGACCAGACTTCCTCGTTGCCCAAGCCCCCCGGGTACACGTCCTGCGACATGTTGGCTCCGCGGCACTGGAAGTAAACTCGCCCTTCGACAAACACGAGACACCGTCGCGAGAGGATGCGTTCCTGGAAAGTCCATGCGCGGCTGTTCCACGTCGAGCTGTGGACGACTTCCTCCAAGGGCCTCGACACGAGCAGTTCCAAGCCGGGGAGAATCGTCTCCTTGAGCAGTGCATCAGGAGACTTGTCAGCTCCAAACCCCGCGGCAACGAGTCCGACATCGGCGTCGCCGCCGTCGGCTGCGCAGATGGTAAAGTGGGCGTTTCCGTAGATGAGGTCCATGTTCTTGGCATTCTGCTGCCAAGAGGTGTCGCTATCTTGGACGATGCACAGAGAGTCGATCCACAGATACCGCTCTCCCAGATCCCGGACCAGCCGGATGGCATCCCGGATTGTCCGCGGCAGCATGTCAAACACTTGTCCGTCGAGGCCGCCGCGTCGGATCCTGTCGTATATATTGTTCCGCAGAGTCCGATGGTCTCCGTCTCCAGGCCGCCGAGGACCCCAGACGTAGCTAAGCGCGACATATCGATGCGGGTGCGAGATGTCGCCGTCATATGGAAGTTCGGTCAGCTGGAGTTTAACCACGTCGATGACGCCAAACGAGGTCTGCTGCATGAGATGATGAAAGGCCACGATTCCTTCGATCGGCCCGCACGTGGCCCCGTGTTTATGCTCGCAGATGTCAATCCATTTCGTTATCAAGGCTTGGATGCCGCCGTGGCTGAAATCGCGCCCCTGGAACTCCTTGCCTGGATCGAGGATGTCGAGCGCGTTGGAGGCCTGGACCCTACTGTTTTTTGGTTGCACAAAAAGCAGGTAGACCTCGTGCTGGGGATGCTCCCTTGTTGGAGGCTCGGGTTTGCTACTAGTACTACCACTACTACTACTTCTCGGTATTTCATCGGTATTGGTGGTAGGGAGCGAGAAAGACCACGAGATCCGAAGCCGCCGAGTAGCATTCGAGCGTTGCTGAAAGCCTGGCCGAGTCTGTCGTCCATCAACGCTCCACTCCCAGTAACAGATGCAGTCCTGTTTGCTGTTCTCTCTCGGTTGGCTTCCATATCTCTCGATGGCACTGACGATCAAAATGCATAGAGGGCAGTTCCGGTTATCGCGAAGTTGGCTGAGGGTTCCAAGCCTCCTTGGACCAGCGCCCGAGTTGAGCTGCTGCATCAAACTGAAGTTTGCAAAAGGCGACCCACCGCTTCTGGGGCGGTATGTCAAGGCGCGGTGTGAAGGAGCCCCAGGGGCGTTGTCGATGATGAATTTTTCGGGCGCCAGTTCGAGCTCCAAGCACCTTGGGCAGAGCTTTTTTTCACCCTCGGGCATTAGCAATATTTCCCTCGGTAAAAAGAGGCTGGGCTTTCTTACCTCGCTTTCATCTTGTCCATCCCCAGCCAAGGTCGAGGATGTGGAATCCATTACAAGCCGCAGTTCTCCAGCAAATCGTGAAAGATGAGATGACGCAGAAGCAAGAAGGGGAGAGTTGGAATAACCGGGCTCGCGATGCTGATATCACACCGCATTATGGGGGGCTGTGTCGAAGAACACAGCCCCAAATACCGAATCCTGAAATTCGCGTGGCACTCACCTGACCCCTGCAGCTTCAGGCCTCCGACACCCGAGTGCCGGAAGAAGCCGTTTGCATGCTTACGGTGGCGCACACCAGCCAACTGGCCTACTCGAGTAGAAGAGCCGACCCAACAACGAAATCGCCCATCAACGAAATTGACCCACACCATGCCCACACCACCCCACGGGCGCAAATCATCCATTTCTACACAAAATAACTAGCCAAAAAGTACTCAATCCTCTTCTTCAGCCTCTCCGCATTGCTCTAGCCCACGGGCGATTATTTCCCGGGCTTCTTCGACTGCATGTGGCTGATTTGGTGCCCGGGCCGGTCTTTTCCGCTTGGGGGGCATTTGACTGGCTTTTTGGGCGTTGTTAATGTCCTGAATACGTGCAAATTTCTCATTCCATCTTCGTCCATGTGACTCGAATGTTCAAGGATCAATACACGCCATTCGCCTGGCGTTTGGGGCATTTTTTGGATCAGGTAGACCTCCTTGAGCCATTTTAAAGCGATTTTGGCGTTGCTCCATCCTGTTGTTGAGTAGTCATACTGCCAAGCTCCTGCATGCTGTGCTCGTCCATGTTGGCCGGTTTGACCTTTTATCCTTGATCTAGAAGGCCAGGCGCTTGTAGAAGTCTTCGTAAGCCTCACGAGTAGAGCCTGTGATGCGAGAGGATTCCAACAAGGCCGAATTCTTCATTCTTACCGCCGGGTTGCGGCGTAGGAAGCGATGCACATATCGCTCGCCCACCATCTTTTTCGTGCCAGCCTCACTAAGGCCCCAGCCGGCTAGCTAGGAAGCTTTCCTGCGCATCGGAGACATTTCTTTCCGTCAGTTTACTCTTCCCGTCTGTTTACTCTTCCCGTCTGTTTACTTTTTGCTCGATTTTCTGCGCCATGGATGCGTTTGGAGAGGGTCGAGGCAGGGATGCCATGCAACTGGCGGCTGTTGGAACAACGCGCTAGTCAGCCGCAGATGTGGCGGTGGAGGCGCAAGCAGCCACATGTGGCTGTGGAGGGGCAGGGGGCAGGGCTACCGAACCTAAATAAGTGGCCTGCGGCCACTTCCACCTTCCTTCTTAGAGATACACATCGACAACGAAATCCAACACTTGAACCACCAGTATACGGCGCGCAGCGCGCCCTGTTAATTCCAGTACCGGTACCTGGTGATCCAACAGCGGCGTCCTTCTGCGAAGCGCCCTGCTCAATAGCAAATATTGCAGCTTCAATGGCTACTCGCGACGGTCCGACATGGTCCGACCCTTTGAGCAGCAGTACCGCGCCCTTTTTGGTGATGAAGTTCTGGTGTTTTGCAGTTGTGACCGTATTTGGTCGAGAATAGAAAAAGGAGTTTTGCAGAAGGGTGCAAATGTTAAAAAATATTAAAAAGGCAAAAGCTCAGGCCCGGGAACACTTTGGTTCGAACCGAAGACCTTAAAAAAACTGATGGCCTACCTCCCTACCAACGCAGGGGCACGGCGAACGTTTTCATAGTCGCGAGAATGCAGCAGGGCGTGCGCACCTCCAGACCGCTTGACCAAGGGGCCTCTTTGGGTGCCCAACTTGACAGATAGTGGTGAAAAACTGACCCATATACCTACCTCCCGTAACGGTACAGCCCTCGTCGTATCGTCACGGCCTCCCGTACCGAAACGTCCTCCTCGTCGGTGCCACGGTCGCCAGACACATGACAGGATTGATTCTATTGGCTGCATTGTATTCAGAGTGCGGTCCATGCACGTGCCCACTACGTGCCCTGCGCCACCACCTATTTTCCCGCGCCTTACGCAGTCCCTGCGATAGCTTCCTTCTTTTCCTTCCTTAGCTTTAAATCCACATTCGTTAATGCGTTTAATCTTTGACTTCCTATGCGGGCCGTCATAGTCGGTGTTTTGAAGTTGTGGTGTTTTGAAGTTGTGGTGTTTTGAAGTTGTGGTGTTTTGAAGTTGTGGCGTTTTGAAGTTGTAGCGTCTTGAAGTTGTAGCGTTTTGAAGTTGTGGCGTTTTGAAATTGTAGCCTCTTGAAGTTATAACGTATTTGATAAGCGAGTTAGCCATGATAAGCAAGTTGGCCACCTTAACGAGACCGGGTAGCGTGCGCAGCCAAATGCGATAAGAAATTGATAAGATCACTAACAATTTACTAACATCTTTTTGCTTGTGCCCCACCAAATCTCGTTAAGGTGGCCAACTCGCTTATCATGGCTAACTCGCATATCATGGACGTTAGTGTTTTGAAGTTATGGTGTTTTGAAGTTGTAGGGTGGGAAATTAGATGACAGGGGCAGAGATTTCGTCGAAACACATACATTTGTTAGGGATCAAAGCTAAGTGTCGCCCAGATTTGAGCCACTCTTCAAGCCACAGTCCGCTTATTCCGTCATCTTACGTTTGACCTTTGTGTGTTAGTTGAACCAACAGAACTATAAGCGGCGGAGGCGGCGGCAGGAGGCGCAGGGCTACAGGGTCTATATTAGGAGGCCTTCGTCTTCGTCCTTTGAACCTTTCTTCTAGCCTAGACAGACAATTCAATGCGCCGGCAACTCCGATCATAAGCAACAATAAGCCCACCCTCCTTTCTTCTTCCAAAAGAAAATCCCTCTTTACCCACTTTCCACGTGCCGCTGCATGTGACACCACCATGACATTACCATTCTGTATCGAGACAGCAAGTGGTCAATTCGAACGAAGAAAATAGGGAATCGCGGACCTGTTTCAGATCATGAACTTGATACTCGACGGCGCGCTGATAATGTAATTGCGTGGCTCTCGATAGCCCAGTAAAGCATGTCAAGACTTGAAGTGGAATTGCAGTTGGGTTGCTCCGACAGAACTAGGAATACCAAAAGACGATTGCAGTACGAAAGCATCGCGCGGGTCTGTGCACCAGAGTGTTTGGAGCCTGTGAATTTCTCCATCATTCTTTATTATGTGTTAACACGGTGACCTCGAGCCGGGCACGGGCCGGGGTTGGGTTGCACAGTCGCAAGGTTGGGTGCACAGTCACAAGGTTGGGTGCACAGTCACAAGGTTGGGTGCACAGTCGCAGGGTTGGTTTAACACCGAGGGTTCTCGATTTCAGATTGAAACCGCTGAAAGATGGCAGATGGCTCCGGCGGCCTATACGCACATGGTTAAAGCCGGCGGCGCACTTTGTCGCCAGCTCACTTCTGGAACTGTAGGTAATAGTATGTATTTCTTCGTCTTCTCGCCTCCTCACTCTCGGGCCATTGCAGCGCAGCCGTCTCTTTGATTCTTCATCTGCTAGTCTCTGTCCGTATTTCATAATGTCTGCCCATCCCCGGTCTCGCCAGGCTCATGAGTCCTGGACACCGCTAGGTGATGGGTGCTTCGATTTTGTCTTCGCATTATGTCCATCGGGCGACGCGGGCGGCACTGCCGACTAAATTCTTCTACACAACAAGAAGTTGAAGTCAAACTGCGGCCTATCCCTCGAAAGACTCGAGAACAAAATGTGGGGGTGTCTGTTAATCGCAAGCGGTGGAAGCCCTCTAAGAAGGGAACACTTGTGTCATTCGGCCGAGAGTTCGGCAACGACATGAGATTGCCCAACAATACACAACTATACGCCAAAAACTACTGCTACTTGTTCCTCCCCTACGACGTGGAGCTCGTCCTGCGTGCCCTAGACGATAGGGTTAGGCTTTATGAGATCTCTCTGCAGGGGAAGACAAAACCATCTAACACTTCCCAGAAGTGCTCGGGCGAGGATTATCGCGGCCAACGAGTTATCCCGCTCCGAGCTGAAAAGATACACGCTATCATAAGATACACGCTATCATCAGAGAAGATTCGACGTGGACGACCCATTAGAACACCCCTTATGCCAACCCGGATTCCAGTCGGGAAACAGGCACTGATCGGAGTGCCGAAATGGCTATGAGAGCCTTTGCGCAAGTAATTGAACACTTAAAAGGACCGTTTCCAATTCCAGGTGGAGACGGCTCGTTCCTTAATTTATCCTACAGATATCGCGGACTTGGCAATGGCAGAGCGGGCATGGTGGACAGAGACGTGAATTAAAGAAATGGAGACGTGTAGGCTGTCAAACTTTCGAGAAGCGGTACCAAATTAGCTGGTTTCGACGAGTGCGACACCGCCGAAATTATCAAACAACGAAATGAGTCGTTGAAGGACGAGGCCGAGATTCTGAAGGAACTTAGAAGCGTGAGCAACTATCAATGACACTCTCTCAACCCCATATCTCGGCTAATCAGCGTGGACAGGATGATACTACGAATAATAATAACGATTGTATCATAGAATCTTGGCAGTCAGAAGCTGGTATATACATATTCTGGATGCGTTCGTACGACGGTTGGCTCTTCGAACTACTGGCTTGGACAACCACGCAACAACACGCGGACAACCACGCAACAACACGCGAAGAACGGATGCGCAACCCCAAAGCTGCTATTACCTCTGCCAACCTGGTACGAGTCTCTCGTGAACGATATCAGGAAGGCTCTAGCTTTCCTGGAGAAAAAGGAAGTTCTTCGCCAGGACGTAAAGCCAGGCACCATCTTTTATAACTACAGCCATGTCAGCAACAAGCGGACATTCGGTCTTAGCGACGTCAAATACGCTATTAAACCAACTAAAGGACGCAGCAATAAAGACGGCTAAGAAGCCTACTACGATAACGGTGCGCAAGAACATCTAGTGCATCATGACACCTGAGTCGGATCGAGGCGCCAGCCCGGCGTCGGACGCAGGAGGGAAGGACAAGGTCAAGGACAACGCTGAACCGCCCAGCCCGCCAAAGCGAAAGAAGACCGGGGATCAGCACAACAGATCCGACGACGGGCCAAGGACAAACCCCATCACCCCGAATCGTCCCATAATCATCCGTAGTATGTTGGATCCCACGGCCATTACTAGCATCGTGGATGGTGCACCAGAAGCAGCTGCTGCCACGGCGAGGGCTGCCGCGGGGCCTGTCGCGGGTTCGACAAGGCGTTAGACAAACTGTTTTGTAATTAATCTGCTATTTTCGTAAAACTGGTAAAAATCCACTGAAGCTGTTTCTTGTAATTATTAAACGATCGGGCGTTTTGTGCAGCCATAACACAACATGAGTGATCGAGTGCTGAGTACGATGGTTTGTATCTAATTAATCCGTTATTTTCGCATCAGAGGAAAAAACTCACCTAAATTCCTTCTTTCTGGCAATTCTTTAGAAATCACATCCTTTTTTGAGAGACGAGGTCCTTAGCCTTCACCGTGGCTTGTATCATTTTGCCTGTTTTGTGTGTTATTATTAGCTGTCTCTTCTTCGTCTAGTCTCCTGGCTGGACCCTGGAGACTGCATCCACGACCTTGGGCAACAAACGGCCACGACCACACCGTATCGCGGTAGTGTCGACTGAATGCCTGTCGCGGCTGCTCCGGCTACTTCCGTGCAGCTCCGACTGCTTCCGTGCAGCTCCGACTGCTTCCGTGCACGTCCAGTCCCTCCGGGCCATTAGCTTCTTATCTCTTGGGGACAACTTCTTTTTAAAATAAAAAAATAAAAAATCCCGGGCATTTTTAGGCTGCGTGCGTGCTGCAGGTAATAGTAAAACAACGTTTTGTGTGCACAACTCCAGCCGTCATCGTGAGACAACTAGAAAGGTTGCAGGCCGATTTCACACCCATTTCACACCGACCCGAAACCACGACAAGGGCGGGGGCTACTTCAGAGTCCGCGCCGAGTCTGAGCAGCTTGGATCTGAGTGTGGAGCTTCTCGCGCGGCGCATGGCATGTCAAGGTCGCGGCCAGGGTCTCGGTTGGGCGTCTGCGGCGTTCGTTTGAGCTTTATTCCTTGCCGCTCGGCTCGGGTAAGGGCCGCATCCTCCGGCTCCAGGATTCTTCGGTGGCCACGGCCAATGGCACCAGTCCATCAACGTCGCCGGTCGCATGGTCACGACAAATTGACCCTACAAGCAACCCAATTATTAATGTTACCTGGCTAAAATGAACTTGGCGCTGCCCGGGAGGCCATGGCCGGCCAGCGGCCATTCCCGCTTTTCATTGCTTCACATGCTTGGACATGCTACCGTATCATCGACGTCCGAAAACAACGGCCACCTCCTGGAGGCCTGTGTGCGGCCTGCTCGCTTAGCAAGCAAATTACCCGGTACATTTGAGTCTCGTCCCTGCATTGTGCCTTGGTTATAAACTTCCTGGTCTGCACCGAGGTAGGCTCTGAGACTTGTTGCGATATTCCGTATCACGTCTTCATTTGACACTTCGCTGCGCTCCATATATTGTTGCGCCTTTAATACACGCCAGATAACCTTTCCGACTCGGACCAGGCCAGTCATGCCCCCCGGCGTGCCCTTAATATTTGACGTCGTATTTGCCATATTTCCGTACAGCAATGCCGCGAAAGCGATTTTCAGGAAAAATGAAGATGAAAAGAGAAATTGCTGCCGGGCAATCGGTACCATAAATTTGGAAGAGCCCACGAGATCGGGTCGAACAGGGTTTCTTATCTGTCGCAGTTTGCAAAGTAGATGGAAATGGACCCCGATGGGGAAGCAGAAGAAGGGGAGACTTTTCTCGTTCGGCCGCGATGAAGACAACGATCTGATTCTACCGCACGATAACCCAACTTACGGCGCATTCCACGGCTTCTTATTTATATCTAACGAAGGAGAACTTGTTCTCAAAGGTTTGCACAAAGGGCTACAACTCCACAAAATGCAGGCCCATGCCTCGGAATTTCTTGAACTCCAAGAAGTTGCACAGGGTGGAGGAACTTCCCAGTCGTCTATGCGCCAACGAGTTATCCCCCGCAATCATAGGGATTACCTCATTACTATTTCAGACGATGCAGAATTCTTGCTACAGTGGGGCTTCGGCTTCGGACCTCAACCATATGACAGCGTGAGAGGGACCTCGGAATGGAGTGCTATTAAAGCAATTCAAGTCTTTGCACATCAAATAGAATACACCGATAACCACACCAATCAAACGAGCACAGAACCGGCCAGCACAAAGGCCAGACCCGCGCCGCCAAGATCCCCCCATACAGTGGTAGCGACGCCCTTCAAGCAGTTGCCTGTAGCTGCTGCCAATCCTGCAGTAATAACAAGGACCGCCACGACAGCAGCCCCTACTAAGCCGACGGCGTACAAGAACGTCCAGGGCATCGTGACACCCCCAGAGTCGGAATATAGTGGCAGCCCGGAGCCGCAAGAGGGGCTGCTGACCTCCCGTCCGCCGCCAAAACGCAAGGCGACCACGGACAACCACGACAGATCCAAAGACGGGGTTACGGGAGATCCCAGGCTGCGCCCGGCGGACGGTACGACGCCGCAGAGTATCCCATTGATTATTCTCTCGCTGCCCACATAGTGTCGTTGTGGGGGGCGAACAAGCGCGATTTCTCGTCGTCTCTCTGCGTTCGCTTTACTTTGTCTCTTCACCCGCTTCTCTTCACTCGCTTCTCTTCATTCGCTTCTCTTCACTCGCTTCTCTTCACTCGCTTGATGTTTTGGTTGCTTATCTAGAGAACGGCTCTGGCTGCGGATCATGTTTGGTTCACGGCTCTGGCTGCGGGTCATGTTTAGTTTTGAGAGTCCCATCGCGTCACCTATTTCAGTGCATTTAATGTTGTTTGTTATGACGGCTCAAGTTTTACCATAAGTTGAGGTTTAATTCTAGTTTGAATACCCTGTTATTTCGTCGCCGCAGCAAGGTTCAAATGCTGTGTACTTGTACTGGGTGTCTCATGGTCGGTGCCAAGACCTGCTTTTCTCGTGTCTGCACACGGCAAGACTGTGACAGGCGCGAACCGTCCCGACTCGACAGGCGCGAACCGTCCCGACTCGACAGGCGCAGTCGCATCCACCCGGAAGATATTTCAGGTATCGATCGCCGTTGAGCGGCAGCGGCGTGGCTCGCATGGGCCATGGCGCGAATCGTGGTGCCATTCGCCACGATGGTCACGGGGCTGGGCGAATACGAGGCCGTCAGCCGGGCCAGCCACTCGGGATTCGACGGACGCCAGTGCCAAGAGTATTAGTTTTCAGCTCTGTTGGCTGTCTCGCACCCGACACGGCCGGATACGGGGTTCCTGCAAATGAGGGTAGGATAGTACCCAAAGGTCTTGGGCGTATAAATAAAGTGAAGCGGCTCGTTTTTCGCCGCTTCTCGACTTGGCGGATTTGGACGCTCAAGCCAGACACAGCAGTCACCAACGAGCAAAGAAGCAAAAAATCCCAAAATGACGTCGGCAAAACTGCTCGTCCTGCTCGGGGCGCTCGCCGCCTCCGCGCAGGCGACAGACTACTTCTTCCGGTTCGTGGGCGGCAACGCCGTCACGCACGGGCAGCGGCTGCGGCTCAACAACTCGATCCCGCTGATCTCGCCGGGGGTGACGGCGGCGCCGTACAACGACGCGGACCACTTCAGCCGCATCTCCGTCGTCGATGCATCGCCCTCGACGCTCTTCGTAGTGCCGACGAACCCGCACCCGCCGCCGGTGCCGGGTTACTACGGGCTCAGCGGCGCCGAGGGCGTGCCCGACACGTTCCGCCTGCTGCAGTCGTACCACCCCGCCGACGAGCCCGCGCCGTTCCTGTACCAGGCCTGGGAGCTCGTGACAAAGTGCGATGGTTCTGCGCTGCTGCGCTACGCCAACGACCCCTACGACGAGCGCCGCTGGGTCGCTGTCAAGGAGACGACGCAGGCTGGAGTTGTTCGCTGGGTGCCCTGGTGGATCAAGCCGACTGCTGAAAACTTTGCTACGCTCGCCGCGTGGGACTTGGAGGTGGCTGACCTCGAACTGGTGGTCGCGACGGGGCCGGTGGCCTCCAACGCGCCGGGCGGAGTGGTGGAGTGAGAGCGGGTCTGATTGAGGGCTGGCGTTGGCGGGAGGGATCATCTTTCTTTTGTATTTGCGAACTTCTTTTGCCAGCGGACGTGTCTTCTGTGCTCGGGGGGTCTGCTACGAGTTGTTGTCTTAGGAATTGACGCCAGCGTTTGCAGAAAGGCGGCTCTCAAACGAGCATGTTATAATTAGCGAGAGCAGCGGAGCATCAAGCTCGCCAACCAGGCTTTCTTGCCGCAAGAAATCTTACAAGTGGGGCCGTACCAACAAAACTGCGTTTCTTCCAACAAAGTCCGGGCCGAACGTGTCTAGAAACCTACCACCGCCACAGTTGGACTTGTCGTGATGCTCGCTTCTTCTCAAACAGCCGACCCGCTCGGCGGGCCGTTTCGTTGTAAGCATGATGCCCTTTGAGTTGCCCTTTGAGTTGCCCTTCGAGTTGCCCTTCGAGCTGCCCTTCGAGTTGCCCCTCGAGTTGCCCTTTGATTGGTTGGCAACTTGGCTCTGAGAGTCGGAGGGTGTTGAAAATGGCTGGTAGACACCTTGGCTAAGGAATGTGTCTCGCTAAAAGGGGCATACCGTGCCTCTCTAAACGGATGGTTGAATACCTACTAGGCTTTGAATATTCCACCTTTTAACACCACCCTTCCCTATCTGCAATGACAAGTCTCGGCACCGGCATGCCGGCGGCTGCCTCGACCAACCAACCTATAGGTGGAAATCTGTTCACGCTAGTTGCGCGAAACACGAAAGCCCTGCAGATCCTCAACCTGCCAGCCAACAAGCAGCACATGGAGGATAGAAAAGCCCCGGATGACGGAAAAGAGATTCACAGCTTCCCGGTGGACGGCAGAAGGGATGCCACAAGAAAGGACAGCTGTTGTCATTTGGTCGGAGCCTTGACAATGACATCGTCCTCCCGCTCGTCCTCCCGCTGGACAATCCGGATTACGCCGATCACCATTGCTTCTGAAAGAGGTGAGATATGGGGAGAAGCTGAAACATGTCAGTACTGGAACCCGTCTCCCCAGGCTAACTATTCTCGCATTTTTCTAATCATCTCGTCCATGGCCTTTAGCCACACATTGTCCGAGTCTTTGGCTGGGAGAAGGGCGGGGTACTTGGAGATCTCAAGCTCATTTCCCGCATGTATGACGGAGACCTGTCCCAGCTCGTCCCTCGTCGCGATTTGCACGACCAGGTTCTTGGTGACAAGTGCGCGAAACCGGTGGTTTATTCATATGACTGGATGGAGCGCCTGGTCGAGCACCTGCTAGCCGGTCTAACGTATTTGCAGGATCAGAAGGTCGTCCATTATGACCTCAAGATTCCGAACATCTTTTTCATGTTCAGCCCGTTGCCAGACCATCCCCGGATCCCCAACTACTGGCCGGGAGATGGTAAACCGACGTACGACTTGTGATTGGGGATTTCGGGTCCGCGAGTCAAGTCGCGGCCGCCCACGACAAAAGCATCAACGTGCGTGCCCGTACTGCCGACGAGAGAGCCAATACCACCTCCCACCCGAGGTTGCAGAATATGTTGCTGGAAATGACAGGCGGGAGAGGGGCACCGAGAACACCGATCTCTACATCCTAGCAATTTTTTTGGCCCGGGTGGAGGGGCTGGTATGCTCGTAGGAGTTCAAAATGTCCTACGAGAGGTAGTGCGCCAAGCTGACAGCGCTCGGGGTCAAAGACGCCTAGAACGTGTATAAGGACGGGGACTCTAACAAGGACGGGGACTCCGACAAGGCGTCCGACGGCAGTAGCTGGTTCACTTGCCTAAAGTGGCTCGCCAATTACGGATACGACGGAAAGTCAAAAGACGCCACGCCAGTCCTGCCCCGCGGGTTCAAGAATATCCTGGTGAAGGACAACACCAAGCGCTTCGCCGCGCGCAAATGTCTCGACGGGTTCACGGCCAAGGATTACATCATGACGCAGCCCGGAAAGGGGAGGGCCACGGCTTGAGCTTAAACAGTACTGCGCCCAGTCACAGGCAGGAGTAGTCAGCCTTGCAAATCAAAACACAAATGGGGAGAGTTTTCATGCAACGGACCACGGAGGGATGACGCCCCGAGGACAGGGGCAATCTGGTGCAGGCCTGATCTGGCGGGAGAGGACACTGGTGACTGGGTAAACGTAGGTAGGTAAGCATAGGAAGTTAGGGATCGCTAGCGCGACTTATCATCAGTGCGGGCGCCATTGTAGGTACTTAGTCTGGATCTATTGACAGGGAACTACAACAGGTTAAATACGTAATTGTTGTGATGCTGCTCGTTGCAGGGGTCCTGCTGGCTAGGCCGCTTTCGTTGCAGCGGGGGGCGGCAACGACAACGGATAGCGGGGCAATCCCTTCCGTCAAGCCGCCTTGACCCCTGAAGATTGAGGGGGCCAACTGATTCGTTGCCGGGCGTCGGGTGCTGCACCTGCGGGACGAAGGCTCAATCTGGCAGCTGCCCGGCCGGCTTGCGGAAAACCTTTTCCCGAAACAGACTGCGGTCTCGACGTGGCATCGCATATCGTCGTAGTTTACCCAAATGGCGTATAGCAAACCTTGGGCCTCCCCCGCTGCTTGCTATCGTACCGCCGTTGAAATGATCTGATTCTGCCAAAACACACCGCCGTCCCCCGGGCCCCTGGGTAACGGGCCCCTGCCCCATGCGTGCGGATCAGTTCGTGACAACTCACAAACTCCACATTGCAGTCACGGCCCACTGGCACCACTTCCTGTCTGGATGGCGTGCTGCAAACTGCAGTTGCGCTTTCCCTTGCAGAACGGGCACCGTCGACTTATTTTCCCCTTTTTTTTCCGCTTTCAAAAAGAGCCACAGCACTTCCGAGTCGGACCCCAACCGAGCAAAATAACGACTCCCCCACACCAATTAATTTCCTGCAAACTAACTTGGCCTCTGCGCTGCCTAACTCTAGACTACTCAGCGCTGCCCAAATCTAGATTACTCTACGCTAGCACTGAGTTAATTGACTAGCGCTCGGCTATCGCAGCTCTGGCCTGAGCTAAGAAAACATGTCGGGTGCACGGGTGAAGCGCGTAGCCGTTATTGGTGCTGGGCCCGCAGGCGCCATCGCCGTTGATGCTCTGGCGCGGGAAAAGGCATTTGACGTGATCCGCATGTTTGAGCGGCGCGAAGGGCCGGGAGGGTGCTGGTGAGCCTTTCTTTCTTCTCGAGCGAAAATCCTAGAACGACAATGCCACTTCCACTGGAGTCTGGAGCTCAACTGCCCTGCGGACACACAGGATTGGCGACGCAGCGCCCCCGCCCAAGCTCCGCAACCTCGCGGCGCTCGCAGACGGCAGCGCCGACCGGCCGCTGGCGATCCCGGCGACGCTGCCGGCGCAGACGCCCGCGGCGGCGCGCACTGACGAAGAGCGGCAGCCGCGCTTCGCCGAGTCGTCCGTGTACCCGTACCTCGAGACCAACGTCGAGGACCTCACCATGGAGTTCAGCCAGGAGCCGATCCCGGCGGAGCGCAGCGCGCTGGGCGTCGCGCTGCACGGGCCTGACACGCCGTTCCGCCCCTGGCAGGTCCTGCGCCGCTACGTGCAGTCGCTGCTCGAGCGCAGCGGCTACCCGGACCTCGTCGCCTACGGCACCTGGGTCGAGCGCGTCGAGAAGGTTGGCGCCGAGTGGAAGGTCACACTGCGCAAGCCAGGTGTCGCGACTGACTACTGGTGGGTCGAGTGGTTCGATGCTGTTGTTGTTGCCAATGGTCATTACTGGGTCCCGTACGTCCCGCACATTGAGGGTTTGGACGAGTTTGAAAAGGCGCGCCCGGGCAGCGTGCTGCACAGCAAGCACTTTCGGGGGAGGCAGCAGTTTAGGGACAAGGTCTGTCGCTCTCTAGCAGCTGCCAATTTGGGAAAAAGACGAGAGCTGACGCATTTTTGTCCGACGCAGCGGGTCGTGGTAGTCGGCGCCTCCGTGTCGGCCGCAGACATCGCCGTGGACCTGGCGCACAGCAAGACAGCACAAAGCCCAGTGCACGCCATCACGATCGGGCACACCGCCAACGGCTACTTCGGCGACGAAGCATTCAAGCACCCGCAGATCCGCGAGCACCCGTCGATCGCGCGCGTCGACGCGGCGACGCGCACCGTGCACCTCATCGACGGCCAGAGCATCGCCGACGTCGACCACATCGTCTTCGGGACGGGCTACACGTGGTCGCTGCCGTTCCTGCCGCAGGTGCCCGTGCGCCACGGCCGCGTGCCCGGCCTGTACCAGCACGTCGTGTGGCACGCGGACCCGACGCTGGCGTTCGTCGGCGCCGTCGCCGCTGGCCTAACCTTCAAGATCTTCGAGTGGCAGGCCGTCCTCGCCGCGCGCGTGCTGGCGGGCCGCGCGAGCCTGCCGTCTGCTGCCGAGATGCGCGCGTGGGAGGACGACCGCGCCAGGGCCCGCGGCGACGGCATCAAGTTCTGCGTCGTCAACCCGGACTTTGAGGAGTACTTTGAGACGGTGCGGCGGCTAGCGGGCGAGGGACAGGAAGGGGTGGGCAGGAAACTGCCAGAGTTCAGGCAAGAGTGGCTGGTGTCGTTTAATAGGGGGCATGAACGGCGCAAGGCCATGTGGAAGCGCCTCAATGCGGAGGCCAGGGCGGAGGAACTGCTGGGGAGCAGTGTGAAAGCCGTCGCACGGCTGTGACGCGCGGCAGGTTGTCGTTCATCTTTTTGTCATGATGCATAAGCCTGGAGCCATTGAACGATAGAGACAAAATGATTAGAGAGCAATGATATTTCCCAGATATCCTCGGTTCCATTGACCCAGTTGAGGTCTGTGCGTCATGTCAGCACCTATACGTCAGCGCCCACATGTCAGCACCTACATGTCAGCACCTACTAACTAACCCTTAGTGTGTGGCAAGCAAAAAAAGGAGAACAAAGCAAGATGAGAAAGGCCAAAACATAAACAAGCTCCTCTTGCCGGAACTGGCAAAAAGATGGGGGCCACCCGGGGATTGAACCCGGGACCTCTCGCAAGTTTTGTGCTCAGGATACAACCCTAAGCGAGAATCATACCACTAGACCAGCGGCCCTTGTTGCTTTGATGGAGACGGAGGAGGGTATATCGAGAAATAGCCGCAGACGGTGCCGAGTGTGCAGCCGGGCGCTGTCTGGGCGGGTGTTTTTGGTTTTGTGGTGCCGAGAGCATTTATTTCTTGTGGGCTTGCGGCGGGTCCTGTTTGCGTGGATGCATTGTGGAGTCTGGTGGGTGGTGGATTTTAATTGGGAGGTGGGTTTTGGTTGGGAGGTGGGTTTTGAGGGTGGTGATTGGAGGGTGTGGGTGCAAGGCTTGGCGTGTTATGCTTTGAGTCGGTTACAGAGAGATAATTGAGTTGCCGGGGAATCCATGTACCACTTGTTCGTTGTCTAGTGAGAATGAAAAGACTGAATGAACTTCGTATTGGCGTGTGGTTTTGTCTCCGTGTTTGTGTCAAACAACGCCGGAGTCCGTAAGATTTCGTACCCCGTTCTTTGACACTTTAGTCAACTAGGTTTCAAGGCCTTTCGACAAGATTCCATATCTCTAAAACGATGCACGCATCAAATGCTCTTCAACTCACATTTGCTCCGAGAGTCTCGAGTCAGGGCTGTCCGTCATCCCCACTTGGAGCAATGTGTTGCATGACAGCGGTGGGTTCAGCAACCCCGTTCCACACACAATAGGGCATTGCCCTCCACACACAATGGAGCATTGCCTTCCACACACAATAGAGCATTGACTTTCGGACACGCCCCTACATGTACTCCAAAAGCAGGCACAGTATCAACAAGCGAGCTCAACATATCGCGTTTTCACCACGAAGCTCGGGGTTCGATCCCCCGTACCGGAGTACGCAGGCAATATCAGTGTCCATCACTTTCTTTTTGGCTTTGCTTTCTGCATTTTTTTGTGGATTGGTGGGTGGAGATCCGTGGTAGGCGGTGAGTCTTTTGAAGAAAGGGTTGGTGCGTTGGAGCCATGTAACTCGATGCGAGTGTTGGTCAGTGGTGGGTGGTGAATGGCAGAAAGAAGATGGGGTGGGTTTGAAGCAGGAACATGAACTTTTTTTATTCTGGTATAGAAAATTGATAAAACGGAAATTTTGGGGCAGACCGGACTTGAACCAGTGATCTCCAGACTCGGCGGCCGTGTCGACGTCGCGCTGCGACGCCTTCTCCTCGTTGGTCATGCGCGCTAGCAGGTCCGCCACGCGCGCCTCTGCCGACACCTTGGCGTTTTTGTATACGGCATTCTTGAGGATGGGCCGGCTTTGTCGGTGGTCGACACGTCGGCCGCCAGAGCGCCGGCCGCAAGCAGCAGCATGGACGAGAGCAGCTTCTCCTCGAGGCGTCTGGGGTGAGCTGAGAGGGATGGTTGAGGTGTTGGTGGAGACGGTGCTGCTGGCTAGAAATGGTGCTGCTGGCTAGAAAATGGGGTTTGAAGTCGGACTTGGGATGTGTATTTATACGTCGATCGACTCGAATACCTCTTGTTTACACCCCCTGTTGCTGGAGACGCTTTCTACGGGAAATCGAGATGGATAGACGCTCAACGATGAGCATCAGCTGACAGCTCAGTGACACTACCCATCTAGGGATCTGGGTAAGGCGGGCCGGCCGGAAGATATTTGTTGATGGCGATGATAGACACACAACGTCACAAGTGCCTCCTTTTGGTGTTGCTGCATTAGGCAGGGTATAAGTAAACAAGACGGGTTAGAGTGACGCCTTTCTCCGCCAAGAAAGTGGGCGTAGCTGCCGGGTGTTTGTTAGACGCACCCTTCATCTTTTAGGCTGAATGACAAACGCATAGAGTCGGGATAGATCAGGATAGGGGGAACCGCAGCCCGGGAACCGGGGCACCGGCGGGCTCAGACAAGGCTGAGGGTTGGAGCATTCGTGGCAGCCTCACACCAACAACCGCATCAGATCCCACAAACACTCCCTGCAACGAGCCACATTTCTAGCTGTCAAGATTGCACTTCTCAAGCCTCTCCATAGCTGGCCTGCATTAGCACCGCGATCCCACGCTACGCATTTTGCCGTCTATAGTCGCGCTTTTAACCGTTGTCGTAGGTAGCTTTGTCTTGACGACTCCGCTGGCTCGGCAGTGAAGGGGGCACCTCCATGCATGCACAATTGTACATGTACAGGCGCAGGAGCTGTCTCTTTAGTGGAAGGTGGCGAGGGCAATTTACGTGATTTACTCGGACTCGATGGACGTGCTCGGAGGGAGATGGCAACTGAATATCTGCAAGACGGCTAGATTTATGTACACCCACAGTTTTTCCCGTCTGTATCCCTAGTGGAAACTCGGGTGGGAAAAGTCAGGCCTCTCCCGTCACCTCCGTTCTACTCAAAGTAGGTGTTGCCTCTTCGTATCCATGACAGAAGGGTCATGGTAGGTGACGACCCGCAGCCCGTGTTTTTTCGTCATGGCGGCTCCGACATAGAATATCTTGCCTGAGCCGGACTGCTCTAGCCGATCGCCACTGGAAAACAGTGCAGTGTAAGCAGCCTTGCGAATTCTCACGATCGTTGCAGGACAAGTTGTGGTTCACTTACTAAGTGTCCTTCAAAGCTGCAGCAAATTCCTCCACGACACGCAGCTTCTCACACCCGGTCGTGCGGGAAGCATAGAACCCGCGGAGACGCTTAATGACCTCTACATCGGACTTCACATAGTAACCCGGCGAGAGATACATCTTGGGCGACGCGGGCTTGCCGCGGCCGACAGTGAAGTAAAAGCCCGGCCTAGCGCGGCCCGGTGCGTCGGCGGGCACCACATGCGAGCCGCGGCCTAGGAACGCCTGCCACAAGTCCTTGAGATCCTGCACCGCCTCGGCGTATTCACTCAGGTCCATGCGCCCGCCGAGCGTGATGGCGTCCGTCAGCCAGTCAAGCGTCGTGTGCGGCGCACGCACGTAGATTTTGATGCGCGCGTCGCCGGGCTTCAGGCAGTCGATGCACACAATCCCCGTTTCCATGCCCCACCGCGCTGTCGCTTCATGCAGGTATGACAGCAGAGGCTCGACTTGTAGCGCGGCGAGTTTGTCGGGCGGCAGGCTGCGGATGGCACGCTCGACGACCTCGAGGTTGGAGATGCTAAGCTCGAGTGCCCGGAGGCCGGGGAAGAGATAGACTTTCATGACGGGGCCGGACGCCTCGACATCAATCGCCACGCCCGTGCCGGCCTTCGGCGTGATCTCTTCGACCACCATGCCTTCACCTGTCTGAACTCTCTTTGGGTCTGTCGGCGGGAGGAGGTGGGCTGTGAAATGGCGGTACCACGACAGGTCCAGGTTCGGAACCATCCCCTGTCGGTGAACACAATCACTCCAGTCGCCAGCAGCATGGCTGTTCAAAGGATCCTCGTCGGTCCCCGCCTGTTTCCCAATCGGCTCAAACGAGTATCTGACCATGGATCCGTCGCCAACGATACCAAAGTCCCAGCTGAACTCGATCGGAGTGCCGCTAGGTGACCAGACGCTGGGCCATGCGTTGGGCTCGCCACCGGTATTTGGCGCGGGACCCAGCTCGGGGATTACCCACAGGGCATAGAAGAAGAGCTCGCGGTACTGCTCAGTCGTCGTGTATTTGGCACCTCGGAGCAGCCGCGCGAGCATGCGGCCCGTGGTATTCCACCAGAATTGCGCGTCGTCGCTGCGGAAACAGAGCTGTAGCGAGATAGTGTCGAAGGGTGTTTGCGTGCCGATTTTCGGCTCGCGAGGACTGGCGGATGCCATTGCTGGGGATGATGCTATAGCAAGAGAGCAAGCAATAGAAGCCGGAAGCTAGGTTGGTGACGAGAAGGAACGGCTCGGAGAGTGGCAGGGCGGAGGAATGAGGTTCGGGGAGCTTCATAATCGATTCGCTGGTGAAGACGTATTAATAGTAGCCATATTACGCAATCAGTTTGTCAGGAAAAAGTTTGTTGTTTCAATGTTGCTTACCTGACCATTTGCGGCATCGTGCTAGTGACTGGTGACTGATGAGAGTTCTGTTTTCCGATGAAAGTTGGATCTAGGCAAACTCCATGGTCTCCATATCGAATCCGAGGAGCATCTCGGGACTTCAGCGTCGTAATAAACTGGTAAAAATTGAAAGAGAGTCCTAATCCTCGAAGGATTCAATGGGTATTAGAGCAGAATAATGATGTCTTCGTTGCAGCACTAGAAACTCGAATAAAAAAAAGAAACGGAAAGCTATTGCGGGCAATCTTGGACGAAGTTACGGCGTTGGGGTGGAGAAGTTTGGAAGTGCAAGGGCCACTTTCCCAAATGGTTTCAACTGACCAATCAAACCGCAAGTGCTCCCCGATCGTGACCTCACCCAAGCCGTGTGATGATAACACCGCCGATAAGCCTATTGCTTATAAGTGGCCTTACTTGCGTTGGAGTGCAATGAATCGAGGTTGACGATGACATCTATCTGTGAATTAGGACTTTGCTGGGAAAACTGCCTCCCCCTTTTCTCGTTAGCACATCTCGCTTTCGCTAAAAGTTTCCGTTTGCCCCGGACAGTCCTCACACTGTACGCATTCCCAAGCTGTTCAGCCAGCCAAGGAAAGTGCCGCTCGCGACCCACTGGGCCGAACTCCAATTATTTTTCGTGTTGGGAACTCGCAAACGTCGCCGTGTTTCACAGCATGTTTCTATGCTTCCCGCGTTTGTCCCCTCTCTGAGTTTGCCAAATATGCCACTATATTGCCAAGGAGCCTGGCATCTGGAATCTGGCATCTGGAATCTGGCATCTGGAAGCTGGCATCTGGAATCTGGCGTGTTTGGTAGAACAATCTTTCCAAACTTGGATCATAAATGGCCTAGGGAGACTTTGGTGGTTGGATGTTTCAACCAACCGTGATGTCCAGTGGATCATGCTCCTGTAGTGGTGTTCAAATGACGCACTGGTCATTAAAAACTACGAGGAGAACATAGAGTCACCGTCTTCACTCAGTGGGGTCTGTAGGTTCCGTAACGAATTGGGGTATCGAATTGAGACTACCTACTCGCATTCCCAGACGCCCCCCTGAAGAAAATTCCCCAAAAATAAAAGAGAAAAAAGAAAAAAAGAAAAAAAGAAAAAAGGCAAAGCCAAACCAAGGCGGACCTTCACCCCCACTGGTCAATCCCCTACTCGCTCACCGTCGTGCGTGGGTACCTGGGCTTCTTCTTGTCGTCGGCGCACTTGTCGCACCAGTAGTAGTGGTGCGAGTTGGCCGACTCGTTCTCCTCGTACCCGTCCTCTCCCTTCTTGCAGCAGTACGGGTTGACCACTAAGCTGATGTCCTTGGAGGCGGGGACGTGCTCGGTAACGGCGCCGTCGTATTTGCCCTGCGCGCCGGCCGCATTGGCGCGCGCCTTGGCCGCGTCGCACATGGTGATGGACGCGCCCGGGATGTTGGCCCACGACGCGATCTGGTTGTGCGGGCAGTGGGCGAAGCAGAGGAGGTAGAGGGCTCCGTGGACGCTGTTTTATACTCGTGTTAGCTTTATGGTACGTGTGTCAATAGTGTGATGTGGGATATAGCTGATGTAGAAGTTGCTTACCACATGATGATCTAGAGAGAGATTGTGTAGATGTGTACGATTGACATCTTCTGGGTAGGAAATTCCTTGCGTGCGAAGAGTGGTCAAGCCTGGATGATGAAATGCTGAAGTGCTTCGAGTCTCTGGTGTGTTGGTGTGTCCATGAAGGTGTGAATATGTGCTTAGGTTTGTTCAAGAGTAGGAGTAGTAGCTACGAGCTGCGCGCTGAAGTATTTATAGCTAAAAACCCTCGATTTGCCTCCTACAGGCTGTCTATGACGGCCCACTCCGAATAAGACTCCGTAGATTGTGAAACTGTGCGCTAGTCATCGACAGTGACAAAAAGCGTACGTGCAACTATTGTTATACGTATCTAGTCCGGGGAGACGCGATAATTGTACTTACAACAGAGACGACGGCACAATAGGACTGGAGGTACTGCGAGTCAAGCAGCACATGACCGTTTAGTCAAATCCTGATAGAACAATACTATGAACCTGAAACGGTTGTTGAGAGTTCGTTGTGGCCATTGAGATGATTGTATTAGGGGAGAAATAAAGGTTGCAAACCATGGCTTGCTTCACAACAGTAGATCGACCGATGGCCGCGTGGGCAAATTACGTACGTGGACTGCGTCGAGGTGGTCATCAACCATTATCGAATTGGAGGCTCACAGTGTGTAAAATCTATTACTTATTTTGTGGGATTAATTATCGAAATAGTTTTCTCCATAGTACCTTCCACTGTCCTATCTAGGACATCGTTTTCGGCCCTTTTTCCTACTGTGTTGGCTTGGAGCTTCGAGATAGCAGTAATGGTGAGCTTCAAGGCACGTAAAGATATCTTCTTGGCGTCCTAACGTATACATTATTGAAGGCAGGAGCAGACACAGCGCCCTAAGCGCTGTAGCTAGTTGACAACAGGCAGGTATTCAATTGCTGCTCGTCTCTGTGGAGAGTGAACTTCTACAATGTTGAGACGAGAAAATATAAGCGGTATGTAACGTAGAGAAGGAACCGATCTGCCCATATTGAACACTTCAACCAGCCGGCGCACTTCAGATCACTCAAAAAATTGTAGCATATGCAGCCACCGGCAGGTTGCCAAACGGACCACGGACACCTGAGGTATCTAGCTCGTATCCAGGCCCGGTGGCTATACATAACATGACCCTTACCGGTACCCCGTTTCTTAGGAGTCGTAATATTTCAACCTGTAAAATCCTCCAAAAAAGACATTAGGTTTGGCAATGTAGCCAGGCATATGGCTAGCTCTGGTAGGGGCACACTGAGATCTAGGTGAGATCTAGATATCTAGTTAGGAATCCCATTCGGGAGCGTGCTGAAAAGAAGGTGAGATGCCCCCATGCAAAGGTCTTCCCAAGCCCTGAATTGGGGCCCTGACTCCCCGGTAGACTTGAATCGAGCCTGTCTTTCTATTATAATCGATTTGGAAGGAGCCCTGCCCTCCCCCACCCAAGTATTTTTGCGGAGAGGTTTTCAAGGGCACAAAATTTCTGGCCTTCCACAGATCGAGAAATTTTTGAATCCTGCAACTTCACATTCGGCACTGATCTTGCACACCACGTTCCACCAAGATTCTCTCGTACGTGTAAAGCATTTCACTTCTCCGTGCTCTGCTTTTATTCCTTTGCGTTTTATATTTTGATTCCTGAAATCTCGCGTACTAACAGCCTGTTCAAGCTACAAGAAGCCCGTCTGTGAACAGCATCACGCAGCACCGCTTCAGGACCGCCGTGCCAGGTTCGTCTTCACGTATTCACTACATCCTCACCTCTCTAGCTTCTTCCTTTCCTTTTTCTAGCATCAGAATCCCCCATATTCACCTACCCAACGGCGCATTCAACCTACACAGACGGTACGCCTAGAAAGAATAACGCCCTCTCGCAGATGCCTTCCCCTCAAATCTCGGTAGATCACCGCCCGACCTTCCTCCGACCTTCCTCGTATCCTTTCCACATTCTCACCTGTCCTAGCTCATTCCTCCCCTTATAACCAGGCCTCCTAATATCTTGCTTTTCACCGCACAAACTAACCAATTAAACACATTGGAAAGCCCGTCGGCGAGCAAGTACTTCTCCCAAATATACGCCTCTCGTAAATCTCGTCACGTTAGCTCGCCTCCTCTCTCCTCGTACGTATAACCCATTTTAACCCGTTCAGTTTGTTTCCTTCTATTTGAACTGGTACTACATCTCTCAAATTTCACAGCGCTAACCCATCCTTCGAGCTTCAGCCTTATAGGAAACCCCGTCGGTGGAAGAACCGCCTCTCGGAAACACACACACACAGACACTCACTCCTGAACATCGCCGCTCGTCATATAAACCTATCCCAAACACACCAAAAGGCAACTAGTCACCATGTCTCAGCACGTCGAGTATGCCCTAGCAGCAGCAGACGGCTTCTTCAACGGCCAGGTCTTTGTGCTCGACCGCGCGTTCGCGACGGTCAACTACCTGAGCAAGCTGCTCAGCATGGGCCCCGGCACCATCAAGAGCAAGGGTGGCAAGGTGCTGCCGACGGAGATCTGGCTGCAGATCATCGAACTGGCCGAGAAGGCCGCGAACAAGGGAGACGACCACATGCACTGCCTGGTCGACGCTTGCCTGGCCGACTTCAAGCAGACGCGCGGCGAGAGGATCATCCGCTGCACCAAGCTCGACTTTGACGTGGAGGACGGCGCCATGGTCCCCAGCACCCCCGACAGCGGGTGCCGCGACCGGGTCGAAACGGCCGGACAAGTTGACGCCCTGTACCTGCTGCCCAAATTCCGCGAGGTCCCCGGCCGCGACAACATCTTCTACCTGTTCGTCCAGCCGAAGCCGACCCCCGCAGCAACAGCAGCAGCAGCAGTCAAGTCGGGCCTGCTGTGGAACAACTCACACCTGGACGTGTACTACCGCGTCATCGTAGGCGGTGGTGTGTGCTGGGTTTGCCAGGGCACGCGCTTCGTGTGCCCGTGCGAGCCGTGCACCGCCCAGTCGCGAGAGCTGTGGAGCATCATCCCGCTGCGCCGCGCGGCCATCCACATCAACCCCCCGGCGTTCTGCCTCGTCTGCCCGCACTGCATGAACAAGATCCCTCAAGTTGCGCCAAAGGAAGAGGAACGCGGCTGCCCCGCGCGTTTGGCTCGTCCGTACTCTAAGACCATCGCCCTGGCCACAAATCTCAGTTTCATGCACGGCGCAGCGTGGTCCTACAACGGCCTGTCTCGTCTTCGCATTGAGTGGGACGTGTTTGAATGGTATGTGATCATCCCTGAACTCGAAAATTTTCCCCGTGAGATGTGATGAATACAAGTAACTAACTAATTTCAGATCGTATGATGTTTGGGGGGCCGGCCCTGTCGGCCACGGCCAGTACACGGGAATGGGTGTGAGGTTCTCGCACGTAGCTACGACTGCTGACCTTTGGCTCCAGCTCGTGAAGGAGAAATGGCATCTCGTTATGCGCTAAGTTGTGCCTAGAGACGGCAAGTGTGGGGGTAGCTGGGCAATGATGAATGACTATTGTGCACGATGTGCACAACTGACCAGACCTGCAATTACCTACTCCTGTTTATGTGAGCACATTTTTTGAGTTGAAGAAGCCGTCGTGCCAAATGAAGAGCTCTGACCATGGCACTATATTGGCCTCCTCTCATTGTTTTCTATACGCTATTCAATGGTCTCTTATCTAAATATGGAAATGGCAACCGACCGCACAAGTTCTCCATATTGAGCATAAACTTCTCCACATTGAGCGTGAAACAGCGTAGAAAATGTCATCGTTCTAGGCATTTTTACGATACAGAAGCGGAGAGCTAAGTATGGACTATGATCTTACTGTGTTATTACCAGCCCTCTACTCCAATTAAATACGGTGCGTATACCCTTTAACTTCATTGGGTCTTTGCTAACTCTAGCGATTACTGTGGAACCTAAGTCGAAAGTCATAACCACCTGTGGAGGCATTGTCCCATATTTGATATAGCCTCCAGAACGAGCTTGTCTAGTGAATTGCTCACTACGCAAAACCTTAGCAGTGCTCTCCCTATCTCGGTAGAGGGTAGCTCCGAGGAAAAATATAAACTGTCACGGTATAAGACAAACGAAGTAGCAGTTAACCGTAGAACGTAGATCTCGCCTCATGAGATAGCCAAATGTACACATTGCACCTAATCCGGTGTTGAATGGCGTTTCTATAGTTCACAAAGACATTCTTGTCTTATACGTCGAGAACTAGTAAGTGGATGTGATATAATGCCTACCTAGCTAAGCGACCCTGATGCCTGGAAATATGCCAAGGTACTTACGTGGCTCACACTTTATCTTGAGCAGAGTACTACTTAATCATCTACGACGAAAGACTGCAACGGGCTGAGCTCACAGGCGTATGTGAAGAAATATAAGGACACAGGTATCAGAGCGGAGAAGGACACGGACTTGGACGAAAACCTCAAACTACCAAACTTCTTCGGTAGACTTACCCGTCGACAGGCAAACCTCAAGGATTCCCGCCTTGGTGACGAGAATGCCAACCCCCAGGGGACGGCCCGGAAGACGACAGGGCGACGCCGAGAAGACGCCCAAACAGACCCATTCAGTTATTAGGCGGTACGAAAGTATGGTGAAGAAGGCTTGATTTTACGAAGCTAAGTGTCGTGTACACGATTACACTAAGTACAAGCTAGCGCTGGTACGTATATCACGTAATTATTGTACATGCAGCCTTATTTATTGCCAACAATGCCTACCCCCCTCCTCCACCCCAAAGAAAATGCTACTATCCCGCAGCTTACCCAGCCCTTGGTCTAGTGACCATTAACTTTGTACAGGCCTAGCTTTGCTGTGTTCTCCTTTGGCATCTCATTCAAGTATCTGATGAAGATTTCATGCCCCTCTGTTGCTTATGATCGGAGTTGACAGCGCATTAAATTGTCTGTCTAGGCTAGAAGAGAGGTTCAAAGGACGAAGCCGAAGGCTTTCTAATATAGACCCTGTAGCCCTGCGCCTCCTGCCGCCGCCTCTTATTGTTCTGTTGGTTCAACCAACACACATCTTCAAACAAAGGTCAAACGTAAGATGACGGAATAAGCTGACTGTGGCTTGAAGAGTGGCTCAAATCTGGGCGACACCTCCAATGGCCCCATAGTGGGAACCATGAACAAATTGCTACCACGAACAACAAGTCACAACCGTCGCTTGAATACCTGGCCAAGTGGAAGGGTCATGCAGAGCAACACAACGTCTGGTGTCCCAGGCGCGTATTGTTGGAATCAGCGTCAGACCTGGTGTACGAGTACGAACTACAGAACCCAGTCACCCAGTCACGGACGACGAGATCAGAAAGGATAGCAAGCTAGCCCCACCAAAGTCAGGCAACCGCAAAACGAACATTTAACGATGTCGTGCTTTTCAAGCAAGCCGTCGACACACAGCATCTACTAAACGAGGTCAACCTGGCAATGAATCGAGGCAGAGAAGGGGATTATGATTTCGACGGCGAACTCGAATCTAGTATCGAACAGTATGAGTGGCAACTCCTAGAGAAGAACACGAAAGGTGTAATCCCATGCGAGGTTTCCGTTCCGGCCTGGACTGCTTCTGGCCGTTGCTTGGGGCGTAATATTCCCTGAGGTGCGCACCTGATATGACTGGGTGGATCCAAAGAAGACACCGAGCAAGCATGCCGCAGAACTTACCTCTAAGACAATTGCGGTTGCGGGCTGTATGGTACGGTACTGGAGGGCGGCAGAATATCGCCGCGCCTTTCACTTTTAGGTGACTGTGTTTAGGCGGCGTGTGATTCTAAGAAGTTACTGAGGAGAAAACGACCGGTGGTGAGTTAGCGTAACTACGGTCATTCCATGCCTACCGTACCTAGGTAGTTAGTTGGATGATCTAAGATTGGGTAAATAAACGGATCAAGATTTTTCCAAGTAACTAGAATGGCACGTATCTTTCCCCATGTAATTCAAGCGCTGGATGTAATACGGTCCTAGCTGGCGTTGTTTATCAACACAACACGCTCAATTTCATCTGATCTTGAGTCGGACCGTGCAGGAATTTTCCTAGTGTACGTGGGAGGACGGTCGCGGATATCTTTCAGTTTCCTCTGCGCTTTCAAAATCGGACAGGAGCAGAACACACACATCGAAATTCGGTCAGCTGGTAACTCCCAAAATTTCACATTGAACGAAAGGCAATACTCTCCTCTTGAATCTGAGATCTCTTGATTATCGCATCTTACAGACTTACTGACTTGGCATTTCCTTTCCTCCAGATTTCACCCATCCAATCCTGCAACCCGAATTTCACGCAGCACCAGCAGACACAAGATGTGGCTGCTCAGCACGAGAACGGCCGAGCTCGAATTTTTCGAGGAGGCGGCGGTGTTCGGCGACGGCGGCGGCAGTAGTGGCGGCAGGGGCGGCGGCGGCAGGGACGGCGGCGTTTGTTACGCGGTTTTGTCCCACATCTGGGGCGAGAACGAGCCAAGCTGGGAGGACGTGTCGCGGCGTTGGATGGCGGGCGGTGCGGGCCGGGACCAGGCCGCGTTCGCAAACATCGACGCGTGCGCGCAGCTGGCGTGGGATTGCGAGATCCCATACCTGTGGATCGACACGTGTTGCATCGACGTGCGGTCGAGCCACGACGTCAGCACCGCCGTCACGCAGGTGCGGGCCATGTTCGCCGGCGCGGTGGCCTGCTTCGTCCACCTGCCCGACGTGGGCGGCAGCATGTCCGGCGCGCTGGACGCCAAGGTGGCCAGAGATGTGATGCGCAGCCGCTGGTTCCGCTGCAGCTGGACGCTGCCAGAGCTCGTTTTCTCGGCCGGGTCGCCCGTCTGGCTGTTCTCGTGGGACTGGCAGTGGCTTGGCTCTTCGGCCGTGTTTGCCGGCGCCATTGCGCGGCACTATGGGATCCCCGAGGATCTCGTCTGCGGCCGGTACGGCCACGAGCAGTACCACGCCGCCGAGCGCGTGGGGTGGGCCCGGTGCCGGTTTGCGCACCATGCTGAGGACGAGGCTTACTGCCTCATGGGGCTGTTTCTTGCCCAGCCCATGCCCCGCCGATACGGCGAGGGTCTTTTGCGCGCCTTCCGGGGGCTCCAGGAGCAGTTCCTCGTGCAAAACGGCGGCCGGGATCTGTCGTTGCTGGCCTGGACAGCAGTCGACTTCGACCAGCGCCGCTCTGTCTTGGCCCCGGTGCCACACCATCGCACCCGCCGCATGCATCTCGTCGAGCTCACAGTGGCCAGTGGACGCAACGGCACGTTCCAGTTGGGAGATGTCAATTTCGGCGCCCAACAGTGGATAGCCGCACGGCACCTGGCGGTCAGCGGCGCAGTAGCTGCGGCCGGGGTTTCGGCGTCGGGCCGTAGCATGATCGTCAGTGGGATGCGTGTCGCGCCCCTTGTCGCACCAGGTAGCAAGCCAGCCCTGTTTGCGTGGCTTGGCGTTGAAACACATATATATCTGCCGGGCGTGAATTCCTTGAATTCCTTGATTGGAATACGGCTCGAACTGGAGGATGAAAGCGAAGACGGGCACGAAGCAGCACCCTGTACTTGGCGGCGGACGATGGGCTCCCACCTGCTTTATATGGACGCAAATCATCTCGAATCGTTGCAGTTGCAAGACCTGTGCCTAGTGCACATCCAGGACGAGGATGAGGAAGCACGGCTCGAGTTGCTTTGAAAAGGAGATGAGGATGATGGAGTATTGGCGAGAGGGTGTCGGTGCTTGGAGCGGCTGCTGAGGCTAGAAGGTTCACCAATGTACCATGTAATAATTAATGAACTTCATGCGAGGGGCATGAGGGTCGAAGTTTTCTCAAAAGAGGATTTCATTGTGAAGCTAGGGACTAAACCAATCCAGCTTTGGTTTTGTTTCACACGGCTAGGGCATAATGAAGGTCTGTTCGATTACTTTTAAGCATCACTTTTATTGTTAGATAACTCGGGGCTTGGAAGTGTGAAAAAGTTGGTTGCCGAGATATTCGACGATGTTGGCCTGAAGTCGTGTATGGTCAGTAGAGTATGTATGGTCAGTAAAGTATCGAGAAAAAACGACGCTGCTGACTCCACGACCTTCCCTGAGCTGCATCGAGCTTCCTTGTGCTATGTTTCGTTAGATTGACCACCTTAATGGCAAAGGCGTTACCGGAGACCTTGTCGATGACCGTGCACACGGTGCCGAAGCCGCCTGAACCGAAATTCTCACGGAGATGGTCATGGTCCTGTCGTATAGGGCATTTCGCCGTGCCTAACCTGGTCATCTTCCAAGATTGCGCACCCGAAGCCAGCTCCACAGTTGGCCAGTCGCGCGACCTTGCTTCCTTCACATAGAGCATAGATGATTCGTAGCCTGTCACGGCGAGAGCTTTGAGGATTGCCTTTGTCGGTGCATTGGAGGTCTCGCCAGCCACTTCAAACCAAGCCGCGATGGAGATTATATACCCCCACCCGTACAGGACAACACCGTCTCCGACGATGATGTCTCCGCCCTTTTTCTGAACCATGTCGACTGCCTTGCCATTCAGATTATCGGCCAATCTCAAGCTGACAGACGCGAGATGCTTTGATCAGAACGCCAAAACAACAAGATGAGTGGTGGGGTTGAGCTCGAAGGCGGCATAGACAGCAGACATGGGCTTCAGGGAGTTACTCGCTCTGGGGATCAAGTCAGCGTCCCGCCCGAGCCTGGTGATGACACGGCCTCGAGGCCGAGTCGAGACGTGAAAGCCGACCTCGATGTGAAAGCCGACCTCGAGGCTCAGCTCGCTGTCCCTGGTCATCGATACAAAACATTTGTTGTCAGGTGGAGGAGGGCATCGCGTCCGAGGTCGTTGTACGGCACGAAGTGGAAGAGTGTTTTGGGATTGGAGTTGAAGACATGGCGAGAGGATGATGACGAGAATGGTGAATGGAGAATGGAGACGAAAGGGGGAAACGGCAGGGGCGAGAAGGCGGGGACGAGGAGGGAAACGACAAAGAGGACACCCATTAGGTACCTGCCTCACCTTCAGTTACACGAGAATGCCGGAGCCTCGCTGGCAACCTTGGCCCCGGTGGTTGCAGCCATCGATTGCGTGAAACAACGGCGCTAAGATCATCGGCGACGACAAAAGGGGCAGTCATTGCCTCTTGAAACTCGGCGTCGTAGGAATTGAGTCTTATTGGCCAACTTGCCCGAAATTTTCAACCGTACGTGCTAGTCTGCACAACAAAAGTGCAGTCTGCCGGGCGCAGAGGTGCAGTCTACACAGCAAAAGGTGCAGTTGCGCGGTACGCTAAAGGGCTACACACCGACCACACCCGCAGCAGCCTAGATTAGGCGCTAGATTGAGCAGAATTCTTAGTTTTTGACGCCCGCTTCGCGCCCTTCGCGCCTTCCCTCTCGTCTCAAACTTGTCATACCACACCACACCACATTAATTACTCAGCTGTCCCCAACATCTCTTGTCTCGACTGCCCCAGGGCGCTTTCCTACTGTTCATTCCCACCCATCTCCTCCAAAAAGGCGGCAAAACAGCAAGCTTATCGTCAACCACCAAAATTATCGCACCCGTTTCGTGCGCCGCCCGAACCCAACTACGGCTGCCATATTGGACCCTGCGCAACGTTAGGCTCTAAAAAATGAAGCGATTCCCTTTCTCGAGGAGCTCGTAGCAAACGATCAGCTGCGCAACCACATCATCGCACGCTTTGACCGTGACGACCCTCCGCCATACGCCTCGTCGACTGACTCGGGAGAGATTGGAGATGATTTCTTTGGGCCACCGACGGCTCAGCCTCTGCCGCCAGACCTGGTCGTCCTCATGGAACCGCCATTAACAGACCAAGAGCGGAAGCACGCTGCGTCCCTCATGCGCTCCCTGCCAAATCCTGTCACATACAACACTGCATTCCTTTAAAGGCAAAAGAGTGCTTGTATTCGGAAGAAGGAAGAAAGGTCGGTATATCCTAGGGCCCTGCTTTATAGGGAAAATGAGGTCTTTGTTCTGGCGGAAATAGTCAGCCGGGTCACGCGGCTCGGCTTCTTCCGACAAATCCTCAGCAGCTTTATTACTCGGAAGCGAAGAAAGAGGAGAGTCTATTGATAGACAGCCGTGCCTGGCGTAACCCGATATTTAGGAACCTGGACAGCAATCGGCGCATGGGGGTTGTTGTTCGCCACAACGTCGAGAGGCGCTGGGAAAGGTTTGGCATCTGGAATCCGGCATGCGGCTTTCCAGGCCGCAACGCGCATCCCAACGGCCGGCCCACGTGTGGAAATGGAAGTGGCAGGATGATCACCAGTCGGCCAAGAATTGGCGGCAGCTCGTCGCCCACACCCTAGAGCTACGTCGGAATCTTCGTCGTGGCGAGAAGGATCCGGTGGTCCCGCTGTCTCGTTTGGAATCCAACGCGCCAGTTTCCAAAGCCGAGTCCTTTCTCATCTCTCAGCCCTGGTTCATCTTCCAACTCGAGATGGCCGAGGATCATGAGCGGTACGAAAGGATTGAAAGCCTCGATAAACGGCGATATCCGCACGAAGGCCAGAAGTACGTCATTGACTGCTAGGAGGGCGGAGACTAGAGAGACGAGTTCAATATCAGCAACTGGGTCGAGTCCTGGAAGTGGCGTCACGAGTCTCCCTCCCCGGAGCCCGAAGATCTCGCACCCTGTACCTGCCGATGACTCTGGATACGACCCATTGCGGGATACGACCCATTACGGCAGCACCCCCCTCCCCAGTTCGACGCCGACCATGATGGCAACCCGTTCGACTCCATGGACTTGACCCCCTCTGAGGCCGATGTGCTCGAGGTCATTGATCTCCCCGCTCCTGAACAGCCCGAGAAGTTTTGGGCTACGTGGAAAGGTGATCCGCCGCCTTACTTCCCTGGGCACATGAGAAACCCCCGCGGGGGCGTCCCACTTGAATCACTGCACGCCCCTGTATCAACGGATCCTTCGCAGTCTTGGATTTTTGGGCCGCTGCGACCTGGGCTGCCAGGCAGGGAGCCATCTGAGATTGAAGACGACACACCTGACCCGCAGCGAGACGCCGCCGATACCGCACTACGGACTCGACGTAGTGCTAGGATCACCGCCAAGGGAGTTACCTCCGCAACGGCACCGCCATATCAGCCGCAGCCCACCCGACACCGTGCTAGGATTGCTGCAATGAAACAAGCTGCAATGCAGCTTGCGCCTGTACCCAACTCAATGGCTCGACAGCGGCGAGCCAGACGGCGTCCAAGACAAAGACAAGAAGCTAGGTACACATGCGGCAGCAGCGGATAAGCCGGAGAGGAAGACTGGTCGAAGGCAAGCCCGAGAAGGGAAAGCGCCGAGCGTGGAAGGAGCCGGCAAGACGAGACGGAGTGGTTTGAGAAAACGAGACCCGACAGCACGGAAAGGAGGCATTTGAAAGGATCGGTGATCGCTATTCATACATATAATTGTTTTGTAGTATTGTGGGAGGCGGCTGGCCCGGCATGAAATGAACTTGATTGAACTGCAAACCTTGCCTACCTCGAAACCAACAGGCAACCCCAGATTTTGAAATCTCGTGCGTGTCCACGGTTCTGTCGTCCATGTTATCACAGTTTCATGCCAGAGCAAGTACATTCTTTCAATCAGTGGACTACTCTGTCCGACGACAGGATACAAGCAAGTTGCTCCAATTCCACCAAGTCGTCGAATACAAACTTCCATAGAATTCAGGCCCCCCGCGACTACCTCGCACCACCGCTCGCACCGGCCATGACAAAGCCCGGCGGGACAGAGGACGAATTACCGGACCCTCCTGTCCCTGTTATCTGGGAATATTAAGAAGAAGAAGAAGAAGAAGAAGAAGAAGAAGAAGAAGAAGAAGAAGAAGAAGAAGAAGAAGAAAACGCCGCCTCGTGCTGCTTGATCTAGATGGCGTGGGTCGGCTCCGCTGCCGCGTCGACAGTGCTGATGGCGGTGATCTCTGGGCCGTGCGGGTGCTGGCAGGCGGTGCAAGGCGGCGGGTTGGCGGCACCTTGCTTCTAGATCTCTAGGACTACTGTCCCAGTGGGTTTGGCTAGGCTCTAGGACTACTGTCTCAGTGGGTTTGGCTAGGAGCTGTACTTGTACGGTTGTCGATACTGTTGTCGATGCTGTTGTTGTTGTTGTTGTTGCGGCGGTGGTGGTGCTGGGCGAGGCCGTGCAAGACGATGTTGCGGTTGTGGATGTAGTGACTGTGGCGACTTCTATTCTAGAGGACGAGGTTCCGGGTTGCTGCCTTTGGTTGTGGTGGATGAAGGTGATCCGAGCCGCTCTCGGTCTGGCTGGAAGATGCTGGGACAGTGTTGGGTTCGGCTGTGGAGCTGGACATTGGACCTGCGCTGTTTCCGGGCTTGCTGGAAGTCGTGGCTGTGGTGGTTCGTGGCTCTGGTGGTTCGTGGCTGTGGTGGTGCTGACTTCCCTGGCAGAGCTGCTAGGCTCTTACTGCGAGGTAGACGCAGCTGTTGAAGACAGGTTGTCTGTTGAGGACGTAGAGAAGTACTCTCACGGCTTTCTCGGTTTAGTGCAGGAGTTCCAGGGTACCGCGACTGCAGCAAAAGACGCCACCATGAAACATGTAGAAAAATTTTGGGTTGTGTTCAGAGGACAAGTTGAACTCAAATATCCGGCCATATAGTAAATGATGAGGTTGAGTATTGGGCAAGCAAAGGCATGTTCTCTAGAATGTATCAGCAGCGACAGGCGTGAAATACTTAGGCGGCGGCGCCAAAAGTTGTTCCCATAGCACCCATTCGAATGAAGTAGTTGAGGCTCAGTTTCGTCGACGAATAAGCCGCTTGCCCCGATTATACTAATTATCTGCCCTCTGGTGGCTGCTAATCCTAGCAGCGTCGAGGAGACACCTCTGCTGATGCCCAGCGGCCACCAACACTGCACCAACTGCCCTGCCGGGAGAGTGAGGTGCCGGGAGAGTGAGGGAGGCATCCCGTGCCAAATATTCCTGGCAGAAACAATCGTCGGGCCCTGGCGCAACATCGAGGCGGGCTGTAAGCGAGACTACAGGCATACAAAGAGACCGAAGGCAGAAAGAAGACAAGAAGATATTTCTTCTCCTTGTCACGACCAAAAGGCTATGATCAAAGCGAAAAAAAGTTTGGGCACGAAGTCCCTGTGTCATCCTTAGTGCGCAGAGGCTCTGCTAGTACTGGGTGCCCGAAGGCTCATTGGGTGCCCCAAGGCTCATTGGGTGCCCCAAGGCTCATTGGGTGCCCCAAGGCTCATTGGGTGCCCGAGGGTAAGGAAGAAAAGAGGAAAGGAAAGGTGAAAGGAGGGGGTCGGCGGGTTATTTTATACACATTGTAGTTGATCTGTGCACGACTACAAAAATTGGAGTGGGTCCCCTGAGCTGGAAGTGGTGGGTCCGCTTGTTTTTTGTCTGAATGGGAAGGAACGGACTCGCAGCCGTTCTAGCAGGTACGTACCTCACTCGGTTCCTGCTCGAGACTTTGGCACGAATCCACTTTCTGAGTTAGGAAAGGGGGAGAGTCGGTGCATTAGGTCAGCTGCTTTACGCCTTCCCCTTGGCACTGGCAGCTTTGGTAAGCACAATCTCGCCCATTTCTAACCTCTTCATGTGTCAATACGCGGAGTCTTTCCCCAATTTCCACCCGACAATATCGCAAGGGTTAGCGCTCACTGCTCAGCCCTGCCAGGGGTTCTGCTATGCCTGAGCTGGTTAGCATATGTGGCTGGCGTGGAACCGCGCGCTGACGGCCAACTTCTTTTCCGACACAAAAGCCGACTTTGAGTCTCAACTTTCCTTTCTCTTCGTTCTCTCTTCTTTCACCTTGTTCTTTCAAACCGACACACCGACACACGAATAGTTTCAATGGCGTCCAGGCCGCTCTCTAGTCTATGGCTGGTCTCTAGTCTATGGCTGGTGGTATGCTGGCTCGCCTTCGCGGCCCGCGCTGCGTGGGCAGCAGCAGAGCCACGGTCAGCAACCTCGGGCACGGCGTGGCCAAACGGGCCCTTCCGGACATCAGGGCGGTGGATCATCGATGCGTCTGGGGCAGACGTCACGTACGCAGGCGTCAGCTGGCCGGCACACGGCGAGACCATGCTGCCCGAGGGCCTGCAGTACCAGTCGGTCGCCGCCATCGTCGCCAAGATCAAGAGCCTTGACATGAACGCCATCCGGCTGACGTACGCCATTGAGATGATTGACCAGATCTACGCCAGCGCCACCGACGACAGCCACCCCCAGGACGTGTCCATCGAGACAGCTTTGGTCAACGCCTTGGGTCGCGAAAACGGCACTGCGGTGCTTGCGAGCGTTTTGAAGAACAACCCGTCCTTTTCAAAGACGACGAAGCGGTTGCAGGTATGCTGGGATAGTTTATCCTGTGGTTGATGACGAAGCCTGACGGTTTGTGATTTGAACAGGTGTTCGACGCCGTCGCTTCCGAGTGCGCCAAGCAAGAGATCTACGTCCATCTCGACAACCACCTCTCCAAGGCCAGCTAGTGCTGCAATCCGTTCGACGGCAACGCGTAGTGGGGCGACACATATTTCTCGGCGGGAAACTAGACGCAGGGCTTAGAGTACATGGCGCAGCACGTAGGCCTGAGTCTCCTTTTCCAGTCGCCCCTCCAGTCGTCCCTCCAAAAGCCCAGATACACACATCAATTGCCCTGCCCTCGAACCAGGCAACAGCTAGCTAACAGAGAAGAACACAGGCCAAAGCGTGGCCCAACCTCGTGTCCATGTCGCTGCGCAACGAGCTGCGGCAGCCGCTGCTGAACCTAACACTCTACTCACAATCATACAACTGGGCAACATGGTACGATCACATGCGCGAGGGGGCAGCCGCCATCCACGCCGCGCACCCCGACACCCTCGTATTCCTCTCCGGACTCGACTCAGACACGACGCTCGACGCCGTCGTCCAGGGCCTGCCGCTCACGAGCAGCGCCAGCAGCAAAACCCCGGCCAAGGTCTTCGACGCGGCGGCCGACTTCGCCAGCGGCCTCGCCGACAAGCTCGTGCTGGAGCTGCACACGTACATCAACCCGGCCACCTGCTCCGCGTTCGAGGCGCGGCTGGCCGCGGCAGGATTCCAAACGCTCAACGGCACGGCAAAGAACACCATGCCGCTGCTGCTGACCGAGTTCGGGTACACGCAGGACGCGGCGACGTGGCGTGACTCGGTCTACGCGTCGTGTCTGCTGCGCTTCCTGCCCGCCAAAAAGGCCGGCTGGATGATCTGGGTCCTCGCCGGGAGCTACTATGTGCGCGAGGGCCAGCACGACTACGACGAGGGCTGGGGGCTGCTGAGCCACGACTGGTCCGCGTGGCGCTCGCCAAGGCATGTCGAGGGCGGGCTGGTGCCGTTGGTGCAGGCTACGCTGGAGGGTGTCAGGGCTGGTAAAGGAAATGAGACGCAGGGCGAAGGTGGCGCTGGGTCCGGGAACGGTACTGCCGTGGTTGGGGAAACTGGCCCGAGCGGAAGCGGTGGTGGCGGCGGCGCGAAGCCAACGAGCTCGGTGGTCACGGCGGCTGGAGCCTTGCTGAGTCCTGTTGCGGCTGCTTCTTGGTCGACTGTTGCTTTTCTTGCGGGGGGTGTCGTTCTTGGATCTGTGGTGCCCCTGTTGTCACTGTATTAAATATTCTGTATGTTTTTAAGGGAAGAAAGCTGGCTAAGAACACATTTTAAGCCCCTAGCAGGGAGCACTTGTCAGGAACCGTGGGGTTCTTGTAATTCTGGTCTATATTCATAGATTTGAATATGTAATTTAATTATGCTTTCCCTGCTTAACGTATTTGGATAACTATTCCTTGTATACTCCTGCTCTGAAACGGAAGCAAAATGGAAAGCATCTCCCTGAAACGAATCCTAGTCTCAGCTAGGATCGGAAAGCGTAAACCACGGGATCTAAATAGTGTCTTTTATAATTAGGCACTCGTTCTCGCTCATTGAAACAGAATCTCTATTCCCTTCCTACTGCGTAATTACGTGGTGCTCTTTGCGTCCCTTTTCGCTTGCATATTTATGAGTGCCGCGATCACGCACCCGGTGGAAATGGAGCTAGCTATCTATGGTCGGAAGACACAATTTTCTGCACCTTCGTATGCAAAGAACGTCATTACCTGAGCTTATACTGATTTCGTGTCCCTAGGATCTTTGGTGATAGTTAGCCCGAAGCCGTGAGTAGATGTGCCAGAGAGCAACACAGCAGAAGCTTGTATATCCCGAGCGTCTCTAATTAGTCGCAATTCCAAAACGAAAATATGGGCACAGTATATCAAAACGAAAATATGGGCACAGTATATCAAAACGAAAATATGGGCACAGTATATCAAAACGAAAATATAGGCACAGTATATCACACAGTATATCACGCAGGGGAACATTGAAAGTCGAATCATCCACAGCTGGCCAGAAAATCGAGCCGTTTCAGCTTATCTCCTTCCCTTTTCCCAGCCCAGTCCAGCCAAACCCACCAAAAAAACCCCCCAAGCTCTTCTTATCCCTCCCCCCTTCACTTCGTCTCCTCCACCCCCTCGACCTCGCGCCCATCGCTCTTGCAGGCGGCGCAGATCACGAGGTCGCACGAGATGTACTTGACGTCGGTCTCGGCGCCGTCTTCGCCTTGGACCTTGCAGGTGTGGGCGCTGACCTTGCCGCGGATCTCGGCCGGCAGCTCGTCGTCGCCCGCACTCCTGGCCTTTTTCTTCGCCGTGTCGCACGGCGTGCACAGGAAGCCCGGCCTCATGGCGGCCGGCCGCTTCCCCCCGTTGCCGTAAGGGCACGGCGACTTGCACCACTGGTAGTAGGTTCCGTATTTGCTGTTTGTGGGAAATTGAGTTAGCTGAGTGGCGAAAAATTGGAAGAGATGGTTTTTACATGTTTTCTGGGGACTGGGGGGTTTGTGGGAATGCGATTTGTCGATGGGGCAGCTCAATAATTCAAGGGCATGGCGCGAGGATCTTAGTCAAATGCACTGGAACATACCACATGATGAAACTTTTGTACCGTGTGTGCGATTATCCGGCGGGGGTATGGTATTCGTCCTGCCTCGGCGGACCGGTCTCTTGATGCCGATTCCTCTTCCCTTTAGGTGTGCTGTCTATATGTGTGCGAGTTTGCTGCGACTGTGTACGTGTGTGTGTGGTGTCTTGATGCCCGCCGAGTTCAGGTTCGCGCCTAGTTCTACAGTGTAAGTTCCTTAAATAATGCTCCAGGTTGGGCGAGAGCGGATGTGACTGTAATGCAGGTGAGAGACCTATTGTCCGCTTCGCTTCTACTGTATCAAGACATCAGACGCATACCTTGAGTAGCTACGCCATTACAACGGGGACTGGCATCCTCTCGTCCTATAAAGTCGTGCCACGGACCATTTCAAATCATGTACAATAACAGTGCTTCAACACGCCGCGAGGTCCTAAGCAGTGTTTTACGGCTGTAGTTCGTCAGACTTTGGGCTAGTACAATAGTAACACCGTATGACGTTGCGAGGACCAAAGATAGGTAGGTACTTTTGACTGTTGTAGTTGGTTCCGTCTTAGGGCCAACAATAAGAGCTTGCTTAGAGACCTAGCCGCAAGAACCTGAATGTGTTCTAATGGACAATCATGAACAATAATTCGTGACCTCCCAAGGCGTAATTTCAGCCGCTCCCCGCCGTTAGAAGCAAGACGGGGATCATCTTCAGCTCCTTCCCATCGCATCACCCCCCCTGGGACTTGAACCGTGCGTTTGCTCCCATTTTCAACGAACTCTCCCCTTCCTCCTTATCGGCGCTGCATCGCTGATAAGGGGTTCTAGCCAAGGCTGAGAGGACGTGTCTGGAAATTGCAATTCTCCGTGGGCACGCCGAGAAGTCGCGTCTCCCACAAAACTTTCGATGCCAAACTTTTCACCCTCCTCAATCGCCGGATCAAAGCTGGCTAGACAGAAGTAGACCACCGAGCACGCGGTTCTCGAAGAAAATTCGCATCATATAATTTTGAATGAGGCTGCTGCCCAACGATTCCCACTACAAGGCCAAACGTATTTTAGAAAACCGATCCCTAGCTCCGGCAAAGTCGAGAGACTGGTGCTCCAGAGGGCCAGAAGGGAGTCACAGTTCTGATCTCCGCCAATACAAGCCTGTCTTTCATTTCCGGTCATTTTAAAATTGATTCTTGGCGATCTAGCGGGTTTTCTCTTTTCGCAATGGATGAGTTTGCATGTGGGACGACATCTGCTTCAACCTGCACGAGCGGCCTCCACAGGGGAAACCAGGCCTCCTTAACAAGGTAATTAGTTATGAGCCGTCATCTGCTTTTTCTAGTACACGGTTGACAACAGGCTAACAGCTAAGCAGTACACATCGCCGGAACGCAGTCCTCGCCGACAACAAAAAGTTTGGCCAACTTCGACACGAGCAAGATCGCCAGCACCCGGTCGGGGTAACAAAGCTGCCGCCGCAAGCAGGCATACTGGATGAAGACAATACGGAGCCCTGAGCCTGGCGGTTGGTTGGCCGCATGAGCTTTAGGAACTTCCCGCAATTTGAAGGTGTCCACGGCGAGCCGCCCTCCCGGCCCCCACAATTTCCACCGCCGCTCCTGGTTCTATGCGTGGCTGGTGTGCCAATTCACGTACTGTGTATATTTACATCAAAACATTTCCTTGATCTCAGGTTCCTCGGCTCAGACGGCACAGTGCCGTCGCTCATCCAGAAACAGTGGATGAAGCAGATACAAGACAACGAACGACGAAGTTCTGAAGTTGGAGGGAAAATCAGTCCATAAGCATTAGGAGATGGCGGACGAGGAGCAAAACAATGCTCCTCCGCCACACGGCTTGACACCAGGCGCGTACGCCCTGGTTGGAGTTGCGAAAGTCATCGGCTGGGTGTCTGACGGCCTCGCCCTCGTCGGCTCACAGTCGCATGCGGGATGACTGCGTCCTGCATCGTGTACAGAACTGAGGATCGCACCGATACTAGATCAGCTGATACTCGTTAGTATCCGGTCGGAATTTGGGAGACGAGGAAGTGGCATACACAGCGAAGACCTAGAGCGATTAGGTTTGTGGGGGTACCGTCAAAAGCAAACTCGGACACGGAGGTGAATGCGTCGCCTGGAGACCCTCACAGCCCGTACGGACCAGATATGGGGAATCTGTCATTTTAGATTGTACTTGAAATTGTACATTTGCCTGGTACTGGCGTGTTTATTTTCATACCAAATTATATCTTGGTCAAAATTCCTGGCCGCAAATACATGATATAGAAACATTCGTGTCGTTCTCACCAACAGCATGACCAACTTTGCGTGCGCGCTGCGCTGAGGCCATGTCAAGGCCCTGATTTATAGATAAGAAGGAGAACCTAAGCGGGGCTAATAATTGAAGGAATGTCCTAATGGAGCGGCTGTCTGGCATTCAATGAATCCCCAGAATCACTAGGTATTAATCTTAATTATCTTTATCACGAGAACATTAAAGACTCGAGAGGGGCGGGGGGTTGGGGGGTTAGGAAAGTGCTTCTCAAAGCATGTATTTTGACGAATACCTCCCAGCTGCCATTAAGAACGACGTTAAAAACCTAGATCTAGTGGGGAGATGCGACAGGGAACAAAGGCTTGTAATAATATCCCACGGTTTTTTACTTATTTAGGTCTAATGTTCCGTCCTGGCAATAATTTTAACATGCGTCGGTGGATACTCTTTTACTCAACCGGCTGGAAACTGAGAAAACTTGAACGATTGGCTTCTAAAAAATAATGAAGATGCCATCATAGCCAGTAGCCTTGACAAGCCCCGGGACACCGCTTGTGCTCTGAAAAGTTAATAGAAGGCCAAGCTTCTTCGTACATGTCAAAAGACCGAAACCATCACGAGTTTAAAGCGAATTTTGCGTAGAAGCAAGGTTTTCTCTGCCTCTAAGCACAAAGATCATCAACGCCTAACACCGAAAATGAAGACAGTAACAACTGACAATTACCTGTACACAAATATTTCAAAGTTCCAAAATCAAACGGCTAGAAATACCATCTCGTTTCCAGGCCAACAGTCCAATCATAGTGCACAGCCAGCCGCTGCCAATCGCCAAGCGGTGGAAGCTCCGCCTTCCGCAAACCACGACAGGAAAAGAAAAGCTGGAATAACGTATTTTATAAGCGAGCGGCGAATTTCTAACCAACCTACCACAACAATAGGAAATAACAGTAACTGAACCAGAAATAGATGAATCAGGCAATTCTCCAGCTCCCTGACACGTGCGTGCATTATGGCCAGCCTTGCCGGCGCCGCACAGGCCACAGCACCGAATCTTCGTGCGAGCCCCCCCCCGCACTACCACCATTTTGTCGTGTTTCCTGGATTATCTGCTCACCCACAGCTTTCTGACCCTCCAAGCCGCACACGTGTTTTTTTTGGCCCTCCTTCTCTTACTAAGCCCCTCATTGGCCTTACGTAGTAAAGAGACTTCCGTACGCAGAAGAGCTACCTCGTGCATTACGGCCATTGTACATTTGGCCAATTGGTCCACAGCAGCCAGCATAGGTGTTGGAGAACTACCTTGATGGTTAGATATCCGGTCTTTAATAAGGTCTGTCTGTGAGGTGGCCTCTCGGGGGTTCTGTGGCGTCTGAGATAGCTAAGGTAGTGCCGTACCTAGGCTTGAGGCTGGTGGAGTTGGAGTTCGGAGCCGTATATTCATCTTAGAAATCACTCTTTCTAGGTCGTGTAGTATAAGGCCGGCTCCGGCAAAGGCGCCTTCGATATTCTTTTCGATAAAAGAAGTAAAAAACGCCTCTTTGAACGCACAAAGGAATTCCAACTTGGTAATATGTGTGATATGCATACGCATAAGTTTCCCGATTTGGTAGCCGTACGCCTTCTTCAACGGCCCAAAGCAACCAATATCAAGTGGCTGGACCAGGTGCGAGGAGTGCGGAGGCATGCAAAGGGTGATAATGTTATGATCCTGATAGTACTCCTCGAATTTGTCGGAGTGGTGGCTCTGGTGGCCTTCGAGGACTAAAAGCCGGTTTCTACCCTTCGTACGAGATGCTGTATGAAGATCGAAATGGCGAATCCAATCCAGGCCTTTCTCATTGGTAGTCCAGCCGTTATCGGTTACACCGATATACGAGGTAGCCGGAAGATTGCACTCTTGATACCAGCTCTCTCGGTGATATTTCCCTTTAAAAGGATAAATGGTGGGATAGCCCAGCCTTGAGTATTTACCCCTTGGATAACCGTCGCCCACTCACAATTACCAGGCTGGACTTTTTTGGCTTTCCCATAGCCATCGGAGGTAGTAATAACCATACTAGTAGTAATCATGCCTATCATAAACCCGGTCTCGTCAAAGTTGTATATATCTTCGTTAAGGATTCCGTATTTGGCTTTAGTATTATGCACAATTGCAAACCACTCGCGAATAACTTTCGGATCTTCGCATTTGGCCCTTTGATAGTCGTATCTACGCATAAAACGTGTCCGGAGTTCTGGTTGGCGTTTGACGAAGTTGTGAGCCCAGAGCTTGCCGACAGGGGGGGTGTCGCGTTCGCGTAGCAGTCGGTTGGCCATATCTTCCACAAAACAAAGCCGAGGAGGAAATGCGCGTGCACATAGCTCAGATATATACTGAAAAATAGTATGCTCCTCTAGATCTGTGAGTTTTCGCGAATTGGCTGGAATATCGCGTCGTGAAGGCCGACCAGCGCGTCGATAGCGAAGCGTTGTTTCGGGAACATTATACAGATTGGCTGTGGAAAGAACATTGGGTTTTTTACTATTTTGGATTGATTTGAGAGCTAGGATTACCCTACCTTCTTTTGAAGGGGTAGCCATAGCTTGTTGTGGTAGAATTGAGGATCAAAGATGAAGGGTCGCGTCGCGGGGAAAATTCGCCGCTCGCGTATAAAATACGTTATCGATATTTTCTATTAACCTATAAGAAGGCTATGTTCAATTTTATGCATATAGTTCCTGATGGCTAATTACCGCTGCTTGCATTCCGGTGTAGCTTCTTAAGATTAACGATGTAATCTCTGAAGAGTTGGCGTCGCTCGCCTTGATTATTTGTCGAGCGAAAGATTGTTTCGCCCTCGAAAATGGGGAGGGTTTTCTTCCAGCGAGTATAGTGCTTGATTTCGGGATGGCTCCGTAGCATGGTTGCGAATCTGCGCGAAGCTTGGCCAGTCTCTCCTTGGCCAGTCTCTCCTTGGCCCGCCCCTTATCTTGAACAACCACATCGTGGCAATACTTCTCAAAAGCGGTTTTGCGGTCTTTGGGGTCTTTATACCCCGAAACTGGGGGTCTTTGGCCATAGCCCGGACTGCCTGTTCAAAGGTTTAGTCAGATTGGACGACGATGCCGCCGACGCACGAGAAGATGTTGCAGACAAAGTTGTTGACGGCGACGCCGCTGCTGCCGCGCTGGGTCGAACATACCGTCCTTCTAGCTCGGAAAACTTCGAGCTATTCCGTGGTCGTTCTCTTCTTCTCCGACCGGTCCATGCCGAAACTAACGCGGGAAGATGGTTAGCATTTTCTTTCATATGAGAAGATCAGTGATACCGAGAAGTTCTCAGGATCGGCCCCGATCCCGATCTTCTTGATTGTCTACATTCGGTACGTTCCGGGTCATGTCGGGGCGCCCGAAAACTCAGAGACCCAAAAGTCTTCACAAGGTTCTAGGGTCAGGATTCTCCTCCGGGTTCATCTTCCCCATGAAATCAAACACGTCTTTCGTGCCGAGCCTTTTGGCGACCTTGACAACCTCGGGTGTGGAGTTCGGGATCTGCGTCAGATATCGTCAAAGCTTTCGATACCGTATGGTGAGACTCGAGGCCTCGTAATCTCTGGGGGATTAGGAGAGACCAGGGTGTCGGAGCTCCCGGTATTTTTTCGTGACTCGCCTGCACAGCGCCAGGGAGGCGAACTGCTCGCCATTAGCCAGACGCTTGACTTGGCGTTCAAGCAAATCGAGCACCTCGCCACGACGATCGATCTGTAGAAGCCACAGCCAAGGCGGCGATTGCCAGACTGGCCACAGTCCAGACCTTGGTTTGCTCATCATTTAGGCCGAGGCGCTTGACGGTATCCCTCTTGGTGTCCGTCGCTGCTAGTTCATGAACTGCTAGGGCGTGGGCTTGGCAGGCGTGGGCTTGGCAGGTGTGATCTCCATACTGTCGTCGTTGACAGTAGCTGCAGCGATTCCAAGACACCAAGTCCCGAGATCCAAGAACTCAGGAGAGCTCATTTGTGCACGATGAGGTCTGCCTTGAAGCGGCGTGGATGGTAATTAGAGGCACGTCGGTTCTGAAGCTCAATGTTGGAGAGACGAGAACGCGACGATCCTGGAGCGGGCCGTCCGCGGGAGGAAGATTGGAAGTCGAAACGACGGCAGAGGCGGAGCGAGGTCCTCATCCGACTCGAAGTAGAGCTATTCCGCAGTAAAACGGAGAGGTGCACGGATCTCACTCTCCTGAATTCCGGTATGTTAGCAAACCAACTGTCAAACGCAGTAGAGAGAGGATAAAATGACGCGTACGCCTTGAAAATGTTGATCAGCGCGGCCAGACGCTCACGGCGGACAAACATATCCATGAGATATGCCCCCATGTTTGGGGTGTCGTAATAAAGTCGGAAAAACCAATGGTAGCTTCCAAGGGCAAGCGACGAGCGCACGTCGAGGGCGTGCTTGATTGCTCTCTCCTTCTCTGAAGGGGTTAGATCCGCTAGCCGCTAGCGCGTCGTTCAACGCGCTCCGGTTGGCTGTATGGATGAAGTACAGAATCTGACAAAGGAGCTGATCGCGGCTGGGTGAGCATGATGATGGAAGGAAATTGGAAGAAAGTCGACAAAACAGGCGGAAAGCTATTAGGGAAAAAAGCAGGGACACCAAAAATCAGAACCTGAAAGTCCCCGCGTGGAGCCTGCAAGGCGGTAGCAAGCTGAAATTCGGCACAGTATCCAGCTGCTAAAGTGGGTCAACTAGCTTCTGAAACATCGAGACTGTCCCGCGGCAGGCGTATCTCGTACATGTTATGGGATCTGGTCGCTTGGTTTCCACAAAGAGACGTGCTCCAGGGACTCAGAATGTCCTTTCTCTTCGTCCAGAACTAGGCCAAAGGTAGTAATCACGGTATCACGATATCACGGTATCACCTCCATTTCTACTCGTGGAATTCCCAAAGCTAGTCTAGCTTCGTTGTCTCTCATATTACAGTCTTTCGTTCGGTACCGTATTTCAAAGCTGAAAGGAGAAAGGCTAGTGGAGGAAAGCTGCACTAAGTCGAATTAGGAATTATTGCGGGCACCTGAGTACCTAGACGAGGCGGGCAGATTGCGGTCCAGGGCAGATGCTCCAGTCCCATAGCCTGTAGCTGCCCCACGGATGGCAGCCTCGAAGACGGGAGTGAGCAACTGCGATGCCAACGCTCGGCACTAGAGCTAAAATGGAAGCGGTCATCTGTGCCTCCTAAATTCTAGGGGCTCGTCTTGCCCGTAGACTCCCCGTCGAGACTGGCTTTCATTTTCGAACCTGTGCAACGCAGCGGCCCTTCCTAAGCCCGCACGCGAAGGATCAAATAGCAACTCCAAGCCCCCTCTTTGTTATGTTGACATTCATGTGCTTGTGCACCGTGAAGCTATGGTTTATCCACTCGAACGGCTTGGTGGGATCTGTCATGGTAAAGTCGTACCGCAGGAACAGCTGAACACGTCGCAGAGTCTTGTCAGTATTCCGTCTTCACGTCCACTCTCGACGGACCAGAGGTGTGCTTCCACGCATCACTTACCTCGAACAGGACCTTGCCCAGCTCCATGTACGCCATGCGTATACCGAGACACTCCCACCGCGTGCCTGCCGCAAACGCCAGGCCCTGGACGGCTTCCATCTCCTTCAGCCTCGCCGGCTCCGCGTCCAGCCACCGCTGCGGCTCGAACCAATCCGCGTCGTCGCCGAACAGGGCCCGATTCTGCATGATGCCAAACGGTGCCCACGCCACGTTGGTCCCGGCCGGCACTTTGACACCGCAGATAACGTCGTCGCTGCTTGAGACCTTGGGCATCAGCCCCGTGATGAGCGGCCAGATGCGGAGGACCTCCTTAATAACTGCCTAGAGATACAGGAGCCGCTTAGCTTCGCTGTCGGCGACGACGGGGCGGGCGACGGTGCGAGACGCGGCGTCGATCTCGTCCTGCAGCACGTCGGTGCCTTGCACCCTGGTCTCGCCGTACCGCTCGTCGACGTGCGCCTTGATCAGCCCCAGCAGACGCCCGAGGCCCTGGCCGTCGGTCGGCTTGGGCAGCAGAGCTATGATCGGGGGCGTTTTGAGCAGAGTCAGCAGCGGCGGGAACAGCGCCAGGAGCTGGACGGGCAACATCATGGCCTCGAGGGCGGCCATGCCGCCGAAGATGTCTCTGTCGGCCTCGATGTATCTAAACGACTGCCCGAAGCCCACGGCCGCCGTCGCGTCCTGCGTGAAGTGCAGAAACGTCTTGCCCATGTCCATCGGCCGCACCCCCACGACCGAGTCCGACACGTACTTGCGCTCGATGACGCCGAGCATCTTCACGACCTGCTCGTCAACAGGCTTCTCCTGGTTGTTCAGCACGCCGTTATACCCCGACAGCAGCTGCGAGCGGATGAAGTGGTGCGCCTTGTTCTCGTTAGCCGTCAGCACGCTGTCCTGGTCCTGGCCCGGGTCAAACCTGAACCCTTTGTACCACGGCGACCTCTGGTAGCCCGAATGCACGCTCCAGATGCGCCTGATCTCAGCTGGGTTGTTGCAGATGACCCAGTTGGGTCCAATTCTTGTGACAGGACCTGACAGCGTGCCCCGGTCAGGCCGCAAGATCAGCAAAGCCCCTTGCCCAAGTCGAGTGCCCTTTTATCAACACTTGCAGCTCGGCTTACCGTATTGCTCGCAGATACTCTTCCTCCCGATGCACATGCGGCTGCTTATCTGATGCCGAAAAAGCTACAGGATGCTCCAAGCTGCTATCGGCGGCCCAGGAATGTGCCGAAGCCGGTACCAGGTGCAGACACGCGAGACAACGACCCACGAAACGAGAACCGCCGTGGTATTCAACAGAGTCATGGCCGATAATTAGTGCTGAACTTTGAAGGAAGATGAACCGAAGCGAGTCTCTCGTGGGAAACAACAGTCACAACACGAGTTCTGAGTCCCGAGATCATATACAGTCCACCGGATCAAAGGTGGACCGCCGGATCAAAGGTGGACCGCCGGATCAAAGGTGGACAGCCGGATCAAAAGCGGGGAACACGGCTTTCAAGGAACGAGTTTATATGCGGTCTTTATATGCGTCTACACACCAATACGACTTGGGGGCCGCTCCCCCGTACAGCGTGACTAGCGTCGCAACAACTCGGGCCCCCCTCCTACGCCAAGTCTACACATACGACGTGATGGACAGGTTAGATCCCGGACTTCGCTGCTCACCTACTCACCTACCTTAACTCCAGATCAAGTTTAAGACATTAGGATAGTTTTTACTCTCCAGAAAGACTTTCGGTTTCTCGCCCTTCCGGAGAAACTCTTGGTCCCCGGAGCGGGATACCAACAGGATTCCGGAGGCGTCTGCAAGACAGCAAGGAAAGTTTATGCCAACTCTTAGCGCAAGCGAGTCTCTCCATGATTGACCGCTAACAGAACCATGGACAAACAAAAAACTGCAAGAAACCGATCAGTATATACTCGACACCTACGTTTGACAAGATATTGCCAAAGTGTGACAACCGAATTTCCACCCCACCTTGATTAAATGATCGACGACGGGGGCTGGCTCAGTGTGCACCCGAGTAAATTCTTTCTCTAGGTGTGACCGGGATTGGCGCTTGGCTGCTTCGTCGACATTGTCTTGCACAAAGATTCCGGGGTAGTGCCCCGGAATCCAGTGAAGCTAGCACACCACGGTAACGCCGGTGATCCTCTGAATTAGCCGGGATTGACGCCCGATCCACGTGGCGAGACGATCGGCTTGGATCTCGATGTCATGATCGGCATCTAAGCCCCCCCGCTGAGCCAACCACTCAAGCACCCAACTGTTATCGTTGAAGATCGACAAGAGAATCGTCTGCCCCTGGAGCTGACATCTCCGCTGGGCGATCTCAGCGAGAGCCAAATCGAGTGCCTGACTGATGGCCAGCATTTCGCCAAACTGGATTCGAGGAAGCCATTCGACACGCCAGTCGAGAACCTCAAAAGAAGACGGGGTGACGGCTTCCTGGCTTCCCAAATACCAGTCTGGGTTAAACGCAACTGCGATTCCACCGCTGCCGTCCTTGATCAACGACGCGTCACATAACACACTGAGCTGTATGTCTTGATGAAGGCCGCCAACACAAGCACGATACGCGTAGTGCGCCGCATCGTGTCGCTTCTCGACGGTTATCTCGCCGGTGAAACGCTTCTGCTCCGAAACGGCAGTGACGCACGTGAAATCAAATCTGCGCAATGATTTATTCCAGTTAGAATATGTAATTATTCCACGCGAAATAGAAATAAAGGGCTTGGGCTGTTGGTTTAGTTTGTTGTCACATACGAAGACATGTTGGAACTCGCGTGGGATCTGATGTCGAGCGAGGTCTGTTTAAATCTACACCACCAGAGATCGTTAGCAAAGACCCTTTACGTCTTGAGCATGGTCCTCGCCACAGCATAGCATGTGGTCGCTATGGCCAGAAAATGCCTTGGCTGGGGAGTAGTAGTGAAGTGGAAACATACCGTCCTTCGAGCTCGGAGAACTTCGAGCTATTCCGTGGTCGTTCTCTTCTCTGACCGGTCTCCGAAAATTCTTCAACACACTGTTCAGACCAGTTAGCCAACCCATTTGAAAAATCGGGGACAGAGTTCGCCGATATTAAAACTCGTCCAGCTTGATTACAAGCAGAGATTCTGACAGCGTCTGTGTCATGGAACCAAGCTCCGTTGGGCGAGCAGATCGTGTGCCAGGATTCAATTCAAATTTCATCAAGAGCGAGATCCCGGAAACCAGGAGAGCTCATTTGTGCACGATGAGGTTTGGCTTGGGGAGAATTGCTGGTCTCCAGAAGAAACAGCCTCGGGGAAGTAATGTGGGTTTCACGCCCACAACAGACAAAATGATCATGCTTCATATGCCTAGCTGCTATTGGGTCGCCTAGAAAGGGAGAAGAGGGATTGGGAAGGCGCCAAGGGAAGTTTGGAGGCCGAGCCAATGTGAGCGTGCTGTAGTGGTGAAGTAGGCATGTAATGATGATTTATGAGGCAAGGTGTTCTTGAAGGCGGATGGGCAGAATGTATTTTTCACAGATAACTTACGTCGAGTGAGATAGCCTGCGATGAGAGAAAAGTCAGCACAGCCCGCGAGGTGGCGACGATAGCACGCTTCCGCCTGCTCTCCCCTCACAACCCGGGTAGGTAGACGAAAGCAACACGAAGGCAGGAATAGACGATACTTACAAAAGAACGTCGCTTTTCGATGCCTTCGAGGGTTCGGGCTCTGTTGAAAGTAGGCAGAAGACCGGGATGCTCGATGTGGAAGGAAGGAAATTTCAGAGGAGTGTGCGCGAGAGACGCGAGAGATAAAGAGGGGGGGTAGGCCGTAGTGGAGCCAAAACATACAAGATGGGATGGAAGAGCTGGTTCTTTCCTACCCAGAATACACAACAACTACCCAACACATCCACAAGAAATGAAAGCGAGATAATTGTGAAGTGACCGGGCCATTGTGCAAACCTCTTGCCTATTGGATTAACCCACGCCATTCCTCTGCCTCCTCGGAGTTGCGTGCTATACTATGACATGAGGCAGTTCGAACCCCTCCATACTTTACTCGGTCGCCCCTTTTATCGTACCAACAGCGCCCAGTGTCTACATTTAAGCAGCAAGCCTCACTCTGCTTGACATCACGAAATATATATAGAGCCTAGTAATTTGATCATATAGATACGCATCCAAACACATTCCACGCAAGTGGGTTGTGTTATTTTGTGCTGTATTATTTTGTACTTGCAGTCTGAAACATTACCGTCGAGAAAAAGAAGAGCAAGTTAGCTTAATTGGTATTGAAGAGTGAGAAAGGTTGGAAGATAAGGGAAAATGGGCACGTGGTATAAATTTGATACTGTCAGCGCCCAACAATTACCGAGGCGTCGTTGCAAATAACTTTGTATATCCTGATGCCCACGAATCCTTTCTCCCGATTTTCATTTTTCCCGGGTATAGGTTTTCCTCATACCCCGCGATAGCGGGATGAGCAGATCTAAATCTCCAAGCTCTCAAACCTCATATCGATAATGCGCATTAGTCTGTTTAACTATGAGCAAATGTTTATTACAAGCATTTTTCCGATTCAAGGTATCTCCAGGCGTGCTTTCTCCATTTTCAGCACTAGTCTTAATGATAGGTGGGTTTGACATGGAGACGTAGACAACTTGACACATGGAAACCGTTCACTTGGGGCATGTTGGAATGACAAAGTCATTCGCAATAGTCACTAAAGTAACCGTAGCGTAAGGTTGGGGGGTGGTAGTGGTATTCATTTATCTATGTTGTACATAAACTAAGGTAACAGGGTGCTGGTGGTTTTGGGGAAGTGGCTGTCCTCGGTCACGTGCGAGGGTGGATGACCCGTACGCCCGGACTGGGCCCACTATTCTTCCTGACTGACCAATCAGGGCGATGCGGTCCGTCGAGCCGAATCAGCCTCAGGAACTCTGATTGATCGGTAATTCCTACAGGGCATATACCAGTTGTGATGCTTCCCCCCCCTTAAAAACAAGAAAAGAAAAGAAAAGAAAAAAGAAAAAAGAAAAACCGGCACTTTGACAGGATAAGATAATGCTCATTCTCCCGAACTAATTAGCCACGTAGAGACGGTTGCCTAGGACTGGCCCAGGACTACCTGGCCCCAGTTTATCATAACGATACCGATACATTGTCCTGGCTCCTACGATAACAACTTATTGAGCTCTTCATTTGGAGGTTGCAGCGAGTAGGATCCTTCTGATCTTTCTGCTGCTGCTCTTTCCTCAGCTCGACGCTCGGACTCTAAAGTTTCGCAAGCTCCTTGTCAGCTTTTGTTGGAATGACGCGCTAGTCAGCCACACAGACGTGGCGGTGGAGGCGCAGGGCCACGGATTCTATATAAGTAGCCTACGGCACTTCCGAGCCTGTCTTCTAGATACACACATACATCTACAATCATCACTTGAACCACCAGTCTTCGGCGTGCAGTTACGCCCTGTAGCTTCCAGTACCGGTATCTAGTGATTCCAGCAGCTTTGTCCCGGTTTGTAGTACCGTCCAATCTCGGGGCTCCTGCCTCAGACTACTCAATCATGAACGCCCCGAGCCGCTCATTCTCGATATCATGATGCCCGGCTAGGGATGGCCTTTCCGGTTAACTCTATAAGTACCTTCGGTTTTCTAGGCGCATTGGAAAACGAGTTGTTCTTGACCTCAAATGCCCAAATTTGGATGGTTCTCTTGTGCTACCCACAACACTTGGCGCTTTTTGCGCGCTGGTCGTGACCAACTTTGCGGGTCTAGCTTCTTCGTAATTTACTCTTGGTAATTTACTCCTGATCGAAGGGCAGAAAGTCAACTTCATCAGTCGCGCGGGAGTGTATCGATGTGCCACAACTAAAGGGGAATAATGGAACACAATTACGGCGCCAAGGACTGCTCGGTAGACTGCAGCCCAATCCCTGCCATGGTCTAACATCTTACATGAACTTGAACCGTTCAGTTCGTTCGAACCTGCCGCGACAGACGTGCGGTGGGTCTTGTCTTCACAGCAACTCGGATCTTCTGCCGGAACCTTGAATCGCCACTCCGTGAGTGGACGGGACTGGTCGAGGCGCCTTTCAAACTCCACGGGCACACTTTCATTGGTTGGGTAGGATTTCTGCAAGTGTAACCCGTGCATACGCACTTTCCTTGCTCCAACGTCCGCAATGCGGGACCCGCTGTAGCAGCCCGCCTTACGTCAGGTCCCCGCATCCGACATTCGGGCATTGAACCGAGAAGGGCAGGCGCTCCTTCCACGTTCCAATTCATTGAGCAAGGTCAAGTTTTTCCAGCCACTGGCAGCCCCCCAGCAGCCCATTCTTGGTGGGGATCGTACCTCTCTGCACGCTGTCAATCCAGCATATCAGTCCACTGCCTGCTCCCAACGTAACCGGACAACGAAAATCTCACTCACGTTCCATGCCGGGAGTGGGGGGGCCCAGAATAGCTTGCCTTAAGACTGTTGAAGCGGCAAAATTACATGCTGGGAAAAAGGTTGCTTAAGCACATATTTCTACGTATTCAATTCTTTTTTGAAAGAATAAAAGTAGCCCAATATGACTTGAATAGGCCGTTTTCTTCTTGTCCCTATTGAGCCAATCCTGCTGTGTTGATTCAAGTCTTCTTTTTAATTTATGTCCTATTGGAGCCGAAATACTCTGTTGGAGTCAGAAGCTCTGTTGGAGCTCAGAAGCTCTGTTGGAAGCTAGCTCCTCCGGGTAAAAGGAACCCTTCTTTCTTTCTTGGCCACCTGGCGATAGGTGCCCAGGAAAGAAATAAGGTACGGTCGCGATTCGAATACACAAGCTACTGAGTTACGATTATATATTCACGAGTTACAGGGAGTCACATTGAGCAACTGAGTTAATTATTGTCTATCTATTCTATGGGCGCGGGTGCGAGGCGAGAAGAGTCCTTATCTAGAGAGCCGAAAGGTAGGAAGAGAGTTTGGAAGTCGCGGACTGAGAAAGGAACTATGTTAAGCATTTGGTCTCTGTTGTAGCTATTCGATCTGTTTTACGAAGATGAAAGGAATGGCCGGGCGATCCTTTTCTGGGTACAAAAGATCCAATTCGCTAGGAAGACTGTGTTGGAAGAATATATACGGTTTGGCACTTCTATCGCGTTGTGCTAGAAAAGGTAGACCTAAGTGTGTTGCAGCCAGAATGCGACTTTTCCAGCTAACAAGCCCCTGTTACTGCCCTAGCATACTTGAGGCAAGCTTTTCTAAGACCCCCCTCCCCGGCAGGGTTCCTGCCCTGCATTTGCCCCCCCTCCAGCTGTCACCGCCCTTTGCCTCCCAACCAGTCACAAATGGCACGACATCAGAGCCTGTCGGCTTACTGTGTAATTTGCAAAACTCTCGTCATGCAATCCAGCTAGGCTGCATTTGCTACTTCTCCTTGCCGCACCGGGTCCCTTCCGCCTCCCGGGCTTCTCGTTCGTAGCAGCATAAATCGCGGCTGCAGCCGCGTACCTGCCCCACATCTCATGGGTCGGGGGCCCAGGCCCGCGATCTGTACATGCCTTCCTCCTTCCTACCATCTACGCCCCTTGGAAGCATCGACCGCTCATTTTATCTCCATTCGGCACTGTTCCCCTGGCGCCTCTCCCGTCTTCCAGAGACGCTACTGCTGTGAGCAGTCCAGTGTCCGCGACGTTTCGAGTGGCCTACTCGCTTTGCCCGCTTATTGACATGTAGTTCGCGCAGATTGCAATGTACGCCGAGACTTGGTCTTGGCCAATTGTCAGTCAGGCATACACGGTTGACGCGGCCGGTCGGGACATAGCAGGATGCATGACGAGGAGAGATGGACCATAGCTCTAGCAGCACCCTCGTCAGAGGCTCGAATTCTGGCATTTTTCGTCATTCCCCGCGGACTCCGTGACAATCCCTGGATTGGAGTGTAGACTGCATGTTCGAGACATCGCTCTGCTGCCCCGGCAATTGACAAAAAGTGGAGAACCCGGGCGCTACAGCCACGGCCGGACCATGACCCTGGTTGCGCCGTACCTACCGCTCTGGGCCTAGAACCAAGGCATGCGGATGCCATTCTCCGCGCAATATTGGCGGTAGGGCTTATCGGTGTGGACTATGGCCGTGGGGAGAGGCATCAGCAGCGGGAACAAATAACACCGACGGGGGTCGCAAGGGCCAAGGGGGGCGAGTGCGACGGATATTACGGGACAAGTCGCCGGATTTGACTTCCCGGCCAAACTTCACGACTGCCGGGTCCAGATAATGCTCGACGAGGCGTCCGCGGACGCAGCGGAATGGCCGGGTCTGCTGTGGGGCGGTCCACAAGCGTGAAAATACGCACTGCAGCACGCCATGGATTCGGGTTTTGGGTCATCGAAGATGATTCTTGGCGGGCAGAATGACGGGTTGACTTGGCGATTGGCAACGACGCCGTCGAGGCGCAACTGCCGTGCCACTTCTCAATCGACGGCCATCCCAAAACCCCTCAGCCGTTGGACATCAATTGCCTGTTCCGCAGAAGTGGCCTGGTCGGGAGCGCCAGCGCTGGTCGTTTCTGTCACATCTCAACTTTTTCGGGGCCTCTGGGAACGAGCTAGCGCATATGACCTGCATCCTAGTGCTGGTCTATTCCTGTCTCGGGCGGCAAACATGGCGTGAGCGCAAACGGCCGTCTGCATCAGGCCCAACCCGGAAGGGGCATTAGAGCAGCCCCGAGGCTGGTCACACGACGGGCCGGCATGCTCAGCCGGCCTCTGGGATGACTTCCGGTCATGTACATGTACGAACAGGGCAGATCTTGCAGGAAGCTGCCCAGGGGGTCCGCCTTGCACCACACGCCCACTCAGCAACCGACACATGGTTGGAACCGCACCAAACCCATGCGTGAGATGGGCGGCACCGTGTTGCCTGCTATTCGCCTGCAGACAGATTCGAACGTGTGGCTCGGTACAGTCGTGCGAACCGGCCAAAAGGCGTCAAAATCGCTCGAGGGCTCAAATTCACCGTCTCTGCCGGCTTGCCTGCTCTGTGCCGTTACGTTCTGAACATAAGGATCGAATTAATCCCAGTTCGCCAAATGGATCGGCGTGCAAAAATGAAGGCCTGGTTAGTCGTCTCTTCAGCCCTCCTCCCGCCACCATCGCTAGTTCACGACTATGAATACGTCTTTCACCCCCCGTCGCCCAACACTCCCCCGCCAGCGACTCCTGGGCGCGCGCACAATAGCGATTGCGCCGGACAACGATATCCAAGACACAAGTTTGAGGCACTACGGAGGCGAGCAGAAACCACGCCGCATTGTCGCCAGCCGGTACATGCTTTCTCCGCACGCCGGCTTCACGCTCACTGCGCCCATTGGCTTGCCTCGGTCCGATAGCACTGCTGAATATCTCGTAATTGAGCAAGAGGGTGTCGGCCAAGTCTCGTCGAATTTGTGTGGCGTTGACAGCAACCGGGCTTACTGCAGATCTTTGCGCAAATCCGGCCCGCGTCCATCTTTTTCTACCCTTCTTTGCCAGACAATCATCGTTATTCGTCAGCCTCCGAATCTCGGCGACAGCCCGTAAGAACAGCTGATGATTCCGACGACGAACTGTGCAGTGGGAAGCAGCAACTTGGAGGAAAGGGCCGATCTTTATGCACCTGACAACTTCCATCTACGCTTGATAGTAAGCAGCAGTCCAATGCGCCATGGACGATTTCATGGAGCCAGAGAACATGGACAGCGCGGCGGAGAGCGCCATTGAAGGCCTTGAGCAGCCGGAACTTTCTCGGAGGCCTGGCGTTGCCTTTCCAGCTGGCAATTCCGACTTCCGCGCAGTACGGAACCGCTGCATGCAGGCTTGTCGGATATTCAACGAGACTCCAGAAGATGCTCCCCCGGTCGTGAGGAGCCGTCTGTGGCTTGAGTGAGTTAAACTACCGAAACTACCTCTCCCGCGGCCAAGCAACAAGGCGCAAACAAGACCCAGTGAGCGACACGAGTACTGATACATCATCCAGCATTATACGGCCAGTGCGCGACCGAAGCAACGACGGCACTCCTATCACGCATGACGAAGCGCTCAGCAATCCGTGCAAAAAAGGAAAAGCGCAAACTCCATTCGTAAAACCCCCATTCTTTGCTGACTACGGCTTGCGGCTGGCCGTCGGCGGTTCGACCTTTATCAACCGAGGGTGCATGATCATGGACACGCCCGTGGCAGATATCACCATCGGCAGAGATTGCAACATTGGACCCAACTGCGTTCTTGTCGGCGTAAGCCATGAAATGCAACCCCAGGCGCGTTTAGCAGAGCCTGTGAGCATCGGTCGGCCGATTACCATTGGGGATAACGTGTGGATAGGTGCCAATGTAACCATCCTGTAAGTTCAAACTGTCGGACCATGTGGCCATTTTTGCCAGTCCACTCCCACCAACCCATTTCCCGGTACGGCACAGACGTGCCTCTTTCCGATTGGCTCCTTACTGATTGATCACCGTGCTGGCTCCTGTTCTAGGGACGGGATTACAATCGGGGACGGCGCTGTGATTGGCGCTGGAAGTGTTGTGACCAAGAACATACCGTCAATGACGTTGGCGCATGGCGTGCCGGCCCGCATCATCCAATCACTTGAAAATATGGAACCAACCATGGTGAGCGATACCGTCACCACGCTAGGGGGCGCACTCGCGCATAACCGCAATCTCTGCCGCAAAGACCTCGAGATGGAGATTAATGCCCTCGACGGACTTTCGAGGGGGTCGCGGGTGCCGAGACACGCCCAGCCGCAGCGCCATGAGCCCCCGATTCTCCGGGATCAGCGGGCGTCCTGGAGAATGCTCTGTCAGTCCGAGACCATGGCTGCGGTTGCTCTTACGGCCATGCTCTTCGCCCTGATGAACAGCATGTTTTCTCTTTTTTTGTTACTGGGCGCGAATTGATTGGCCGTTGGACTTTCGACGAAGCTTCACGAGCGAGGCACAACTGGTAACCGTGAGCGAATGTTGTTTACCGTCAAAATTTGGGCTGGATATGGGCTCTGGCAACGAAGAGTAGGGTGGTGATGTATTCTTCTTTCGATTATCTGGTCTGGTTTTGAACCAGGTATTACTCGTTTTGAATGTGGGAGTCGTGCGAGAAGCTTGCCGGAGTTTGGGGGTAAATAAAGCGACAACTTGTACGTGAGGAGAAAAAAGCAGTTCTTATCTGGGGGGGTCGGTGTTTGGCGATTTTGTCTGCCTGGAACTGTTGGAACTAATTCGAAGCCCCGTGGTGCCGTATTCCTTTGAGAGGGGATGGATGTTGTTTTCGTGGATTCGGGGTTTCGAGTTGGAGCGGCTTCCGCACAGGGTTGTTGCTTTTGCACAGGGTTGTTGCTTTTGCACCAGGTTGTTGCTTTTGTCATTTGATCTGCTCCCCTTTGCTGAAACCTGGGCCAAGTTCAAGAGTTAAGAATGGATGACGGAGGAATAGGCATGATTAATAACCATGAAAATACGTAGCAGCTCTCGAAGTCTTGGCAATCGATGGCGGTTGGATCATCGCGGCGCGTAGAGAACCTTGAAAATCAGAATTTAGTGCTGACAGAACTTCCCCACGGGCGGCCCACTAGGGCCATGATCTACAGACCGGTCGTCCTAGCCTCTCTCCCGTGTTGCCTAGGTAGGTAAGGTAGTGGCTTTTTAGAGAGGTACTGAGATGCAGGTCGCCGGGTCGAGCAATCGGGACGTCGAATCGTTAACAGGGCGGTAGTATGTAATGCGAAATCCAACGTGAGCGAGTGGCCCGGTTAGCGGTCCCTTGGTTAGCTAGCAATTGCACAAAAGATGCCAAGAGTACAACGCCACCGCATAATTACAGTGGGGAAGCGTCCAAGTAGCTCGCAGGGCCCCCATGCAAAGCGGGAAGGCCGAATTTGGCTAGATTGGGCACCTATCCGGACCCTTGATGCCTTACGTGATGCCTCTCCCCGCCGAATCTTTCATGTTTTCGTCGTCTTGCGCCCTGAACCTTTGTTCATGAAGTAAACAAGCCTTGATCTCTGTGTTGTTCTTCAAGCCCGCGCAACAACCGTACGAAGCTCTCACCAAGTCCTCACGATGCGGCAAGTAGGCCGACATCCTTCCCCTGACTGGCCCTCCGCCTCGGAGTCCTCGGCTGACGACAACGTCAGCTAGGCCGGAGACCCGGCGTCGTCGTACGAAGACGACCTTTCCGACCGTGCAGAGAATGACGATGCCGATTTGCCGAGCCAACTGCCGCAAGAGGCTCTCCCGATTCGGGAATCCCCTCAGCGGCCTAGAAAGCGGACTGCTCCGGGAGCAACAGACAGTCCGGCAGACAGTCAAGCCGGGGGCGGTAGTCAGGCCGGCGCAAGGTCGAAGAAGGCACGCTTCACGTGGACTCTTGAGCTCAGCTACGAATTGATCGAGGAGATCCACATCTCGTAGTCGCAAGGGAGGCTTATAACCACCAATCCCGGCGCCAAAGGAGGTGGTTTTCTTCATAGTGAATACGAATCCTGGGCGAGGGAAATAAACAAGCGGACCCTGGGTGCCAACCTATTATATTCACAGTGTCAGGATGCCTGGAATATCCTCAAGGAGAAGTGGGAGCAGGTGAAGTGGCTGTTGGAGGAGCGCTCAGGTGCTTCCTTCAGTGAAGAGACCGGAAGGGTCTATGCAAGCGATGACGATTGGGCGCATTTGGAGTCGAATTTCGGTCGAGACAGTCGGTGGATGAAGTCCAGTGCCTTTGTGCTAGGAAATTCGAATGCGAAGGACCTCGTGGATGAAATTCTCAGCAGCGAAAAAGCCACTGGTTCCCATGCGCGTACCGCCGAGGAATGCTTGGCCAGGATGAAGAAAAAATCGCCCGAAGAAAGGAAGGCTCTCGCGACCATTAGTATTGACAGTTCATCTTCGGCTTCATCGTCAAGCGAGGACGAAAGTCGGGGTCCTTATCGGCGGCGACCACTTACCCAGGCACAAGGGACTGCTCTGTTGGCTGAGGCGATTGAGATGGGGGCCAAAGAGCTAGGAAATAAAAGGCCAGTTGGCGCCTCGAGAAGGCCATTAAGAATTTCCAGGTAAAATTGCTACGGGGTTTGTCGCCGGACACGACGATGGATGTGATGGATATACTGCAGGACCCAATAAAAGCCGTGGCGTGGAATAGTACAAAGAATTCTTTGAGGCCGGTAAGGGTAGAAAGGTTCGTGAGGGAAATAAAGCAGCGGCGCGAGCAACAGGGTGGTAGGCAGGTCCAGGAGTAATAAAAAGTCGTGATCTTTTTCGTGGTGGTTAGGTAGGAAGGTATAGGCGTAAGGAGTGTCTCGCCGTTTCCGACTCCTATTTACCCTGGACCACTGATCAAAGGTCTTGACGGCGGCTCGGCGCCGAATTTCTAATGAGGATCTCCCAGCCACAGTCCGGTCGGCCCTGAGCTTCGCTGCGCTAAGGAAAAGACTCTCTGACTCCGTAATGCCTTCATCGAACTGCCGCTGGCGATGGATAAAATTGTACAGGCATGTACAAGCATATACCAGATGAATCTATGCATCGATCGAGTACTCCGGCGCCGACTCCCTAATCAGCTTCGACCTTCTCTTCAACCAATCGAATACCTGCTCGACCTTCTCTTCAACTAACCAAATACCTGCTCGACCTTCTCTTCAACCAACAAAATACCTGCTCGACCTTCACACGCATCGACTATGCCGTAGGTTGTACAGCTCCTTCCGTGTTACCGGTTTATTTGGCGCCTCTCGCCAGTCCTGCCGAGTCCTGAAGAAAGGTACGACGACTCCGCGCCTCATGCCGAAGCCCGCATCAGCGAGGTAATACCTTTTCGGTGGAATCTTGAGCCCTTTAGTGACAGCCAGGATAAGTAGTCGCGAGTCATTCGTCGAGCCCTCGGCGCCGGCGAGTACACATGAGGAGGAACCGTCGAAGTTGGTCTTAACCGGTCTGCAGATTAGGGCCTAGGTAAGACCCCGCTTGGTAGGGCAATGCCACACCCCGGCGGCCGAGTTTTGGCGCATTTTCGGGCTCTCGTCTTTCGGGCACGCTGACAGCATCCGGATTTCAGGGCGCGAAGGACAGGATGGGAACCTAAGGTAGGTGGCAATGCATCCTCACGGCGCACGGATGTCATCCATGACACGCGACCCCCATTCGTGCTGTTGAGCTCGTTTGGTGAGTGATGATTCCTTGCTGATCACCTTGCTCCTTCGCAATTTCCTCATTCCGTTCCCTTGTGATTTGCTTTGGAGGTTGGCGGTTAGGGATGGTGATGGTGATTGCGGCCTCTGGGTGGTGGTGGTTTGTAAAGGAGGAAACAGACCACGCCTGGACAAAAACAGCGGAAAAAAAAACAGGAAAGTTAGTAGCAAAAACTGCAGACAAAGGTGTCGTTAGAGTTAGAATTCCTGAGAAAATATTGTGAAGAGAGGTAGTGCTGTAGAAAGAAAGAGGGACGGAGGAGTGTTTATCGCTGGGCGCATAGAAAACAGGATGGAAGGTGTGCTCGGTTCCCCTGCTTGAAACAGGGGTTAGAAGACGATGGCGGCGATGTCGGGGGCACGAAGCCAAAGAGGAGTGCAGGTAATATATCAGCAAAGCTCGGTCTTCCGTATCTACATAAATATGACCGCCCATACCCATAGCCGGACACGTGGGCGGCAACTTCGTGTCGGCCATGCCGTGTATGAGGACAAGATGCGGCTGATTAGAATGCATAGCCGATCACCCACACAACTCACTAGGAGGCGCGAGAGGGAGGCGCGAGCGGGAGGCACCGACGATTCAACTCGCGTGTGCGTCTCACAAATACGGGCACTATTATACGCACCTCGAGTAAGAACTCGCCGCGCGCACGGCACATCTCGTGTGCCGTTGCGCAAGTGCTCGTGCCGTTGCGCAAGTGCTCGTGCCGTTGCGCAAGTGCTCGTACCCGGGAGCATTGTAATGCGGGAAGGGCTGGAAAGCTGTCCGAGTTGGGTTGTGCATGACGGGGATGCCATGGTATTGGTGTCGGCCGCATTCCTCATCGGGAGCCAACCAGGAATGAGGTGATTACCTATGTCCTGCTCGGCACGTCAAGCAGCCGCTCTCGGAGTTCCCCAAAGTATCTTCGAAACGGTCCCTTGTGTCCCTTTGACACTGTGGAAATGAGCGCCGAGAAGTTTCGGAAATAAACCCCCGCCTCAGTGTTGCTCACTCACTGAGCCGTCTAGGCTAGGTACCCTCAACGCACTCGGCGGAGGATTATTCGCGGGATCATGTGCGCCTCGTGAGCGAGTAAGAGCCTGGAAAGTGGCAGTCTCTTGTGGTGGAGAGTAATGCGCCCTAGCAATCCTTTCCGGACTCTCGACATGAATTGGAGGCCCGGGAGCGGGAACCCAATTTCCAAAATTGCCCCCCAGCTGCCATGTCCGAAAAAAGCCATCCTACCCAAAACAGGTACAACAGGTACAACCATCTTACCGGGTCAAGGGGCTTGCTTACTAGATGACAGAGACCTGTCGTGTTTCGCCTCGGATGGGGGGAATTGTCTGGGGGGAATTGTCTGGGGGGAATTGTCTTGGGGAATTCTCTTGGGGGAATTGTCTGGGGGAATTGTCTGGGGGGAATTGTCTGGGGAAAAGGGTGTTGGCGATTATTGGGACGCGTCATTAAAGAACTAAAAATATCCTCATCAATCACAGCAAATAATGATCTCTGAGCAATCGTCGATCTGAAAATGGGGGAGGGGAGGGGGCGCGGGTTGAAGGTCGTGTTTCGAAACTGCGAAGCCGCTTCTCATTGTCACACAGTAATGTTGGCGACGACGGCCCGGGATGCTGCCGTTATAATACCATCCCGATCAGGTCTGTGAGGCCGACCACGGAGCACTTCGCGAGAAGAGCCAGATAGTAATCCCAAGATCGCCCGCGGCTGTGCCTTGCACGTTCCCGGGTGTTGCACTCGCTGTCGGCTAAGTGGTTTGTTATCGTGATAGCGCTGTTGTAAACTCAAATCCGTCAGACTTGAGTGCGGCAAAACGACGGCACAGCATAAGTTGCGGAATTGGCACAGCACAAGTTGCGGAATCGTGGTTGGCGTCCTCGCCAATAACCCTTCGATCATTATCAGGGCTGGCGGGACTAGAGCCAGCTATGTTAGCACCTAGCCGCGCCCTGACGCAGCGTGTTTGACGTGATGCAAATTCCCCGTCATATTTCCTGGCACGAAACCACGCTGGGAGAGACAATCACTAATACGAGAATCACAATTCGAAATTTCACGCCACGGGAGTAGAGTTTTGTTTATTCATGGGGAGGGCAAAACGGACCATGTAAGCTACCACCTGTGGCGTGGCTCGGTCCTTCCGAGGATGGGAAATTCTGGTTGAGCAGCGCCGTAAGGAGTGAGGTTTAGTTCCCGAATTGAAACTGTTAGATTAGTGAACTGGTATCCCTCTCACTGCGCCGTGGCAAAGAGCACGCGGCCAGGTTGTGTGTTGATGTTGTTTTCACTCCCACTGTTGGCCCAGTTGGGGCGGCTGGCCGCCGTTCGTTGCGTCCGAAGATGGGCACATGACAAGCTTCGTCATGAAATTCACGGCCGTTTTTCTATAAGAGCAGCGTCGTTCTGGCGGTTCTAGACGTCACAGAAGCACCATCATTCAAATCCCCATCCTGTCAACACTTAATCCACTTCGCTCCATCGTTCAAATCCCAATCCTGTCACCACTTAATCCACTTCGCTCCATCGTTCAAATCCCCATCCTGTCACCACTTAATCCCCTTTGCTCCATTCCGTATATCTTCAGCATTCACCAACATCTCCTGTAGACCATCTACGCACCGATCCCACCTGTGGCCACCTTTCTCCCCGTCCGCCGTATCTCTACATCTCCACAATGTCGGCCCTCTATCCCCAGCCATCGACAACCGGGATTCCGCATCCGGCCCCGGGATTCTACACCGAGGTCCGCATGCACATGCAATACCAAATGTACCCCGTGGAACCCAGGCGCCCCGATCACTCCCTGTACACGACGGCCATGACAGATTGCACCGTCGTCGCCACGTTCAACACCGTCACCCGCCAACGCACCATGTGCCACGTTGCTGGGGGCAACATGAGCGATGGCTTCGTGCATACTCTAGCCACGCAGTTCATTGACGCCAACACCATCGTCATCATCGCCAGCGGCACGTCGCCCAGCCACTCGGGGTTCGTGGACGAGTTCAGGAACGCGGTCCAGAGGATAGCCGAGGGGATGCATCGCGTCGGACGCGGCAGCGTCCTCTCCAGAGCCGATAATTCGAGCGGGAGACCCAGGCCGACACCCGGCGCCAGGTTCTGGATGTACCACACCTCCCGCCTCCCCCACAGCGTTGACGGTAGCTCCTTCATTCTCCGACCCGATGGCGTGTTTGGACGCGAGGGCAGCGGCCCCGTCCTCCTCTGCGCTACCACTCTCTCGGGCTCTCAATCGCTCCCCATTTAACAGGGTGTATCACCAAGAACGAACGGGGGCCGGACGGCAGGCCAGAGGTCCTTGAGAGTCGGTGATGTGCAGGCGTGGAAGCACCCGGGCAGCAGACTACCTGGGTGAGCGAGGAAATCCCGTGAGCTGGATCTCTCGGGAGGCAGAGCTTGGAAAAGGCAACGGACATGCAAATACTTCCCATTTGGTGAGGATGGGCCTCCACAAACAGGGGCTGGGACCCTGGGAAGCTGTGGTAGCTGAACTTTCCACTCGGTGATGAGGCGGGCTCGATCAACAGGGGCTGGACCCCTCCGTGATGAGGCTGGGACTCGATCAACAGGGGCTGGACCCTGGGAAGTTGTGGAAGCTGAACTTTCCACTCGGTGATGAGGCTGGGGCTCGATCAACAGGGGCTGGACCCCTCGGTGATGAGGCTGGGGCTCGATCAACAGGGGCTGGACCCTGGGAAGTTGTGGAAGCTGAACTTTCCACTCGGTGATGAGGCTGGGGCTCGATCAACAGGGGCTGGACCCCTCGGTGATGAGGCTGGGGCTCGATCAGCAGGGGCTGGACCCTCGGAGTGGTGTCAGAGAGACGTTACTACTTTCGGCATGGTCTAGGGAGCCCGGGCAGGGCCGGGCAGGTCCCGCACAGAGCACCTAATTAGACCGCCTTTTCAATGTCAACGCTGGTCCCCAGGCCTGCAGGCGCAGGTTTGGCTTCTGAGAAGTGGGGTTGTGAGAAGCTGGACCTCTCTTAACCGCTAGGTTGCATTTGGCTTGCCCGGGGATCTGCGCTGGTTGCGACCTGCTGGTAAGCAGATAATTAATCAGGTACCTAATTATTACCTAATTGCTACCTAACTAGATAGTCAGCACAGTTCATGAAAAAACATCCCTCCTTTGCATTACCTTTGCCTGTCTCGTCCATCTCTGGTGGATAAGACCCAGGCGTGCTTCCGTCTTTGTAAACACGTGCTCACCCTATTTATACCGGAGAGAAAGCAGGTAGTCTCCTGCCTCATTCAGCTGGCTTTGTGCCGTTAAGAGGGTTGCCATGCTTCTGATGATTTGGAATAACTACAGGCTGACCTGAACTGACTCAGGACTCATCGCAAGTCAGCAGTCCTAGGCCTAGAACCCTGCCAAAGACCCGCATTCAATTTCAATATCACATAAACATGCGAATACAGCCACCCTGAAAATCAGCATTTTCAAATAATGAATCATTGATTAAAATCCCAAATCTAAGTAGTACCGTCACACAGGCCAAACTCTTGATCCGTCGTGACAATCTTGAATACGCACTTGCCAGGTTGTACAAAAAGCGCCCTAACTTAGTGCTTATCAAACACGGGCAGCGCATACATGTCGTCGGGGTCTGCAACAGATAACACAAAGCGTCAGAAACCACAAATCTAATGCCTATGACAAGGAAAGAGGGGATTTTTTTTGAGGGGGCCGGGAGAAGGGGACGGGGGGGACGGGGGGACGGGGGGACGGAGGGACGAGGGGAAGGGGGACGGGGGTGTAAACTCACCTTCGCCATGCTCGGCAATAAACGCCCTGACATCCTCGACCCTGCGCCGGATATCCTCAAGACATGCGCCGAGCCGCTGCTTCACGTCCAGGTTTCTCTCCACGCCGGCGCGCAGCGCGCGGGCGGCGACGTCAAACCGGCTGACGCGGTTGACGAGCATCATATCGAAGGGGGTGGTGGTGGAGCCCTCCTCGCGGTAGCCGTCGACGGCCATGCGGTGGAGGCCCGCGCGGCCGAACAGCAGGCCCTGCAGCTCGGTCTGGTAGCCGTGGTAGTTGAACAGGATTGGGGAGTCGGTTGTGAAGATGTCGGCGAAACGGGCAGCGCTGAGCGCGTGCGGGTGCCGCGACTCGGCGGGCAGGATCATCAGGTCCGTGACGTTGACGACGCGCACGCGCAGCGCGGGGACCAGCGTGCGCAGCAGCTCGGCCGCCTTGACCACTTCGAACGTCACCTCGACGCCGATCCCCACCAGCACCACGTCCGGGTCCGCAGCGGACGGTGCGTCTGTGTCCGGGGACGAGGCAAAGTGCCAGATGCTAGCGCCGAGCCGGCAGTGCTCTTCGGCTTCCTCCGCCGACAGGTACACTGCCGTGGGCTGCTTGGACCCGATGATGAGGTTGGTGTAGTTGCGCGACTGTAGGCAGTGCTGGACGGTGCTGAGGAAGCAGTTGGCGTCGGGCGGGAGGTAGACCTGATTACCGCTCGAGTCAGTCGCTTCAAACATTTGCGTCGAAGGAGGGGCTGAGAGTCCGAGTACACACCCTCGCTGCCTCGGCCTTGATATTAAGCACGGCGCCAATAAAGGACGGGTTCTGGTGCGAGAAGCCGTTGTGCTCTTGCCGTGCCCAAGTACTCGTCTCGATGTAGTTAATGGACGCAAGGTCTCCGCGCCAGCTGACCTGCCGGGCGATCTTGACGAACTTGGAATACTGCACCATCATGGTGTGCACGATGCCTAGGAACGACTCGTAGCTGGGGAACAGGGCGGTGCGGCCGGTGAGCGTGTATCCCTGCATGAAGCCCTGGCAGTCGTGCTCCGACAGCACCTCGATGACCCGGCCGCCGTTGGCGCGCGAATACTCGTCCCACTGGAAGTTCCGCTGCGTGTGGTCCAGGATGGCGCCGAGCTTGTTGCTCTCTAGCTCGTCGGGAGAAAAAAGTCGGATGCTCGTGGGGTTCTCCTGGAACACCCTGTCGAGGTATGTCCCTGTGACCTGCATGCAGCTCTGGTCGGTGCCTTTTTCAACTGCAAAGCCTTTCCAGTCGACCGCCTTGAGACCGACGTACGGGTTATGGGTGGCCTCCAGCTGTCCAAGCCTCTTGTCTCTGTTCTGCGGGAGGATGCTAACGATCGAATCCGTAGGTCGGCCTTCCTTGATGAGCTCGTCGATGCGGTAACTAGACAACCAGTTCTTCAGAGCACCGAGCTGCGAGTTGTCGCTACTAGCCTTGGGTAATGGAACTTGGTGAGAGCGAAAGGAGCCTTCGATAATCTTGCCGTCGATTTCTTTTGGTCCACCCCATCCCTGCTGTCGTTAGCTTGGCCGTTGAGTAAACTCAAGGGTGCTTTCTTGCCTTTGGCGTCCGTAGCACCAGCATCGGCCATCGCGGTTTCACAATTGGATTTCCAGAGCGCGCGGCGTGCTGTATTTTCTTGATTTCGACCAGCGCCCACTCCAATGCGCTGCTCAACTCATCGTCGATATTGGCCAGGTCCTCGACCATCTTTACCTGGTATCCGTATCCAGCAAACAGGCAGATCAGCTCCTTGTCGTCCATGCAACCGAAAATTGTCCGCTCGCTGATCTTGAACCCGTTGACGTAGAGGATGGGGATAACGGCGCCAGACTCGCGGGAGTCGAGGAATTTGATGGAATGCCACGCTCTGGTGTTTGCACGTAACGTCAGTGTCACACGCAGAAATCAGTCACGGACTCACCTGACTCACGTCGCCGTGGGGCCCGACTCGGCCTCGCCATCTCCAACCACGCAGGTCACAACCAGATCGGGATTGTCCATGACAGCTCCGAACGAGACCGCAAGGGCGTATCCCAGCTCGCCACCCTCGTGGATGGACCCGGGGGTCTCGGCGTTGATGTGGCTGCAGCATGGTTGTTAGCAGACGAAGCGCGTGGTACTCTGCGACACAGCAATTAGGGTGAGCGACCCTCACCTGGGAAACCCCCCGGGGACGGAGAACCGGGTGATCAAGTTCCGCAGGCCGGCTGTATCACAGTCGTACTCGCCAGGGTAAAATCTCTCAAGCGAACCCTCGAGCCAGAGCGCCGCCAAGGCAGCTGGGGCGCCGTGGCCCGGCCCAATGACAAAGATCATGTCCAGGTCATGGCTGCGGATGAGCAGACTGAGGTGGGACCAGACAAGGATGAGGCCCGGGCACGTTCCCCAATGGCCTTGGGGCAGTCAGCTTGGCCGTTGACGATCGCAGGAAGGGACGAAAAAGAAGCCGAGAAAATGGTAGGCTGGTGATGAATTACCCAACAGACGCGGCTTGACGTGGTCGAGCTGCAGTTCGGATTCGAGGAGGACATTATCGCGCAGGAATATCATGGCGGAGGCGATGTAGCATGCCGCGCGTTGGAAGCCGCGGAGCGACTCGCGAACATGGTCGGGCAACGGCCTCCGATCAACCCGGGCGCCGAGCTCGAGAATGCTGTCGGGGAGGTGTGACGGCAGCGCTGGCGGATTGGCCACGGGAATTTGCCCGTTGCCCATTTTGAGGCGTATTTCTGCTTCGAAAATGTCGGGATTATCAAATTGGCACCGTGTGCCTGTCGGGTCGCAATTGGCTGGTATTAGTCTGTGACGATAATCGGGAGTTTGGTACTTCGGCAGAGTTCAGTAGCGTCTTTCTAGGGTGGGTAGGGTGGTTAGGTTTGGTACCTGCGCTCCCGTCGTGTATAACTTGAACTTTCCCGAAGGGAAAGTTTTGGCTCCGAAGGGAAAGTTTTGGCTTCTGTGGAAGTCGTAGAAGAAGCGTTGAATCGATGACGTAGGTGTTTGGGATGCAGAGCCAAGCTTGATTCTGGCCGGCAAACCAGACCGGGGTTAGGGTTAGGTGCTACGAATACCTCGGTACAGCACACCAGTGTCTTATTTGCAAACAAAAAAGTACGGGTAGTCGAGGGAGCTAACTAAAAGCGGAGCAAACGAGCAGCCTCGGTTTTTAACTATAGAAATTAGGTAATTATTACAACATTTTAGGCTACTACCAGCACAGTCCTCGGAAAGCAATATCTCAACGCCTAAGAACACCAGCTTCCCACACTCACCCTCCAACTTGTGTCGAGCCCCTGATCGCCAAGGCCCATCCCCAATAGCTGAGGTCCAGCCTCGCCAAGTTCAGGCAGTGAACTAACCCCATTAGTTGTGTAGAGTCCAGCCCTTATGGTTGAGGTGCAACCTCTCCAGCGAAGGTAGTTATATTAGCTTTGTAAAGTCCGGTTTTACACTTCAAATTCCGAAGAGCCCAGCCCCTCGAACCGCTGGTACGATGACCCGTAGCCACATGCTGAAGGGTGATCGTCACCTAGATCACGGAATGCGGTAGGCTATTCGTGAAAAGGTAGGTAAATTGATGATCGAGGGAGGAAGCTCGGGAGCACTGCCCTGCCGAGGACCTTAATGTGGTCCTTTGGTGGGGCAGACGCGGTCTAACCGCGTCAGGGTAAGCCCCGCTTCCCTATGTACCTATGTACTTAAATTACACGTGCCGGTCATATGACCTTGTCTTGGCGCTCCCTCGCTCAATCAGGCATCACATGCATTAAGCCTTGCCCGTATCGGTGCATGGGGACCGCTAGGTGCGGTGGGAGCTGAACCCCGAAAGGAGGCGGCCGTTGTAGAGGGTACTGAGGATGACTCATTTTGAGGAAGGATTTGGAAAGAGGTCGAGCTAGTGTTTTCTAGCTGACGAGGTGGGCAGCAAACGACAATGACAAGAGCCTAAAGTACTGGCGAGACTGTTTGGTGGATGGGGAAATGATGGTGCTTCAGCGACGTCCAAAAACCGCCAGCATACACGCCTCCTATGCCCAAACAGTCCATGCATTCCGGGAAGACATCTAACCGCTTGTTCACTCTTGAACCCAACAACCCCGGGCTTGACCAGGTCCCGGTTTCAGGTGGAATGGAGCGGCATCCTGACTGATCGTGACACGGTGTTGCCAGCACGAGGATTCAGTGTACATGGCCTCGCCGACTCGTCGTCGTTGCTGTTGCCTCATGTTTCAGGGCGTGAAACGCCAGGCTCAGCCGCTCAGGTAATGGTGGGAAACAAATAAGTAGACAGTAGGTATGTACCAAATCCACAATATTGCCGCCCTAAAGATTTGCGGTCTGAGGCAGACATCAATCCGAGTCATACCGCAATAGATATACTACCAGAAACACCGTAGAGGTTGTAGTTTGCTGACGTGGCTGCTTCAGTAGCCCTTGCTGTCAAATAAAATTTTAATCTTTTCATTGGTCTTTTCATTGGGTGAGTTTCGTGGCGAGCAGAACCCCTGGAACCCATCCCTCCCGCCGCGGCGGCTCAGTGCTTGCTTACCCGATATGCCTATGCTGATTTGCCTACGGCCTCGGACAAGCTTCACTTCGTGCCTGATTGCGGTCGAGTGGTAGCTCAGCGAAGCAAACGGCCTTCCTCGTATGCTTTCTCAGAAGACATGATTGGAGGTGGAGATCTTTCGCTGTCGATCAACCCTTGCATCTCTTCAGCCCGTACCCCACCTGCTTCACGTTGAATCGATCGTTGATCCTGCAACACGCTGTTGGTTGTCCTTTGGATAATCAAGGGTCTCGGCTCTCACGCCTCGCCTAGAGCCAGGGGTGTTCGGCTCGTTTCTGCCGCGGGGTGAATCACGGCCGGATGTCTAGACGGTCGGCGTCTTGGACTCGAGGATAACGTGTCAATGCAGCTAGGCTGCCGCTCGATGACTGTGCCCGGTTGGCGACCTGGTTGGCGATAATCGGGAATTTGGTACCTTAGCAGAGCTTAGTAGCGTCTTTCATTAGGTGGGTAGGGCGGTTAGTTAGGTTTAGTACCTACGATCTCGTCGTATAAATTTGAACCTCTCGGCAATATTACCCTCTGTAGAAGTCGCGAAAGAGCGTTAATATAAGGTATCGATAACGTACCTAGGTATGTATTTCGGCCGTTAAGGGCAAATTCCCAGCGTGAAAACAACACTAGGGTCAGCGTTGGACGAGTGTTAAGTTCCGTGCGCTAAGTTCCGTGTCGAGTTCGCACTTCCTGGCACGGTACTGCGTACAAATACCTACTCCAGGCGAGGTACCTCTCTAGTTAGATCCGAGAAATGAAGCTGTTGAACTATAAGAAAAGTCAAGAAGCACTAGCCGCCTACAATGGAGACGCAAAATCAGCCAAATATCGTGATTCAAGACTGCCTAGTGATGACAAAGGGCCATGGGGTTGCTGCCAGCGCAACCCCCCCCCCCTCGTTCTGTTACAGGTATCCAGTACCCACCACCTAAAACCGTAAGATTTGCAGCTTCCTTCCGACCTACAACAGGGGTCCCGCTCACCTCGCCTGAGATCCAGCTCCAAGGATTATTTTGGCCGTCGTCTCCCGGGATATCCAGCACCCAATGGGCACATCCAGCACGCCTACCTGTCCAACCCGGGGCTGGTCCATGTCCGGCTATGGCTACGACGGTGCCACTAAAGCTTAACACGCCCGTAACTCCCGTCTGGGTACAGAATGAACGACCGAGAATCCACACCCTCTGCACGCATCGCATTCTTGTCAGTCCAGCACATGACGAAGCGCGTGCCCGAAACCTGAGAATTCTGGCCGTACCGGTCCCTTTGGATTTGAGGCAGTCGTTTTTTTCTTCCACCATCAACTCCGTCTGGATCTTGTTAATCCAGTCATTATAATGTCTCTCAAAGTCTGCCCTCGTGCCGTCGCTCCCCGAGACAATAACCACTACCGTAAGCGGGTCAATGTATCTGTTGACCAATTCCGAGATAAGGCTGTCATGTGGGCCTCCTGCGCAATGAGCTAAGCTCCGTTTCCCCGTCTTGTTGTTGTACGTGGCAATGGCGATGCACTCTGTCATTGCGTTCGTGTAGAGAGGCAGCGTTCGGTTGTCCCCGCCAGTAGGGGCAGGGTGGGCGACGATATATTCGTACAGGGGTGACGAATATTCGCGAATATGAGCGCTGAAATCGACAGAAGATTCTAACGTTAAAATCTAGCGAGATGAGCACTATAAATTAGCGAGCTGACGCTAAGCTACAGCAGGTATCTTATTTTGCTTTTTACTGTCAGTTTCGCCCCCCTATGGCGCGCCGCAACGGCAGTCCTCACCTCGCTAAATTTTAGCGCACGATCTTTAACGAAATTCGTACAGGGGTGCCGAATATATTTCCGTCCACCCTGAACTGTAGGGGTCTGACGGTTGGATATTCTCATTCGGATCTCCGCATAGTTGCTTGGCAGCAGAGCCGGGGTCATTTGCTGGGCGGGCATGGCGACTAATATGTGGAAAGTAGGATCTTGAATGGAAGATGAACGTCGTCGTGGAGCTCTCGGAATGGACGGAAAGGTACTGATATTGCGTACTGATATTGCGTACTGATATTGTGCACCGATATTGCGGATTGAACGTAAAGAATTGTCTGGGTGTGTTGATGGATGATACAGTAGATGCCGAGGAAGGCTCTCTGGAAGGCAATTCTATTTGGCACAGGTGCCGGTGACGTGATTTTTATACCTAAAGAGCCAGCTTATCGTCAAGGAAACTTGCCCTGTCGATGGCCCCGCAACCCGCCAGGTCGACAGTCTGACCATGATTCAAGTTAAGGCGTTGCAGAACCACCACCTGTTCGTTTGGCAAGCCCGGCAGCGTCGCTGGGTCGTGAAACTCAAGCTTACATCATGACGCAGGCAGAACTCACCACGGGCTAGGCTGCTGAGGATGCATTCTGCTGGCGAACCTAGGTACCTAGGTCTACACTCTAATCCCTGAACGTTTGTTGGTTCGGTCCGCTAAGCCTACATTTTCACAACTCTTTCCCAGATAACGATGCAACCACAGAGAAATAATGTAACGAAAGGAATTCGAGAATAAATCACCTATTCTTCATTAGTTAATATATATACTTTTCTACGAAGAGTTTGCTCTTCCAGCTGTGAAATACCGAACATTTATAGATCCAATCGGGCCTAATCGGGCCCCTGCTCTGAGAACCAAACTAACAAGCGTTCACAGGCTAGACTGTTGTCTTTGGCCGCTCAGCGTGAATTCGATGCCTAGCGGGGGAACGAGGGCCGCAGGCGCAGAAGTACCCCAGCGTAGCAGAGTCTAGGAGTAGAAACAAATTCGACGCTTTCGCTTCCTAAATTCGTCCGTCGTTGCTAGTTAGGACTCAGCAACGCTCCATCTGTAATAAGATAAGGGCGTGTTCTTATTAATAACACTATAACCTTACGGCGCGCAAAGCATCGTGCTGACTTAGTAGCATGATCTTATTTCTCCCTGAAGGGGCAACTGGTCCTATTGGGGACGAGAGGAGCGGAGCTGGGGTAGAAAGGACACTGGAAACTGGGATGGCATTGGGGCCAACCGAGTTTTGAGCCACGGCACAGCACTTGGTTATATGATTTACGCGAGATATACGAGATATGTATACGAGATGCACGGGATACACGAGATTACAAGATACACGAGATTACGGGATACACGAGATTACGAGATACACGAGATTGCAGTTTTCAGATGTGGCCTGAAACAGGCGTGACGGGGCCGTAAGCCTTGCGGCTGTCACGACCAGGGCAAGGCATTGAGGTGAACTCAGTCCATTGGGTGCTATCGACGAAGATTCTAAACTAAGGAGGGAAAGAAGGAAAAGTCCGACAACGCGTCGCGTGCTCGCGAATAAGTTTTCATCTATCAGTGGGGTAGGTGGGGCCTCGAGGAGGCTTCTGATAGGCCCGGGGGTTCTGGGCGGCTCTGGCTGCTTGAGGGCCAGTTTGGTGGACGGGTCCTCACAGCGGCATGGCTTTCTCGCTGCTACATACCTTACCACACTGCGAGTCCGAGCAGAACGGGGACGAAACCAAATAGCACCCAGCCTCAAAAGGGATACTAGACGTTAAATATATTCGTCGAACCCTTTCTCTACTTACGTGGATGCGTGCTAATGTTCAACCGCGGTACTTGCCGGCAGGTAAGGCTGCTGAGCGAGCCTAGGTGCCCATGTGAAACATAATTAATCGCAACACTTCGCAACACTTCGCCACACTATCAACACGACTTGGGGCGCCAAAGACCGAGCGAGCCAAGGCAGACGCCATCTTCGTCACGAGCGCAGCACCAGCAGCCCCGTCACGACCCTGCAGTGTCGGCGTGAAAGTGCGTCCACGCTGCTCACACCGCGCCCTGGCCAGCTCCGCAAAGCAACGCACGCAACACCAAGGGGGTGGCAAGTGTCTAGGGGTCGCGCCGCATTATGAGTGGCAGCCTGGAGTGCTTTACTTCGTATCCGACAGCAGATCGCTACACGTTGAAGCTGTCAAAAAACAGACCAAAACGATCCAGGCAAGACATTTAATTTCACGGAAATTCACTTCAAAGTATGCTGAAGGAGCGGGCCCGCATGGCAAGGCGTCGTGCAAAAGAAGCCAAAAGTACTACCAATACACTGTTGGGGAGGAAGACACGGGCAATACTGGCTGCGTGCCATCAACCCTGCCAGCCCTGGATCTCGTCGAGGGTGAGGACGTAGTCGCTCGAGTAAACCTGCCGGCGTCAGCTTGGGGAGAAAGGGAACCTCGAACAAGAAGCTCACCTTCTTTAGCGTGTCCAGCGAGTTCCAGTCCGGGCCGTTGACGAAGTTGTCGCCCCAGACGGCGAACCACAGCCAGTGGGCGCCGTACGCCTGCAGCAGGTCCGGCAGCGGCGCCGCGCCCACCTCGGCGGCCGCAATCATCTTGGAGTCGCGGCCCAGGTCGACGAGCTGGTTGTACTGCGTCGACATGGGCTGTGGTTGGGTACATGTCAGTGTCTACCCCGTCTACTCTGCCCACGCAAGACTCGACTCACCCCGTTGCCCTGGGCATAGACGTCGGCGCTGACAATGTCAACAGTAGCGTCGCCGGGGTACCATTCCGGCGCGACCGAGTTCCACACCCACAGCAAGTTGTCGAGCCCGTGGAAGACGGTCAGGCGCTCGTAGAGCAGAGCATACAGCTGCTTGGCGGCCTCAGGCCCCTTGGCTCCCCACCAGAACCAGCCACCCTCGGCCTCGTGCAGCGGGCGCCACAGCACGGGCACGCCGGCGGCCTGCAACCTCTTCAGCTGGGCGGCGACGGCGTCGACGTCGCGCAGCAGCAGCGTGTAGTTGGCGCCGGCGACGTCGGCCAGCGCCGCCGCCACGTCGAAGTCGGTGGCGCGCGTGTAGAAGCCCGACCACCACCTGTTCTCTTCCGTGTCGTACAGCCCGGCCGGCGCGTTCCAGTGCCACAGCACCGACACGATGCCGCCGCGCGCGTGGTGCGCCAGCGCGTCCTCGACCGCCGTCCCCACCGTCCCTCTTTCCACGCGCGACGGCGAGTAGTCCATCAGGTCGACCGACACCAGCGCCGGCGCGCGCCCCCCCGTCTGCGCCGCCACCCAGTCCGCCCACTCGAGGTCCTGCTGGCCCGCGAGGATCTTTCTGCCATAAATTGACCGCAGGTAGCGGTACAGGGCGGTGGCACCAGCGCTCGGCGCGCTGTTGACGGGCGCCGCAACGACGCCGGCGTGTGCAGGGTCTCGCACGGCCGCCGGCGCCAGCGTGATGCTGTCGATCAGGTACCAGCCCCAGTTGCTGACGACGTCGATGGTGTTGGTGCCTGTGGTGAGCAGCACCTGGCCGGCGGCGACGGTGGCGAACGCGGTGCCCGCGGCGAGGAACACTTCGCTGCTCGCCCCGCCGTTGAGCACCACCGTGGTCCGCTTGTCGCCGTACACGGCCGCGGCCCGGATGCTGAGGTCGAATAGCGCCACGCTGCTGCTGTCGACGTGGAACGTGATCTTGTCGCCGCTCGCGTCGAAGCCCGTCACGTAGCCCGCGCCTGGAGGTTTGCATGCACGCGCCGTCAGTCCGACGCGCGCTCACGGAAAAGAAGGAAGATGGGAGATAAACGCACCCGTGTACCCCGCCTGCGCCGTGTCGACGCTCGTTCCCGTCAGCACGGCGTCCTCGGCCTCGTACGTGCCCGCCGCGCCGTGCGGCAGGGTGCAGGACCGCGCGCTCGCGCCCAGGGCCGCTGTCCCAAGGGCGAGAACCGCTCCCCGCAGGAGAATGGACCCAAACAGCCGAGCCATTGCGATGACGGTTGATTCTGTCTGGCACCTTTCAGGGCGTGGCGGTGTGATGTTGATCGCGGAGAGCAGGGCGTCTTTAAGTAGTTCGCGGTGACACAGCACGCGCGAGATTGCCAGGTGCCAGGGCCGGTACAGCGCGCCGACGGGAGCAGCCCGCCCGGTGGGAGGAGCGATGTGGGTGGTGAAATCACGGCGGAGGGCGAGGTTCCGGCGCGGCGGGTCGGTAACTACCTTGCCTTCGCTTGTGCGTTGCATTGGCATGCACGTCGCCCTCTCACCCTGGATTTCACAACAAGCGGGTTCTTTCTGCAGATGTGGTTGGCTGAATTCACGAGGGGCTTTTTGTTCGAAAGTTTCAAAGAACAAGACGTCATACGCACTTGAAGCTGAAAGCTGACAGAGAAAGGTTGTATCCCATTATTAACCCTGAAAAACAGCTATGTGCCCCGACCGGAGCAGCAATTTCGACTCGTCGCGTACATCATCACAGGCAGAACAAGCGAAAGTACTCGGCATCCTCGACCAGGTCCAGAGACTGCGTCTTGGCATCTAGCTTGGCCTCGTTGACGTCCGGGTGGGCTAATTCTGGTTTCGGGTATAATCAATTAGCCATCTGCTCAGCACGGCGGAAGGGGCACGCAAGACTCACGGTCGACTTTGGTGTACTTGAACTTGCGGGCCGGGACGCGGTCGTCAAAGAGCAGGTCGATCTCGCCAAACGTGCGGCCCTTGGTCTCGGGCAGGCGGAACTAGCACCAGATGTTGCATAGCAGGTTGGTGCCGGCGTAGAAGAGGCCGGCCTAGCGCCCCAATTCCATCCTTCACCGAGCTGTCAGCAACCAGGTACAGAAGCCTGTTGAAGAACAGAAGAAACTCGCCGAGCGGAGATGCAATAAGGGGAAGGGATGTAAACATTCCCAGATTGCACGTAATGGGAATTGCTAAATAAATGGGAATTCAATTATTCGGCTGAACGGAGCCGCCGTAGGCGAGCTCGCGAGCCGGAGGTGGCGTAGAGAGGCTGTCTCTTCTACTTTACCGTGAAGGTGCCGAAAGTTTCTCGCCTGGGGATTGGCCAGTTTTCGTCCGTGTCGAAATGGACTCGGGGGACTGGCCGATCGGATAATCCTCAGACGTGTTAAGCCGTCAAATGCCGCTTTGCTGTGTCGTGAGGTAGAATGGCTGTTGTGACGGCCCGCCTTACGCAGTAGGGATGTCAATGGTTGAAGGCAGTAAACGACTATGGATTTAAAGCTAAGGAAGAGAAAGGAATCTATCGCGCAGGGCGCGGGAAAATAGGTGGTGGTGCTCAGTGCGCACAGGCCACACTCTAAACACAATGCAGCCAATAGAATCAATCCTATCACATGAGCCCTGTGGCGACCGTGACAGCTGTCAATCCGTCGGTGCGGTACCTTCACTTTCTAGCCAGCTCCCCCCCCCCCAAAATAAACGACTTTCTTCCTCAATCTCGCAATTCAACCTCAGTCAATCGCACGTACGATTTATCGCTTTCCAGCTATGGACAGGTACGCCGAATACTTTACGATTATAACCCTATTAATCCCTACTAATATATCACTAGGAACGCGCGTTTTTCAAGCCGCCGCCATGGCTACGGTCGGGGTCCCTCAACCGCAGCCCCCACCGCCCGATCAAGGAGACCCCGAACCAGATCCCTCCCGAATACAAGAGATGCCGTGGTTATAACTTGGTCAAACATAACTAGCACTTGATACAGGCTCCTAAAATGCCTCAGCTACTCATTCCCTCAAGCGAAGCGAAGACAGCTCGCCGGAGGCAAAAAACAAGAAAAAAGAGGCTCCGTTCAGCTGACCCCTTCCTGACCCGTCAGGTAACCTATTTTAGACAAAGGACTTAAGATCATGATTCCGGCGCAGTAACCAAGTACGAACACATCTCCTTGCCCTCCACCCCGTCGTCGCCAAAGTGAAACATGCGCAGGATGCCGCAGCGACCACATCCCCATCATGCTCGAGATGCGCTGTCTCAGCAGCACAATCCGCACGAGCACGATCCGCAATGCCACCACTCTGTGCGCAAACCATGACCAGCAACAGATCAGTGATACACGCAGTTGAACAGAGGCACACGCAGTTGACCAGGGGTACACGCAGTTGACTAGAGGCACACGGTGTTGGACAGGGGTACACGTAGTTGACCAGGGGCACACGCAGTTGACTAGGGGCACACGTAGTTGACCAGGGGCAACACACCGTGCGACAACCCCAACGACCCCCAAATCCACGGCTCGTCCGTCTGCGTTTTGATCCTTGGTCTATGTCATTCGGCATCGTGGTTGTTTCCGGGTATGGGCAAGTGCTGTACCAGGCAGGGTTGGACGCGAGAGTTTCCGAGTGGTGGGCGGGTGCCTTGCGTGCGAGGCAACTGGTTCTAGTACGTCAGGTAAACAAAGAGAGCCGAAATAGGGGTTGCCCGGCTCTTGCTGTTTACACCCTGCAAGTATAAGCCGCTCCTGACTTTCCGAGACTGTTTCACGCGCCATGCACACCCTCTCCCCGCAATAACGTGTTGGGAGACAGACTCTTGATGTCTCAGTCTCTGACACGCGCTGCAACTGCAGCTTTGGTATTCGTTTCGTTTGTCCAAGTTCGTCTTTGCAGCCTCCGGCAGACTTGAAAGTCTCAGTCTCTGGAGAACACCACTAGGCGGCATTGGTTTCGACGAGATAGCAAGTCAAGCCAAGGCTCGGGAGCGGTCGATGGGAAACGTCTTTGCCCGCAAGTCTTTGATGCCATGCAGAACCCCGCAGAACCCCGGTGCAAAGCTCGTGTTGGGTCACTTGAAGATATAAACAAGGAACAACATAAGCCACTCCTTCACTTCTTTCCCTCGCCTCACTAGTGCGTGCGTCTTTCTCACCTAGACCGCCCTGCCCCGAGCCGAGCCCTTTCTTTACCCACCGCACTTTGTCCTCTTCCGCCTTCGCAACAATGATCCTCCGCAACCTGACATCCACCACCGCACCGCCTGGCCCAGCACTCACCACCAACTGGCTCGAGATCGACCGGCCTGCACCATCCGACCCCGCGCAGGCGGCACTCGCGTGCTACGCGACGCCGTACGGCGTGGTCGGCGTGGTTCTGCGGCTGCTCTCCGTCTACTGCATCGGCATGTTGTACCGGCGGCGGCAGACGATACACCCGCTTGAGGACCACCGCCTCAAGAAGAAGAAGCTCGACTACACGTTCACGGGCGTCGGCCTGGGCCTGTCGGCGTACCACTTGGTGGTCACGCTCGTGCGCTGCAGCACGCCGTCCGGCCTCGTCTTCCTCGGCGCGTCGAATCTGCTGTTCGCCCTCGCCTGGGCCTGGGCCTCGCTGTACGCCGCGCACTCGATCGGCCACGACCCGCCGCCAGCACCAGCTGAGGACCTGTCCGCCCGCACGGCGTGGCCGTCGGCTTCTTCTTCGTCCTCGTCAGACCGGCACTACCGCCGCCACGCGCGCGTCGGGTTCGCATTCCCGCTGACGGTCCTCTGGGGCGCGGGCGTCGTGCTCGCCGTCGCCGGCGTCGGCATGTTTATCGCGTACATGCAGGTCGACCACGGCGGCAGCGGGGCGCCGCCCGTGCTCGGCCCAATTGTTCACGACAGGCGTCTTGTGACGTTGAGCGCCGTGTTCGGCGTCGTGGCTATCATCTTGGTGGTCGCCGTTGCCGCGTGGCCGAGATCCAGGGACCGGACGGAGAAGTGGCAGTTCTGGCGCGCCGCGGCCGTTGTTTTCAACGTGCTCGTCCCGCTCTACGCGGACGCCGTGCTGGCCATCGTGTCCGGCAACGCGGCGGGGTTCCAGGTCTGTACGACGGCGCATGGAGTTGGCGTGGGTGTGGTGCTGTGCGTCCTGTTTTACCTGGGTCAGGCGTTGATGTTTTTCCAGATTTGAAGTGGATTTCTGGGACGAGACTTTTTGGGGCAGCATGATTGTTTCCAAGCGAGAGGAAAGGACTGGAAAGGGGCGGCATGTAACTGACGGGCGGCATGTAACTGTGAATTCGCACGTGCTCAAACAGATGCAGAGTGTCAATACAGGAACAACTAGGAGATGAAGTTACGGGCCAGAATAAAGTCTCGTTGCTCTAGCCGTGTCTCGTTGCTCCAGCCGTGTCTCGTTGCTCCAGCCGTGTCTCGTTGCTCCAGCCGTGTCTCGTTGCTCCAGCCGTGTCCATCAGACTACTTGAACGATTCAGTAGCTAAAAACACCGTCACCGATGCTGCCAGTCTGCCGACCCAACTGCCACACTACCGAGAGAGCGGCGGGTTGCCGGGCAGCGTAGGGAGCCAGCCGTCGATCTGCTCGGCGACGACGGGGGCCTTGGTGCACTGGTTCGCCTGCTTGATGCTCTGCTTGGCCAGCCCGGGGCAGTCAACACCGCAATACTCGTCCATGGCGCGCTGCAGCGCGTCGCCCTTCCAGCCAAATAGGTAGTCGCCGTGCCAGCCGTAGCCCGTCTCGTCGCCCGTGCTGAAGACGAACGGCTGGCTGCCGTCGGCCGGCCACGTCGACACGTCGTTGAACGCCGACGTGTTCCAGATGGTCTCGTACAGGATCTGCGGCAGCCGCACGGGGTGGCTACGAGTGCGTTAGTCGCATCCCGTCCCGTTAGCAAGTCTTGTCCCGGTAGCAAATCTTGTCCCGACAGAAAATCTTGTCCCGATAGCAAATCTTGTCCCGATAGCAAGTCTTGTCCCGAAAAATACGTACCTCGGCGGACACGCGCCCTCCGTCTCAAAGGTGCCCGTGGCCGGGTACGCGACGTGGCTCTTGTGGTCGGGGCTGTCGACGTTGACGCCGTCCCAGCACGTGGGGAAGAAGTTGTTGATGCGCAGGCCGTAGGGGCAGGGCACGGCGGGGAAGGCGCGCGTGTCGTAGACGCCACCAATCTCCGAGTTGGCCGGGGCGGGCCCCCACGGCGTAGTGAAGCAGCGGAAGGCGATGCTCTTGAACTCGTCCGCGTCGGGGCTGGGCCGCCGGTACATGGGGTCGCCGACGAGCATGCGGAACCCGGGCCTGAAGGCCGTGACCCTGGTCTTCTTGTCGTACGGCGCCGTGTAGTACACCGTCATGCCGCCGCGCTGCCCTTCGAGCCCCAGGTTCTCCATCAGCGGCACCCGGTGGAACGAGCCGTTGCGATGCCGGAAGAAAAGCACGGCTGTCCAGTAGTTGGAGAAGTCCTCGGTGAAGGTGCACGTCGTGCACGTCGCCTCCGCCGACATGTTCAGCGACGGGTCCATGCTGGGCGCCAGCGCGTTCCCGCCCACGATCTGGTGCAGATGCGGCGACGGCACGGCTCCGGGCGTCACCAGCGGGTCTATGCGCTGGATGTTGAGCTGCGAGCAGGAAAAGCGAAGAAAGTCCTTGAACGTCGGGCCGCTGGGGACATACGGAACGCCGTTGGGGGGGTCTACCGTGCCTTGCCCAGCAGTGCTCGATGCCAGAAGCGCCGTGAATATAGCGGAGAAAAACATATTTCCTTGCTTCTTGTGTGAAATCAAGCAGCAGAATTCATGAGAGATGTGAAGAAAAGCTTCGCATCATGACCCGTGAGCTGGAAAACCTGGGCATCTCCAACTAGCCCCCACTTTGCAGTTCTTGCCCGTGTTTGGGATAGTCGGGCGAGAGGAGGGAGGCGTATATAGCCAATTTGCCGGCCAATGAAACACGTGCCTTGGTGTCTACAATCAGGGTAAACGTGCCTCGACGAGCGAATCGCCACCTCCATATAGAGTAAGTAGGGCTAAAACGAGATGCCGAGCTGAGAAAAGTCTCGCTCGGTAATGTCGGCAAGTCTCTCATACACCTGGCCGCGAATCCCGCGGTGGCTGCAGCAACCCTGCAACGCAGCTGCGATTGTCTGTCATATCTCCGACTTGCTTTGCGCCTGGCCCCTTTGGCAGCCTCCAGTCCCTGGCCCCCTTTGGCAGCCTCCAGTCCTCGATGGAGTCCTAGTGAAAGTTGGCCGTCTCGCTCAGAGGACAGCCACAAGTCAGAGAAAGCATGGCCTCTGCACGAATTCTCTGTGGAGGTAAAAATCGTTTGATTGAAAGTGCTCACGCCGACACAGGAAGTGCCACAGGCGCCCAACCTACAACCCCTCGAGCTCCTCGTGCACCTCGGCCCACGTGCCTGGCGACAGTATCCCCGTGATCCAGTAGTTGCCCTCCAAGTCCTTGCCGAGGATCTGCACGACATTGCGCAGGAGCGGGTTCCGCCTAGCACTCGACGAATACCCCTGGAGAAAGACGGGCTTCCCTGGCGGCACGCTTCGGCCCATGTCACCACCGCCACCGCCACCGCCACCAACCACAGCCGGGCCGAGATCGACCACGTCAAAGAAGCGCGCCTTGGTGAGGTTCGAGATGGGAACGGGGAGGCTGTCGGGCTCGGCGGCGACGGGCGGATGACCAGTGCGGGCGAGGGCGGCGACGAGGTCGCACAGCGCGGCGCGCACCTGCGCCGGCGTCGTCTGCTGCTGCAGCGACGCGCGGAGCCGCAGCGCCAGCCGGCCCAGCGGCAGGCCTCGCGCGTCGTCGCCCGCGAGCACCGTCGTGGCCACGCAAAAGGCGTTCTGCACGTACGCGGCCCGGCGCACGTCGAAGGCCGCCAGCCGGCTCTGCAGCTCGAACACGGTCATAGCCGCAAGCGTGCGCGTGCTGCGCGCCCCGAGACTGCGCGCGATCAGCTGCGTGCTCCACGCCGACAGGACGTCGCCCTCGCTGACGAAGGGCGTGCCTTGGCGGCCCGTGGTGTCGATCTGTTGGCCCTGCTGCAGCAGCTCGAGGTCGTGCGCGGCCTCCCGCTGGAGCGCCTTGACGGACCTGGCGGGCAGGAAAATGGTGCGCGTCTCCATCCTCGGCCCGAAGAGCATGTCGAGGACGAAGCGGACCGCAAACAGGAACATGCCAAGGCCGCCGAGGTGCTTGGCCTTTAGCACAGCTTGCCCCTCCTCGCCCCCCACCTCGTCCCCCCCTTCGTCCCCCCCCTCGTCTTTTATTCTGCTCACGCTCTGTATCGGGTCGTCGGCCGAGAGCGGCAGTACCTCGCCCTCGCGCCCCGCCAGCACCTTGCACCACGCCGAGACGAGCGCAGCGCTGCCGACGGCGTCCATCATGGCGTGGGGGCAGTTCATGCACAGGAGGGTCGCATCGCGGAACGTCAAGACCTGCAGCGCCAGCGGCGGCTCGTCGCTGTAGAGGTAGTCGTCGAGCGTTTCGGGGATCTTGCCGCTGGCAGCACTGGCGCTCAGCGCGCGGAAGGCGTCGTCGACGGCGTGCACCGAGGGTCCGTTGGTCGGGCGCGGGGTTTGCGACGCGATTGGGTGCTCGGCCAGGGCCATGTCGAAGCTGACGTGAGAGAAGCGCGCCGCTGGCCGTGTCGGGTCGAATACTGCCGGCACGTGGGTTTCTAGCTTTCCCTGCTGCTGCGAGGGAAGGCACGGAAAAGCAAATGTGAGTCACTGTCGCTGTTGTACGCGTCCCCGTCCCAATACCGCGTAATTAATCGAATAATTTCGCAATTTCACCCGCTTACATTTAGACGCAGCCTTCCTCCAAGCCTCCGCCAAGTTTTCATCTCCAGCAGTTTGACCAGTGCGGAATGCAGTTTCTCGGCGTCGAGGACGTCGTCGAATCGTACCATCCACCGCATGACAATGCCCCTGACGTCGGGCGCATCGCCGAGCAGGTGGACTGGTAATACCCGATCGGTCGGAACTCGAAGTGGCGCCGTGCGCCATGGCCTGAAGCCAAAAGGTGGAAACATGGTTATTGTCCTCGGCGGTGACGCTGTCGGCGCTCCCGTGCGCTGCGAAAAAGACGAAAAGAAAAATGAAGGCCGAAATCCCTCCACAGCGGCGGCGAGCTCCAATCCTTATCAATAATGCTGGCAAAGCCCCTGGGACAGCATCCGCAGGCATCCTGCTGACTGCCGACGTCCAACGAGGCCCAACGAACCAACCATCCGGCTTACGTGTGGCGGCGGATGCACAAACGCGGCAAGTTAGTCGAAATCCGCCACTGTGTTGGTTGTGCCAAGCTCGGTTTGAATGAGCGCCAGTGAAATTCGTACTTTTAGGTGTTCCTCGCCTAATACAGGCATTACATTCTCTCGCTGAGAAACGTAATGCTAGGTCGGCGCTAAGAATGTCATCCCAGCGCGGCCAAGGTGACCACGCTTGTCTTCCATCGCTTGGGTCCCAGACCCCTGGACCCCCTTGACAAAGCTACCGTTAGCCAAGACAGCCTTCCGCATATTGTCCCAGGCAGCAACACGTCGCCGCAATTCGGGTCCCTGAATGACCGTTGCTGTCGGTCATTTCGTTTAAAAGGGGCTTTGTGTCGGAAGGAGCCGCATCTCAGCCACATTTGGGCGCAGGTGGCGCACATGCTAGACCACTTACAGCCTAGGCTGTGTCAGCCGAATGCCGCATGACTACGGTATCTAAGCTATGCCCACTGTTCTTTCCTTCCGAATACAAGCACCTTTTTGCCCTTGATTTAGCGCTTTGTATGTGACACATTGATGTACACACCCACCTACTTTTTCCCGCACCTACCTGTGGGTCCTTGGCAGCTGCTGGCAACTGAGATAGATACTCAGAGCCTAATTTAGGCCGGTAAAATCCTGAATTACCATCTTACCGCCCATGGCCTACCACGCAGCCCGGCCGCCGGGTCGACGGCGTTGAAGCCGTCAAAACCTGAAGCCGTCAAAACCTGAAGCCGTCAAAACCTGAAGCCGTCAAAACCTGAAGTCGTCAAAACCTTCAAAGGCCCTGAAAACGCGTTTACCGCGGTGTTTTCCATTTTGACGATTCTTCGTTACGAGTCAGCCTCGAAATAAATGCAACTTGCAAATGCCAGCTCTGAGGCCCGGATTTGTACGTAAACTAGCCAAATTTTTGGCAGGCGCTCAGCTGCCTGAATGATCTGTTGAATCCTGATTTGTTGAATCCTGATTTGTTGATATGGTGATGTAATTCCTCGGTATTGAGTCTATCAATCTAGCAACCTAGTCTGTATCAACCTGGTCACCCTCGCCGTCCTCCTTACGAGGAAAAGGGTCCTCTTCACCCCGGAATCGAAGTTGTCCTCTTCAGTGTGAGCTGTATTCTCCCAAAAGTGCCGGCGTTGAGCCCTGCGGGCCCGCCATTCCGCTACCTCTATGTTAAAGAGGTAGGATTAGGAACCGGGGTCTCAATTTGGCTCGCCCGGGCAGGCTAGCTCGCTTTCTTCATCTTTCTTTTCTTTCCTTTCCCTCTGTTGTGTTGCCTTCCTTTTATGACCTCTACTCGAGCTTAGCCCTGCATTGACGACGATGCAGTCCGAGTCAATCTCTAGGTCTTGTTCATCCTGTTCATCTTGTTCATCTTGTGCATCTTTTTCATCCTGTTCATCCTGTTCATCTTGTGCATCTTGTTCATCTTGTTCATCCTGCTCTTCAAGACTCGGCCTGGCGAGTTCAAACTGCGAATAGTAACCCGCGCGTTCCGGGAAATCGTGCCGCTCAGAGCTGTTGTCTTCGTCTTCGGCGCCGGCGGCTCTGGTAGGATGGCTTCATTTCCGAAAGGACCGCCCTGATTGATAGTGCGACCTTTCGAGATCGCTTTGTCTGGTTTTTCGATCCGTAGATACTTGTCTTCCGCATCCTAGCAAATTAGCCAGGAAAGACAAGTTAAATAGATTCCTAACGACCTACTCGATGCTTTCTAAGATGCCAGGTGCGGTCGCAGTCAATTGGGTCTACCGAAGTACCGTCTTCGTGATCATCGTTGTATCTTTCGAGCATCATGTGCGCGCAGGGTAAGCCGTACTGACTACTGAATCGTTCGGTGCAGGGAGGAAGAGGTCGGCCGGGACTTTTGGCTGTGGGGAAAGTAATTCTTTTATGTTGTTCGACAAGAAGATCCAGAGCCCACCGAGTCAACTGCATGAGGCAGTTACCAAGCCACTTCTTGGTGAGGTATGCCTTTCGTACCGAGCTTGGAGACTTAGCTGTTACTTCCTTGTAGACATCGTAGCGGTAGCTGATGTGCCGATCTACAGCCTCAGCGACCTCGATCATCCCCAACCGATCCGACAGGCCTTCAGACTTTACCGAGTCGTTATTGGATTCATTTGGCCATGTTGTTCGCGCGCCCGCATTCCTATACATCATACATCTTCGTATAACACCCCGGCCACTATTCTTTATAGGGAAGTAGGTCGTTGTCGATATGATTGATGATTCGTAATTGAGTCGAAGAAAACTGATGATTCATTACAGTCTTTGCTTTATTGGAGTCCCGGACCGACCGACTGAATACTATGTGCTTCCAAAGCTCGAGAAGACCCGCTCTTGTGTTGGCCACCTTCGCCGGCATAGCGCCGAAAATAACGGAACCTTTCTTCGTCAACTGGGTCTTCGAGTTAAGGGCATTCATCGCGGCGATATCGTCGGCATCGTCGTCCTCGTTGTCCTCGGCGGCGGCGGCGGCGGCGGTGGCAGTGGTCTTCCGGGCAGGCTGGTCGGTAGGCGGCTTGATCCAGAATTTCTTGACGTACAACACCATGTCGCAATTTAGGTGCCACAGACAACGCTGCCTCTTTACGGCAGGGAAATTCATGATCAAGGCGCCGATCAATTGTTCATCGCCGTCGGTAATGAACACGTGCGGAGAAGGTATAGAGAAGGACCGACGGCAGCGGGCGACAGATTCCACAAGAAACCGGTAGCCTTCGTCCTTCTCGTCGCTTACAAGCGCTTGGAAAATAGGCATCGTGGTCTTCTCGGGAGTCACAACAACACCAGTTACCAAAGGCATACGCCGGTTATTTACCCGGTAGGTCGCATCGATGCCTATACAAGCTCCGAACTTCGCCCATATCTTCAGTTGACGCCGTGTTGCCCAGAAGGCATGCACCATCTTCTTTTTCGTATTGTCCTGGTAGAAAATAATACGATAGGAATCTCCCGATTCCAGCTTCTTGACAAATGCCTGGGCATCAGCGTAATCGTCTCTCTGTGACTCCCTATAGTCATGCATGATGTTGTAGACGTCGGTTATGATGAGGTTAGAATCGGATACTTCATCCTAAAAAGGCGGAGGGCTGCTTTCGCTGGAATCGGCTGACCGTTAATCGACGATATATTCCTCCTCTTCCTCTATAGTTGCTTTACGGCGAAACATTTCATGCTCCATCGAAGAGCCCGAGGGTCCATGACCTTTGTGTGTGAGGCTGCGCGGCCTCGCAGTCCAGCCGTTATCGCGAGCCTTCATCTAAATGCATATACAAAAAGGACAGTCTTTTGCCTTCTTCCGGCTGCTGGTCTCCCGAGCCTTGAGGGTTTCGACGGGATGTCTGTTGTAGTCGGCATGATCGCATCGGAAGAACTTGTTGGTCTCTCTAGTCTTTCTGTGCTGATAGGTTTTTTGAATAGCAAGGCCGCATTTGTTTTTCTCCACCCACTCCATCATGTTATCGAATATATCGACCTCATCGGTGGGGGCCCCGTTGAATAGAGGCTCGTCGGCGGCATCATGAAGACTGTGAGGCTGAATGGTAGATTGACAATGTGTTCTTTGGCAAAGAAAAGGACTGCAAAAGCATACAAAGACCTGCAAAGGCCACCTGGCTACTGCAGACCTTAAAACTCCAAGTGCGCGTAAAAAGCCCGGCATATGAAAGTGCAAATAGTGTCATTCTGACTTTACCGGGCTTCCTTAGTGCCCGGTAGGCCGTTGGGTGGCTGCCATGGAATACGGCATTTTACAATACAAAAAGCGGTCCCTGCGTTGGCATCTGCCAGGGACCCACAGGTGGGTGCGAGGAAAAAGTAGGTGGGTGCGTACATCAAAGCTCATGATTATACCAGCTGCTCCTCGAGCCTCGTGGTGGGGCAAGATGCTGGCTCCAAATGATGATCAAGAGTTTGCTCGGGCCATATTTAGACTACGCGACAAGATAGCGTGTTCTATTGTCGGTAAGTTCACGCGCTTCGAGGTGATTACCGCCTCTCTTTATATAACTGACTCTTGAACTGACAACGCCCGTTGCCCGCCTTTAGTTCAGAGTTTAGGGTTGTTAAAGAGGCCTAAAACTGGGTGACTGTAACGTTCTGCCGACGTGTATATGTCGGGCGTAAGCGTATGCCCTATTTGAGGCGCTGGGTGACCTCGGGTAGTTGCACAGCGTAGGACCATAGCAATGAAGCAAAGGGCAGCGTGACAGAGCCTAAATGCTAGTTCTACTCTCCGAGGTTGTAGATCCTTGCCTAGGCCATGAACTCACAAGCCCATTTGGCATGAAGGGAGGTTACGCAGAAGGAATATAGTCTCCGTCAGTTCATGGCCTCGGTAGGTAGCTAGGGCTTTATTTTTCCTTTATTTTCCCTTTTTTCCCTTTTTGACATGCAATATTTGACGCCATTTCAACCTGCAATAAAGATACAACTTCGGAGTCTTTCCTTCCTCGTCGCAAGCCAATAGGCCTTGAACCTTAAATAATGGCGTTGCCGCGGGCGTCAAGGTTCGACGCCAAACACTGTTACGCGAGTATGACTACGTTGCAAATAAGTTTTCCAGCGATGAGTGTTCCGGCGAGCAACCTTATTCCTAGAGATGTATAACTATAGAGGCGAACTCCTCGAGGCCATCTCTACCAACAATTTTGCTGTTGCGATTTCTGTCGATAGACAACATGCCTACAAGTGTCCCGGCAGTCGATAACGACCGTGGCGTCGAGCTCTCCAACCTCAGCGAGCGCGGCAACAACGTTACCGTGGCCAGCTTGATCCGCGACGCAGTCCGCGCGGTCGTCCGCGAGGAAATGCTTGCAGCCGTTTTCACGTCCGTATCGGCGCCGACGCAAGCCTCTTCAAAAGCTCACGCACCAACGTCTGCCCCCAAAGCTCCGCCGCCTTCGTACGATACGGCTTCGCGAACTCCAGTTCTCAGAGCCGACTCGGCCCCCAGATCTGAGGACCCGCGGCCTTTAGCCAGCGGAACCCCCCCAGCGACCTTTGGCCGGCCGAACTCCCCAGCAGCCGGCTTTGCGACAACCAGCGGCTAGGACCAGGCATGAGCGAAGGTGGCTTCAGCACAAATGCGTGCACCGCACTCTGCGCTGGATTCCCCGGGTGTTGGTCATCATCATTTTGATTGCTCTGACTGTGCAGGTCACGATATCCTGTACTTGGCGGCGGTTGCCTTTTAATGGTACTCTCCACCTATGCTCTATACACTCCAACTCTAGTAAGTCTTTCCGACCAAACAGATTTCAGTATACGTGAGTTTAGCTAGATATCTTAACGAAAGCGCACCGCAATATTAAATCATTGCCTGCTGTATCCTTGCAATAGGCGACCATATATGTCCGCCCACCAACGTGGCGACCACGTCCAATACAGAGGCCCATCTTGAATCGCAGCCCATACCAACGACGAACCTAGCAATAACATGGAAAGAGAGGGCGGAAAGCATTGGTACGATGAGTATCGAGAGAGATGTATTCTGTGCTTGGAGAATTCTTTCGAAGTACCTTACTTTTTATCTTATTCTTTGGGCCTGGTTTATGAAGAAAGAGTCGCCGCTATACCCGCAGTACCAGGTCGCGATGAGGTTCGACGCCAAACTTGCACAACCCGTCGCCCTCTCACGCCTGACCGAGTGTTTGGAAAATCGTACGGAGGAGAGGAACGCGGTTACCGGCGACTTTGACTTTTGCCTAGTGGACATAGGCGTAGAGCACTTAGTTGTGTGATAACAATTCTAGTTCAGCGCATAGGTCAGTTGTAGGTGTCAGAAGCACAGCACCTTGGATCGAATGAGTTCAAAGAGTGAGTTGCTTGTGTTTTATTCTGTCCTCTCTCTGGCGAAGTCAGAGAACTCAGTCGGGATCACGGACTTAGCGCTAGGTCATAGTCACTGGTATATTGGTAAATGATAAAAGTTTTATTTGGGCCCAAGGCCCACCTCTGATATGGCTTTATGCTACTATAGTCAGACACGTACGTCAGCGTCCGGTCATAAAAGGTAGAATGACGAAGGACTTACAGGTTGGCGAGCTAAAAATAAAGAGGAAAAAAAAATCTCGACCCCGCCCCCCTAAAAAAATCACGGCCGCAGCTACACACATTACTCGGCCAACTATGAGCGGACATGCAGGTTAGCGCAAAATGACTTTGCATATAATACGGGAAGGAATCTGACAAACTGCTAATATAGGGCTATAACGAGATGTTAGCACTCAGCAACTCCAGGACGTGATACCTATCACTACTTGCATGCATCTAATTGGGTGTGTGTGAATTGGTTCCAAGTTGATTAATTTGCTTCTCCCTCTCTCTCCGGCCTTTTGAAAGAGGCCTTCCTGAATGGGTCAGTACAAATGCTGGCAGGGTGGGCGACGATAAGCTTATCGCCGATATATTGAATCAATAATTGTTATCGCCGATATTGACGATATCGACCGATATCGTCGATATCGGTTGCTTAGTAAGCAGATAATTTTTTACCCCTCCTCTCCCCTCAATATCAAGTGGATGTCGAAGGTCGGTTTGTGTGGGAGGTTGCCCGACAACCCCGCCAATTCCGTTGTCGGCCTTGACATCACTCAAAACCAGCAGGTCCAACTTGCAACGCGCGCATCGCAACAATAAGGCATCGCATCAATATAAAAATACATAAAAAGTATTGGGATTATTGAGGGTTTCAATTTGGTTTTTTTTGCAAGGTTGTAAGTCCTCTTATTGTGGATTCATAGCCAAAAAAGTGTTTTGTATTACGATGCTGCTACAGACAGTATAATTCCACTAACTCCCCCACTATTCCTAGCCCCTTGGGGTGCGTATACAGCCGCTGCAGCCGCTGCAGCCAGTGCAGCCAGTGCAGCCAGTACAGCCACTATATAGGCCTCTTCCGTCGAGATCTAATAAGCTTCATAACCTTGTCAAGAGATGCAGAGCCTTTCTCACGATCCATCTCCCTTGCTACCTCGTACTCTGTAACGCCTTTGGCTGCAGCACGCCGAGCTACCTCGTCAATAATAACCTTTCGTGTTGAGTAAAATGCTTTCTCTGAGACAGGCCTCCAGCGGGCACCCCATCGTTGATCAAGAGAGCTGACAGAGGGCATACCTGCAATACCCTCGTGCCAGATCTGAACAAGCTCTGCAATCGACGTCGTATTCCGTGGAAGCTGATAGAGTTGTAGAGGCCGGTCAGTAGACCGTGAGCTTAATGTAACCGGCTTGAGCGGAGAGCGTGCTGGCTGGCCTAATACTTGTGGGAGAGGAGGTGTAATAGGCTGTGGAGGGGAGCCTTGCCCTTGCCCTTGCGTGTGATACTGGAACTGCTGCGAGGCATGCCTGCCAGTAGGAGTAATAGAGATGTTCCAGCTAACCTGGCTGAAATCGTCAACCTTCCTCTCCAGGCGCTCCAGGCGTTCGATAACCTCGTGATACCTCTGTATACTAAGGCGGTCGGTAGTCGAGAGCTGTGCGGCTAAGGTACGGAGCTTTTCCGAGATAGCAGGAATGGCTTTCTCAATCGCTATGTGATGGGGGTCTTCCTGTATATCACAGCTAACCTCTCGTACACGGGCAGCAAAAGCTGAGAACTCGAGCGAGTGAAAGATAGAAGACTGGAAGATCGGGTGATCTGGGAACTTGGCCATAAGGAAAGGGGCATCTTGAATGTAAGGAAAAGGACACCCCAAACACCAACTGCGCGCACAGGGTGCGCGCCCACCACTTGTCACCAACTGGCTAGAACACTGCCAGCTGGCATACGCTACGCCGTGGCGCCACGACCGCAGACTGATGCCCGGGCCGAACCCCTGAGCAGGTATATAAACAATGGCCCTCGCCCATCTTCCTTTGCGAGGGCCAGGTTGAAGTCTTACACCAATACAAGTCATTGCTCCCCTACCTTCTTGCCTGCATTGTGACCACCTTGATCAGGCGTACCTACCTTCTCTTACATTGAAGCAGGATAAGGCGTAGCCAGTCAAGCAACTCAAGAAATGCCCCAGCGGCCTTGTTCTGCTCTGCTTCTCTGGACTCAAGTCTGGCCTTCCAACTATCCACCTCAGGCCATATTGCAGCGATTAGGCCAGGTGGTGGTATAACGGTAGCTCGTGGGATATAGTATGCGCCTGGCCAGTCGGGATCGAAATCGGCAGTTGCCCTCATAAACTCGCGTGGTAAGGAGGTTAGTGTCACGAATCCCTGTTCGTACTGGTTGGGAAGCAGGGCAGGGGTGGCTGGACCCGCCTCGGCTAGTCACGTTAAAGGAGGGGCTTGGACCCACAGTTGCTCTGTTCGGTGGAGAACAGAGCAGAAGGGCCCGCATTTGCTCTGCACGGTGGAGTACAGAGCAACAGTCTGGTTGGCTGCTCTGTAGCTCTGTCGGGGAGCAACAGAGCAACGGTTTGGTTGGCTGCTCTGTAGCTCTGTCGGAGAGCAACAGAGCAACGCTCTGTAGCTCTGTCAGAGAGCAACAGAGCAACGCTCCAATTGGCCCAGCTTAGATAGATATATACGATGACCGTGGCACCGGTCTTAGGTAGTTCTTGCTTGGTTCTTCAAGCAAGCAATACACATTCACTGCACTCATACACTTTGAGTGGCATTCCGATTTGACTGTATTACCCGCGCGATAGGAGCTTGCCCTTTGTTCTATCTTCATAATTACCAACCCCAGCATTCTGTGGAGCCCGTGCTCCCTTACAGACAGACGACCCTAACAGTCGAGTGGTTTGTAATAGTTAGATAACAGCCAGTCATCTGGTCGCTATTAGTCCAGCGGCCAGCACGACGGATACTAGCCTCTGATACACCAGCGAGGTCTGCGTTCTGAGAACTAGCTATACGAGGCGCATGTGAGGCCTTCGAGGTATTAATACCACACTTCTCGTAAATCCGCCTAGTCCAGGAATTGGCTGTTTGTGGAGAGAGCTGAGTAACTAGGCTTTCCTTCGACTGGCGGAGGACCTTAATATCGTACCAGTCCTGGCTCTGAGTAAACCGTGGGAACGGCTCACCCTCACACTGCCAGCGCCAAAAGAACCAAAAAGCAAGGGCGCTTATAAGGCAGGCCATCGGATCTCGGTGGCGGAGAGCGGCACCGTATTCCATCCGTCCATGCTGGTTTGTCTTCCCTTGGCGCATCAAGATGACAAGGGCCTTGGTCGGATACGGATCCTGAGACCTCTGTATGCCCTCGTTCTGGAGGTCGAGGCAAAAACAGTCAGGGAGCTCGATCGGGAGGCGATTACTTGATCGTAGAAGCATATGGTTTCCAAGGAGGAAGTCGACTTGCGTTCGGAATGCACAGCCAATAGCCTTCCGCTCTTGCCAGACGATAATAGTGTGATCGAGGATCTGTAATGGTAGGTATGCGTCCTTAATCGTACCCTCGCCCCGATCAGCTCGCTCGCTCCGCTTCCGTGCCCAAGTCTGGCGGAGGATATTCCCTTTAAGAGCCTTGAGAGCGATGCCTTGGGGCCGCGGTGCTGGATTCTGGCCCCGTGTTTTCTGCTCCTCGTAGAGACGTTGGATAGCTGAGATATAGCTCCTTACAGAGTTGTATTGGAGCTTCAGCCGTGAGGAGAGAAAGCCCTCGCCATCTAAGTCTGGCTCGTAATAATCAGACTCGTCAGGATCGAGCTGTGCGGCGGCAGCCTGTCGCTTCTGCTCCGCCGTGAGCCTTTTCCCCGTACGGGGCGCCCGCTTTGCGATTGCCGTCATAAATAACAGAAGCTTCCCTTCGTCAACGAGATCACCCGGCAGGGGCGAGCCATCCCAGGGGACCCAGGCCGACCAGCCTGGAGGAATAGGCGGATAACGTGCCGCGCACCAGTCTCTCCATTCTTGTTGCTTCGGCGCGTAGGCCCTCGTCGTATTCCTCGGTTGGTGGAGTGACTGATCGAGGAGGAGCTGCTCAACAACGGCCCTGACGCCAGGGTCTTGATCCCACGCGTTATTTTCGACCTTGGCCGAAGGCGTGGGCAGGGCGGCGAAGGTCAGGGCAGCAGCCATCGCGTGTAAGTCGTCACGCAGGTATCTTGAAG